TGGTATTATTTGCTGTCTGGCTTGGGCAATGGGTTTGGGATGGACTTGCTGCAAAGGGTCAAAAGCATTTTCTTGCTGGAGCATCCACGACTGGAAAGGAATCATCAACAAGAGTGGCGAAAGGGGCAAGAAAGAGACTTGAGGGCCTCGGATACGAGACAACCAGGTTAAGGGAGGTTAAAAGGACTGACAATCCCGGGTCCAGGGGAGGGGAGGTTGGAAGCTGACTGGACTGAATTCGACTTATTAATTTTTCTTTTTTATTTTTCAATATTGGGAATGCTTACAAATGTTTGAAGGATGTTGAATGAAATTACATGGCTTAAGTAAGGATTGGTAAATGATTCGTAAAAAGGTAATGATGCAAGAATTTGTTAAATATTGAATATAAGCTATGAGTTTTAAAGTTTTTATATGACAAGAGGGAAAATAGAATAAGGAAACGTAATGACAGATTGTTATGAAAAAACAAAAGAGGGGAGGAGGAGGAAGTCTAGAAAGGAAGTCAATAGAGATTGTAAAGGACTTTATATTTTTGTTTTTCTGTTTCTCTTTTTTTTTCTTTCTTTGCGGCTGGGTTTTCTTTTCTTTTTTGTTTATGCACTATTTTTGTTCTTTGTATCCTAAAATATTTTTTTTTGGAAATTTTTGTTGTTATTTTTTGAAAATCCAATAAATATCAATTGTAAAAAAAATAAAATAAACTGCGAAAGAAGGCATAAATTGAGGGAGGGCAGGGTGGGAGAAGTTCAGGAGGACCAACAGGTAAGTTACACCCTCTATTGTGGGTGTGAGCGGTCCTAACTATATCTGGGCAATTCCCTTGGCAACGTGCCCCCCCCAGCCAGAATTGGCTGATTGACAGGGCTAGGCGGGAACCTCCAGGTATCCAGCTTGGGGGGGGGGAGCAGTGAAGCCAACTACCTTGCCGGGGGTCTAGTACAGTGGTACCTCTGGTTACGTACTTAATTCGTTCCGGAGGTCCGTTCTTAACCTGAAACTGTTCTTAACCTGAAGCACCACTTTAACTAATGGGACCTCCTGCTGCTGTTGCGCCGCTGCCGCACAATTTCTGTTCTCATCCTGAAGCAAAGTTCTTAACCTGAAGCACTATTTCTGGTTTAGCGGAGTCTGTAACCTGAAGCGTATGTAACCTGAAGGGTATGTAACCTGAGGGACCACTGTAGTCCTGGGGGGGCACTGTGCCCAACCACGCAAAAGCCACCCCCCAGTTAATGTGGGGAGCGGTCATTTTGTCTGAGGTCTAGCCTTAGCTGTATCCCTGATCCCCGAAAGTCAGTTACATCAGCTGAGATTCTGAATGTCTATTGGGCAGCTTCCCGTTGCTCCCTCTTCTTCTGAAACTGGGCAATGCCCCCCCCCCCGAACTCCAGGACTGGCCAACTCCAAGCTGCTGATGGGGATAATGTCACAGAAAAATTTGTTCTTTTGGGGGGGGGCTGGGAAGGGGAAGGAGTGCAAAGGTCAGGGCCATCTTGGCAGGCTGGGACAGAGGCCTAGAGATGGCTGGGAGGATGCCTTGGATTCCAATGCTGCCCCACTGTGGGGAACAAGCCTCCTCCTGAGATGGCGGTGTGGTCAGATTTGCAACTCCTCCATCTAAACTCATTTTAACTCCATCTAAACTCTATTTAAGAGGCTTCTACTCTGCAGCTTCTACTCTGCAGCCTCTTATAGTTGTTTTATCTGCGAGTCTTTTAGCTCTTATGCTCTTACAGTTGTTTTAACCGTGTGCCTTTGCTGGTTTTTAGCTCTTATCTGTTTTAATTATTAGTTTTTTATCCATCCATTATCTGTGTTTAATCTTGTATTTTATTAGGATGTTTTATGCCTGTTTCCTTGTCCTCATTTGCCCTAACAATTATCGGTCAAAAAATCCTAACTGCTATTTTATCTATATGCTTTTTTAATCCTGGTCTGTGACCGTAATAAAGTTCATTCAAGCTAAACTCAGGTGTAAATATGTGTAATTAAACCATATTTCTTAAAGGCAATACAGCGAGATTCTCAGAGGAAACACGGCCCTGGCTGAGCACCTGGAATCCCTTTGAAATCTTGTGATGAGATTGTGGGGGGGGCGTGCTGAATGGGGGGTAGCAACTTCACAACCCTGCCTTTCTTCCCAGGGATGGACAATGTCTGAGTAAAACAATTCTTGTACTCCCTGTAAAGCAGGCCGAATTCGATAGTGTGGGTAAGTATAATAGATTTCTCCATTATCTCCATCCAAGCCACCCCCCCCACCCCCTGCCCTCAAGCTCCAGCGAACCTGGGAGAGCAACTTTCCAAGTTCGCTACCAGAAACGGAAGCAGATTTCTCTTCCTTTCTGGATTGAGTTAGATGGATTTCTCCTGAGAGCTAGAAGGGCCTGAATGGAATATTTGGCTTCTCTCAATTATGTATACCCCACCCATCTGGTCGGGTTTCCCCAACCACTCTGGGGGGCTCCCAACAGAATATTAATAGTAAAAAAGCGCCAACATCAAATATGAAAAACTTCCCTAAACAAGGCTGCCTTCAGATGCCTTGTAAAAGTCAGAGAGTTGTTTATTTCCTTGACATCTGATGGGAGGGCGTTCCACAGGGCAGGTGCCACTACTGAGAAGGCCCTCTGCCTGGTTCCCTGTAACCCCACTTCCCGCAGTGAGGGAACCGCCAGAAGGCCCTCAGAGCTGGATCTCAGTGTCAGGGCTGAACGATGGGGGTGGAGATGCTCCTTCAGATATACTGGACTGAGGCCGTTTAGGGCTTTAAAGGTCAGCACCAACACTTTGAATTGTCCTTGGAAACGTACTGGGAGCCAATGTAGGCATTTCCTCTGTCTCCAAACTGCAGTAATGTTTCCTTAATTAACTCTCCCCTCCTGTGGTTTCCTGCAACTGGTATTCAGAAGCACTTCTTCCTCCAACTGTGGAGGCAGAGCCATTGATAGCCCTCTCCTCCTCCACAAATCTCTCTTGGGGCAGTGAGTTCCATAGTTTAACTATGGGCTGAGTGAAAAAATGCTTTCTCTAACCCCCCCCCCACCTTTCTTTTGCATCTGTGGAAGTGACTCCCATGCCTGTTAATGGATCTTTTGCGGCTCTTTTTCAATAGATGGGTGGACAACAGTACACATCGTGGATACAGATTATGAGACTTACCATACCCTCCTCTTCAGAACAGTGCGTTCCAGGCATGATACAGCTCTTTGGTATGTCTGGAGACTGGCCTGTGGGAGCTTGTTTGGGTGCCGTAGGTTATGATGGGCACACCTGTTGTGCCCATCTTTTGAAAATTTTGCCCTTCCTCCCAGTTTTTCTAAGGAGATGTAAATACCACCACTAATTGCCAATAGAGTAATCCACTCCCCACCCCCGCCACTACATTTGTCAGAATACTTTGAGCATCTTGATAAAATGTCAACAACAAATTTGCCACCATCTACTGGCAATTTAAACCACAGAGCCTACGGCTTGCCGATCAGAAGGTCAGTGGTTCGAATCCCCGCGACAGGCTGAGCTCCTGTTGCTCAGTCCCAGCTCCTGCCAACCTAGCAGTTCAAAAGCATGCAGCACAAGTAGATAAATAGGTACCGCTCCAGCGGGAAGGTAAACAGCATTTCTGTGCGCTGCTCTGGTTCGCCATACTGGCCACTTGACCCAGAAGCTGTACGCCGGCTCCTTAGGCCATTAAAACGAGATGAGTGCCGCAACCCCAGAGTCGTCTGTGACTGGACCTAATGGTCAGGGGTCCCTTTACCTTTACTGGCAATTCAAATTTTCGTCCCCAGGACAACCCTGCGAGGCAGAGTAGCTTAAAGTGCTGGTTGGCATGCTCTGTGCAAATGTGCCTCACAAACCCCTGAAGGTTGCATCAGGATGGGACAATTCAGAATGGAGAAGGAACACTGCCCAGGCTTCTGGTTTTTCATTTCAAACCTCCTCCTTCTGAAGCTGTTCTTTAAAAAAGGGGGAAGGGAAGGAGTCAGGCAAGAGGTATTTGTTAAGATACTTAACAGCGTGATGCAGCAGCAAAAAAGATCTAATGCGAATCTCAGCTGCATCAGCAGAAGTATTGTGTCCAGATCCAAAGAAGTCACAGGACCACTCTATTCTGCCTTGGTCCAACCACACCTGGAATACAGCGTCCAGTTCTGGGTGCCACAATTTAAGGAGGATATTGACAAGCTGGAATGTGTGCAGAGGAGGGCAACCAAGGTGATCAAGGGTTTGAAAACCAAGCCTTACGAGGAATGGTTGAGGGAGTGTTTATTTTTGCTTGGAAAAGAGACTGAGAGAATATATGATAGTCATATTCAAATATCGAAAGGACTGTCACATGGAAGAGGGAGCAAGCTTATTTTCTCCTCTGGAGGGTAGGACTCAATCCAATGGATTCAAGTTACAAGGAAGGAGATTCGGACTAAACATCCGGAAGTATTTTCTGACAGTGAGAGCTGTTCAACCGTATTTTTCGCTCTATAAGACTCACTTTTTCCCTCCTAAAAAGTAAGGGGAAATTTGTGTGCGTCTTATGGAGCGAATGCAGGCTGCGCAGCTATCCCAGAAGCCAGAACAGCAAGAGGGATTGCTGCTTTCTGAGATTCAGATTTTTTTTTTCTTGTTTTCCTCCTCCAAAAACTAGGTGCATCTTGTGGTCTGGTGCGTCTTATAGAGCGAAAAATACGGTATTTTCTGACAGTGAGAGCTGTTTGGCAGTGGAACAGACTCCCTCAGGAGGTTGTGGACTCTCCTTCCTTAGAAGTTTTTAAGCAGAGGTTGGATGGCCATCTGTCATGGAGCCTTTATCTGAGATTCCTGCATTGCAGGGGACTAGATGACCCCAACTGTACCATTCTATGATCTATCCTCCTGCACTATGATGCTGATTCTCAATGCCAACTCCTTGTTTGTGTCTTAAGGCAGGGAACAGACTGTGTCAGATGAAGTGAAAGAAAAATTTAAAACTTTGGCCAAAGATATGCAATTCGATCCAGATGCAATCACCTATGTATCCGAAAATGGTAAGGGCAATTAATGCTTAAGATTTTCTCCGCCCTGGTTTGAAGGTATGGTGATGATGATGCTAGCCGCTTGGACTCTAGAGATCACCAGGTATTATTATAATCTGGATATGAAGCCTGATAAGGAACAGTTGAAGGAATTGGGTGTGTTTAGCCTGGAGCAGAGGAGATCGAGAGAGGATGGGATAGTCCTCCTCAAATGTCTCCTGGGCTGTCACATGGAAGATGGAGCTAGCTTGTTTTCTCCTGCTCTGGAGGCTAGCTTCTGAACCAGTGGATTTCAATTACAAGACAGGGGGTTCCAACTAAACATCAGGAAGTACTTTCTTACATTATTATGATTAATTAAATTTGAAGATCTCGGGACAGTTCGCAGTACAGTGGTACCTAAGGATAACCTAAGACACTTCAGGTTACAGACTCCGCTAACCCAGAAATAGTACCTCGGGTTAAGAACTTTGCTTCAGGATGAGAACAGAAATCACACGGCAGCAGCGGGAGGCCGCATTAGCTAAAGTGGTGCTTCAGGTCAAGAACAGTTTCAGGTTAAAATGGACCTCCAGAACGAATTAAGTTCTTAACCCAAGGTACCACTGTATAAAAATACAATATAAAAACATAAAGATACATAATAAAAAGGAGAACAATAACAAAACAAACCCATAAGCCAGGGGTCAGAAACCTAAGGCCCATGGGCCAGAAGCAGCCTGTGGAGGTTGTTTGACCGGCCCACAACCCACCCCCGAACCAAGCTGCCCACTCGCTAAACCGGCGCAGCGCAGGGACTCACTTCCACGGTGCTGTAAATCGCATCTGCGCATGCGCAGATGCCGGAAATCACATCTGCTCAGATGCAGACACTGAAAATCATGGATGTGCCCGCTCACGTGCATGCAGAATCCAACCCACAGATAGATCTCCATGGGACCGATCCAGCCCAGGCAAGATAAACCTTGCTGACCCCACCCATAAGCCATCCCTCCCACAAACACATGTAAAAGGACATAGACTGTTCATCAGCCCAAGGCCTGGCTGAAGGGGAATGTTTTTGCCCAGTTCCTAAATAGATATAACGGAGTGGCGCCATCGGCAATGGTGGACTCCCTCTGATCTGGAGGGACTAGCTCCACGCGAAACGGGTCTTTTCCGCTACAGCGAAGCGGGGACCCTTTGAAAAATCACAGGCGGATGAAGCCTGTGACCATGGGACTCGGCGGGCACCTTTCGCGCGCCCCACCCAACTCGTAAAGGAACCCAGTTACGGGCTCCGGAGCGAAGAGAGGTAAGTGGCGCGGTGCTGAGAGTCAACTGCTTCTTCCGTGGAGCGAAGCCGCACAGCCGTTGCCGGAGAGCGCTGCCTTTTTCCTGGGACAATTTGGCTTCTAAAATAATCACCCGTGAGTACTTAAATTTCGGACAATTGGACTTTAAATAAGGACTTGCAAGCAGAAAGGAAAATTGGACTTAAAAGTTTACCTCAATTTGGCACTGAAACGGGAAAGTCTAAACAGGAAGTCAGCCTTCCGTTTCTTTGTAGATAGATTAAAGCAAAGACATGGCAAACTAGAGCTCAGAAAATCGCTTGTAAAAGATTAACTTTCATCATTTAAAATTGTTGAACCCCTTCGGAAGCAGGAGAAGAGGGGGGATTTTTTCGGACTGTTTAAACCTGCAGAAGTGAGTGTAAAGTAAAGTAACTTTCCACCGTCCTGATCCTGGAGCGGGGTGTCAGGACTGACGTTTTTTGAAGCTCATTGACCAGAGACAAACGTTTTTGACAGATAGCTATAAGAAGAGAAAATTTGATTCCATTGTTACCCTTCGCATTTTAAAGGAACAAATATTGACAAAATATCTGAAAAAGGAAACTTTGTTGTTAGACTTGTCTTTAAAAGAAAGAACAAATAGAAGTTTTCCCCCTAGAGGGAGACTGTGAAACTGTAACCAACTCCGGGGAGCCAGCAGCTGTTACAGATTACAGTCGTGGGAATAGACTTCTGACCTTGCAGGACAATGTATTCAGAAGCTCTGTTGTGTGCTTTCTGTAAAACAAAGGCCCTACTGGAACAGCTACATGAGAAGACGGACTTGATGACTGATGCGATCAGAAATTTTGAACAGGCAGTGGGAAATTATATGGAGCCCACCCAGGAATTAAATCAGGAGTGTGCCCTGACAGAACAGATGAGGGAAGAGGATGTTGCTGAATCTTGGGCGCCAGAGATGGAGGGAGCTGTGGCCCAGCAGGAACATGAGCTTTTGGATTTGACAAATGAACTTGGAAAAAGCCAGATTTGGAAAGATAAAGTTTGGTTTGGTTTGGAAATGGGGGGCTGAATAGACCCCCCTATGCAGGGATGTTTGGACTTTTCAAGTCTGGCAATGGGCCGTGAGATGTTTGGGGTTGTGGGGGCTCTTAATTTTGGAGGGATTTTGAAACATGTTCTTAAATACCACATGGAGTTTAGTGTGGACTATGGAAAAGGGGCTGATTTGTCGAGAAGGGTCAAAAACATTGTTAAGCTGGAGTTCCCACGAGTGAAAGGAGCAGGGGACAAAGGAAAATACAGCTATAAATATGAAGAAGAGCCGCGGAAGGGACATGGAAGGGACTTAAGGGCCTCGGATACAAGGTTACCAGGTTTATGCGCTAGATCGATGGGATAATAAGGACTGACAAAACCCGGGACCAGGAGGAAGGGACGCTGGATTAAGATTGGATTGTTTTTATTTCTTTTTTTTACTACTAGGATTGTTTTATAAAATTGATGAATGTTAGAAAAATGTTGGAATGAAATTATTTGGCTTTAGCAAAAATGTTTAAAGAATTATATAAGAATATTATGGTTATGAGAAGTTGCTAAAAATAAGATTTAAGTTTTAAGCTTTAAGGTTCTTTATAGTAAGATAAGATTAAAATAGATTAAGGTAATGTAATGACAGAATATTATGAAATATGGAAAGGATTTGCTGCGACAATTAACAACTAGGATACAAAAAGGGAGGAGGAGGAGGTCAAAGAAAGAAGGTAATGACAGTTGAGGATTTGAGAATGATGGATTTGTTTTTGAGTGTTTGTGGTGTATTTTTGTTTTTTGAATTTGTATTGTTTGATGTGGTTTGTTTTTTCTTTGTTTTTTCTTTTTCTTTTTCTGTTTTGTTCTCTTTTGTAATTCTAAAAAAATTTCAATAAATATCATTTAAAATAATAATAATTTAAAAAAAGATATAACGGTGGTTCCAGGCGATTCTCCCTGGGGAGAATGCCCGCAAAATGGGGAGCCACTGTAGAAAAGGTCCGTTCTTGTGTTGCCACCTTCCAGACCTTTTGTGGAAGAAGCACATGAAGAAAGGCCTCACATGATGATTGCAGGATCCAGGTTGGTTCATGTGGTGAAAAGCAGCCCTTGAGGTTTTATCAAGAGAAGGTTTTCCCCAAATGTAGATAAGCATTATGGAGACTTTAAAAAAGAGAAAACCCTACTGATATCTGACAGCCAGTCTATTGTTGGCTATGGAACAAAATAATAATAATCCTGATCTTGTTCTGTGCCCTGGGCCCAATCCCACATCTTGCTCACTCATTAACCGCATTTCTTTTCATCCACAGATCTCTGTATATAAGAAGATATGGAAAAGGTAAGATAATTAGTCCTCTGCACACTTACCTGGGAGGTCATAAGCTTTATTGAATTCAGTGGTGTTTACTCATCAGTAGACACATCTAAGGCAGTGGCGGAGCTTCATGCTCCAGCTCCGGGGGACAGAGAGCAGGCAGTGGTGGGGCTGGCTCGTGTCCCAGGGGCTTTAAAGGTCAGCACCAATGCTTTGAATTGTGCTCGGAAACATACTGGGAGCCAATGAAGATTTTCAGGACCAGTGTTATATGGTCTCAGCGGCCACTCCCAGTCACCAGTCTAGCTGCCACATTCTGGATTAGTTGTAGTTTCTGGGACACCTTCAAAGGTAGCCCCAGGCCTCAGGCAGAAGTCTCCATGAACACTGATAATTTTAGCTAGTTCAGACCTGAGACCCCTCCAGCATCCAACTGATTCCAATATTGATACCTTCCTGCTGATTTGCTGATATTATTATTAATATTATTATTATTATTATTATTATTATTATTATTATTATTATAATTTATATACCACCCTATAGCTGGAGGTCTCAGGGCAGTTATCAGCTATGGCCTGGAGAGCAGGAACATTATCATTTGAAAACATTGGCAGATCAGGCTTTTGTTAAATGACCAGGAGCAGGGTCCAGAGGAATACAACTGCAACCTTTGTGGGTTTTCTCCATGGGCCGAGGCTCTTGTCTTTTGCAATTCCATGCAGAAAGCCAAAAATAACATGGGAAAGATGCCTGCATGAGGATGGGGATGGAGGAATCGTCCTGGAATCTGCCTCCTGCATTGCAAATACCAACCACCATTGTGAACCATTCCATTTGGAAAGAAAACTTGAATCATTTGGATCAGATATATATTCATAAATGATATTCTAATCACATAAGTGGTACTGTTTTCTTGTCTGTTGGCCTAAGAGGGGGAAAAAACTATTATGTGTAACACCCCAAATTCATAGCACTATATAATAAGGAAAATTCCTGGAGTCTAAGATTCAGGCTTGGGGCAAGCACTCTTTGGTGAGAGAACTCCAGTCGAGATCACAAAATACGCAGCAAAGTAAAGCATGGAAATATAGGTTGTTGGACCTTTAAAATATGCTCTCTAAAGTGAATTCCCAAATGTCCCCATTGGGGGGGGGGGAAACCTTTCTAAAGTTTCCTTCTTCCCCAAGGAGACCACAAGCTTGGAAAATAAAACATAGTTCACTTATAAACTCTTCAAAGGCCAGGTTCTTGGACTTCAGAAAATCACATAGGCAGTAAAACCTGTCTTAGTTAGAAAGTAGTGGAACTTCCTAAATTTCACAATTCACAAAATGCCTCTGAAATGAAACAGCCTCTCTCTTCTTCTAATTTCAAGGTGCTGAACACAACTATGATAATAAAATTTGTTGACTGGCTCCTGTTGAGGAGATACAAAGATGGTCATGTATAAACGACCCAGTCCACATTGTGTACATGATTTCATTTGGCAACATTGCATTTCAAACTCCTGATTGCACCATACGGTGTCATATCGCATCATACACACCAACCCCAGGACCGATGGCATGCAGTTGAGTCATGACATCCCAGTTTTATTATGTAAGATAATGTGCTCATTAGTGTAAAGCAAAGCCTCGCAGGCATCACAGGGCGAAAGAAATGGACAGTAGCATAACCAGTTCTGCACAGTGAAGGACTTCCCATTCCCAGTGGCGGAGCAAGCCGATCGGGCACCTGGGGCAGCGTACATGCCCTGCGCCCAGTGGTGGGGCCAGTCACCCACAGGGCAGGGCGGGGCCAGCCAGGGCAGGACGCTCCACTGGGCCTCCGAGAAGCCTGCCTGCCTCCTCCCAGTCAGCGATCTACAGCTGAGGGGGAGGCGGGTGGCGGACTGTTTGGGGCAGTGAGGAACGTGCGGGCAGTCAAGCCAATCCATCACTCCCAAGAGAGACACGCGGCTCGGGCGCGCTGCAGGCCCCACAATGAGTGCCGCCTGCCATTTTGTCACCCCCCAGTAGTGAAACCCGGGGTGTCCCGCCCCCACCGCCGCCCTTTCTCCGCCCCTGCCCATTCCCAAACCTCTGAAAGTAGAGTCATACCTCAGGTTAAAGCTGCTTCAGGTTGAGCATTTTTGGGTTGTGCTCCATGGCGACTTGGAAGTAACGGAACGTGTTACTTCTGGGTTTTGCCACTCGCACATGGGCAGACGCTCAAAATGACGTCATGCGCAGAAGTGGCGAAGTGCAACCTGCGCACACGCAGACGCGGGTTGAGTTCTCTTCAGGATGCGAACGGGCTCCGGAATGGATCCTGTTTGCATCCAGAGGTACCACTGTATTTTTGATGAATTCAGACGACGAGAAGGAGGCAAACCGAAGTCAGGTTCTTCTCAGCCTTCAGCATGAGCCACACGTCTGCCTCAGAAAATAATTGGCAGCCAGCGCAGTCGGGCCAGGATTGGTACAATATGCTCAACCATCTTGCCCCAGTGAGAATTCAAGTCACCAAATTCTGCACCAGCTGAAATTTCTGAACTATCTTAAGAAGTCGTCATGAAATTCTGAGCCATGGATATTGAAGTTCCTCAAAACCAGCAGTCCTCAACACCACCTCTGAAACCGGCTGTGTCAGCTCAGGCAGGGGTGAAGGAAAGAGGGCGGGGGGGGGGGTGGACCGCCCTGGGTGTCAACACTGAGGGAGGTGACATTGCGTGAGCTGCCCACCCATGACTCCCAAGCCAACCCCGAGCCATATTGAGGTTGAATCCTGACAAGATAAGACAGAAGTACTCTTTTGGGAGGACAGAGGGTGTGTGCGTTTGGGGGACTCCCTGGTCCTGAATGGGGTAACTGTGCCCCTGAAGGACCAGGTGTGCAGCCTGGGAGTCCATGGAAGTGCAGGTCAATTCTGTGTTCAGGACAACTGTCTACCAGCTCCACCTGGTACACTGGCTGAGGCCCTACCTGCCTGCACACTGTTTCACCAGAGTGATACATGCTCTGGTTATCTCCTGCTTGGACTACTGCAATGCGTTCGACATGGGTCTACCTTTGAAGTTGACCCGGAAACTACAACTAAACCAGAATGCGGCAGCTAGACTGGTGACCGGGAGTGGCCCCCAAGGCTATATAAAACCAGTCATAAAGGATCTTCATTGGTTCCCAGTACGCTTCCAAGCACAATTCAAAGTGTTGCCCTAAATGCCCTAAATGCCTTGGCCCAGTATACCTGAAGGAGCGTCTCCACCTCCATTGTCCAGACCGGATACTGAGGTCCTCCTCTGAGGGTCTTCTGCTGGTTCCCTAACTGCAAGAAGCGAGTTTACAGGGAACCAGGCAGAAGGCCTCCAAATTGGTGCCAAAGTATTACTACCCTCCTTTTCTGCCCCTGCGCCTTTCCTCTTGTGCATCACATTCTTTTTTTTAGATTGTAAGCCTGCAGGGACCAGGGCTGTCTTATCTTAACTGATAGTATGCAAGCTGCTCTGGGAACCATTTTTGTTGTTCTTGTTGAAAAGCCTGGAACAAATGCTCTCAGAAAATAAACAAAAACAGTCTGTCAGACCTGCTTGAAGAAGAAGACTGACCCTGACTGGTGCACAGATCAGCAGCAATAACAAAAGTTGGCCAGGAGTGGTGACTGACATAGGGGAGCAATTCAGACAAAACCACCCAGAGGAATGGGCCTCTGCCCTGCCAAACCTCCAGGGTTGCATGCCTATATGGCCAAATATACATCATCCTAGCTGTTCATGGTTTACCCAGCCACCTGCTGTCCAGCACCCTTGATATCTCTCATCCAACCATAGTCCTTGGAAAGACTTTCACTACCCATTTTTCACTGTGCATACTAGAACCCTACTTGTAGCTAATATGGGGCTGTTCTTCATTTTAGCGTACAGTCATAAAATCACAGAGTTTTAGAGTTGGAAGGGACCGCAAGGGTCATCTAGTCCAACCCCCTGCAGTGCAGGAAACTTGCCCAAAATGGGGCTCGAACCCATAACCCTGAGATTAAGAGTCTCCTTTTTTTAGTTTTTTATTTATATTTTCAAATTTATACATTTCATTAGTTTTACAATCAATTTAACATTTCAAAATTTGACTTCCTTCCCCTTTTACTGCTGTTCCTTAACTTCATTTTTTCTGTCTTCTGCATATCCATACTCTGATAAAATTGCAGGTTATTACATTAATCCCGCTACTGTTTTTATCTGTTTATAATTTATCTGGAAATATTCAATAAACCATTTCCATTCTTTTATAAAAAGTTTGTTATCTTGATTTCTTATTCTTCCGGTAAGTTTTGCCATTTGTGCATATTCCATGAGTTTCTGTATCCATTCTTCCTTTACTGGGACTTCTGCAGTCACATTCTTGCTGCTGTAGTAGCATACAGAAATAAATTTCTATACAATTTAGGTAGTTCTGTCCCTGTAATTCCCAAAAGGAAAGCTTCTGGGTTGTTGTTTTTTACAAACTTTATTTTAAACATCTTTTCGAATATCTTATCCCAATAAGCTTTAACCTTACTACAAGACCACCACATATGATAAAAAGAACCTTCCTTCTCTTGACATTTCCAACATGTATTTGATTTAAATTGATACATTTTTGCTAATTTGAGATTAAGAGTCTCATGCTCTACCAACTGGAGAGTCGTTAGGTTCCTCCTTAACTGGCTCTCACCAGATTGATGGTCTCACTGCTAATGTGCCCAACCTAAATTCCACATCGCTCCCCTTCCCCATTTGACTCAGGGTGTGCTGTGAGGACCACTGAGCAGGAATCTAACTGTTTCCTAATTGCCTTGCATGTAAGAGATCAACTGGCTTGACTGTATTAGTAAAATTAGAAAAACACTATCGTTTCAGTTACTGTAATTTTTACTCCATACAGTGGCACCTTGGTTCTCAAACTTAATCCGTTCCGGAAGTCCGTTCCAAAACCAAAACGTTCCAAAACCAAGGCACACTTTCCCATAGAAAGTAATGCAAAATGGATTAATCCGTTCCAGAATTTTAAAAACAAGCCCTAAAACAGCAATTTAAAATGGATTTTACTATCTAACGAGACCATTTATCCATAAAATGAAAGCAATAAACAATGTACTGCAGTCACACAATCAATCAATCAATCAATCAATCAATCAGTAGCTGAACTGGGTTCCACACAGTCACAAAAACCAAAAAAGAGCCACAAAAACAAAAACGCAAAATAAATAACAAAGACAAACAGACCTCAGCATAACACTCAAAATGGAAGTGTGGCACTCAAAACAGAAGCATAAGACTCAAAATGGAGCACGTTCGCCTTCTGAAAAAAGTTTGCAAACTGGGACACTTACTTCCAGGTTTGTGGTGTTTGGGTTCCAAGTTGTTTCTTGTTGTTTTTTTAAAATAATTTTTATTAACAGGCCAATCACATCACATTATCCAAATCACATTAGTTCCAAATTATACAGCCAAATTTTAAATTTTGTTGGGGGTACCCATACATCAAGCTCCCTACGAGTCCAAAACTCTGAACGAGTCCAAACATCACTTATATTACTGCTTTAATTAGACAATTCTATCCAGTTCAATCTAGATAGTCCTTTATTACTTTCTTTCTCTTCTTGTTGTTATCGTATATTCCTTTCTTTGCGATCTCTGATAATTTTCACAAGCAGATTGAAAACAGGCATCCTCTGTGTGGGTTTTGTACTCTTCAAAGATCATATCGCTCAGGGACAGCCTCTGTTCAACGCTTCCATAAAAAATTAATCTTTGGTCTGTCCTTTACTTTTCTCAGGCTTGCCAAATAAATCAAATGAATCAGGAGGCTCTGTCAGGTCAAGCTTGCGTTCCAACATTCCTTCTCTTTCGAACGATCCTGATTCTCCTCCCCCTGTCCTTCTTTCTCCGGCAAGCCTGTCTTGGCGAGACGCCATTTTTTAACTGCATCAAAAAATTTTCTTCTTTCTCACCATTCACCAATCCTCTCTCCTGTTATAATCCATCCCACACAGTTCTTGAATTCCTGCTTGTGATTAATAAAAACGCAACGATCTTATTTCTATCTGGGGTGAAGGGTTATTAATATCACATCGTGCAAAGGGGCAAAAAAGTTTTTTCCTCCACCCCCCCTTCATTCCAAACATACAGTCTCCTGGTGGTGATTCATCAGAAGATTTACTTATCCATCTGTCACTCCCGGGCACAGAGATCCATAAATCAGCAGTCTTATCCTCGAACATTACTTGATGTATGTGCTTCAGCTTCATTCCAATCATATGTTTCCAATTATAATTCCGAGCTGAAGCTAACCAGCATGCGCTAATTGGAATCGGCGTCAGGAAGATCTGACTTCACCGAGGGCTCGTGCCAAGTGTTCGGCACCCCCATCTCTCGGATCAGGGGGTGCATTGTGAACACCACTGGCAAAGGCAGCGCCCCCCGTCTCCTGGGGGGGAAGGAAGACTGCATACTTCCCATAGCAGCCCCTTAATTACCTCGTATGGGTCAGAGAGATGTTATTGTCGGCCATCTTCCAACACGTCACCTGGTGGCCCCCCGGGTTCCAAGTTGTTTGAGTACCAAGGCGTTTGAGAAACAAGGTACCACTGTACTGTATTTTAACTTGGATGGGTCTCTATACCCATAACAAGACATGATTTCAACAACAAAAGATTAGTCCTGGGGGTTTGGAGCAGATGGACCCCTGCTATCTCCAAAAGGAGAAGCCAACGCAACTTGAATTTCCTTTGTTCCCACAACACCTGCCCCAGGGATGTTCCAGGTGAGGAATGTGGTCTGGAGATGCAAACCTTATTCTAACATTAGTTACAACTGGCTCTCGGCTCCTTTTGATCACAGCCCAGGCCTCCGTTGGTGGTGAAGTTCACCGTAAACCACCACCCACAACTAACAGGGGAGGCCACAGGCCTTGGAGTCCTTCAGAACAAGCATCGATGGGCAGAGTGTTCCCGGGTTTTTAGAAAATGTACTCACCACGGATAACAATTAGTTCTGAAAATCACCTGGTTCTCTCTCTCAAACACCCCACGACCTCTTTTAATTGCAGGACTGTACTGGCTTAGATGAAATTTGGGGACATAAGCAGAGGGATATAAATCCAGGCATTGCTTGAAGAACCGAGGTCTCTGCAGAAGTCACAGACATTCCTGAACTGCTGCAAAGCCTTGCAAGGATGAACATTGTGCTGATTACTATTGTGTTTGCTGGCACCTGCTCAGCAGTTCCTAAGTACGAGGTTCCTGTACCCATTCCGATGATGCCAGACTTGAATCTAAAGAAGGTAACGGGAACATTTCTCTCCTTCACTTGTAACTAGGGATGGTGACAAATTTATCAATAATCGAGCTTGCACAGCCTTGTTCACCTGATTACAGACTTTGCAAGCTGACTGTGCCCTCTTTATAACCCACCTGTTTCTCCACGGAGTGCAAGGTGATGTACCTGGTTCTCCCCTTCCTCATTTAATCCCCACAACAACCCTATGAGGTAGATTGGGCTGAGAGGCAGTGACTGTGAGCTTCATGGCTGAACAGGAATTTGAATCCTGGTCTCTCCCATGCCCTAACCCAGTGGTTCTCCAAGGCTGTGTTGTGCCACACTGGTGTGGCAGGAGAGGATGGCAAGTTTAGCAGGAAGAACCAAGGACCAATAACGAAACATTTAAACATTTCAGTGTAGTATGTATATATAGCATTGTTTTATACAGCTGTACCTTAGTTCTCGAATGCCTTGGTACTCATACATTTTGGCTCCTGAACGCTGCAAACCCGGAAATAAGTGTTCCAGTTTGCGAACGTTTTTTGGAAGCCGAACGTCTGATGCCACTTCCTCTTGACTGCAGGAAGCTCCTGCAGCCAATCAGAAGCTGCTCCTTGGTTTTCAAACAGTTTTGGGAGGTGAACGGACTCCAGGAACTGATTAAGTTTGAGAACCAAGGTGCTACTGTACTTATAAAGTAGTTGTGTTCTGTGTTATTAATCAAGCACTGCTAGGAGTTGCTTCTTTTCATTTTGCAATGTATTTCTTATCAATAATAATAATAATAATAATAATAATAATAATAATAATAAAACAACTTGATGTGGCTTGAAAATAATTCCATTCTGAAAGAGGGGCCCAGAGTGGGAAGTCTGAGACCACTATGCTACTTTAGCTACCAGTCTACAATATATATTAAAATGTCTTTCTCAATAACACACAAATAAACCTCTTCTTTGTAGCTCACTGGTAAGTGGTTTCCTATTGCAACGGTACAGTATGACAAACAGACGAGAGAAGTCTATGGCTATTTAATGGAGCCCCAAAAGAATGGAGAACTGGTCCTCAAAATTGATGTTCCTAAGTAAGTCTGCATCCACTGCTATGATCATTATCTACCTTCACAGTATAAAGGGAAGGGTCCTGAGGCTTGGCCTGTTGCCTACCTACCCCTGCCTCTTTCAGCAGGGAGGCTAGGTCATACACCCAGGGATCCAGCCTTAGCTGCATCCCTGATCCCTGAAAGTCAATTACATCAGCTGAGATTCTGAATGTCTATTGGGCAGCTTCCAGTTGCTCCCTCTTCTTCTGAAACTGGGCAATGGGCCCCACAGAAGTCCAAGCTGCTGATGGAGATGATGTCACAGGAAAATTTGTTCTTTTGGGGAGGGGTGCTGGGAAGGGGAAGGAGTGGAAAGGTCAGGACCATCTTGGCAGGCTGGGACAGAGGAAACCATATTTCTTAAAGGCACTACAACTTGATTCTCAGAGGAAACATGGCCCTGGCTGAGCACCTGGAACCCCTTTGAAATCTTGTGCAGAGATTGGGGGAGGGGGGCTTGCTGATTGGGTGGGGAAGCAACTTGACAACCCTGCCTTTCTTTCCAGAAATGGAGAATGTCGGCGTAGAAGAGTTGTTCTATACCCTATAAAGCGGGCCGAATTCGATACTGAAGGTAAGTTTAATAGATTTCTCCATTATCTCCATCAACACATGCACGCTCTTTCTTTTGCATCTGTGTAAGTGACTCCCATGGCTGTTAATGGATCTTTTGCGGCTCTTTTTTCAATAGATGAGAAGACTACAGTACACATTGTGGATACAGATTATGAGACTTACCATATCATCCACTTCCTAATGGAGCATATGGGCATGCTACAGCTGTATGGTATGTCTGGAGCTTACTTGGGTGCCGTAGGTTACAATGGGCACACCTGTCAGCTTTTGAAAATCTCACCCATCCTCCCAGTTTGTATAAGGTAGGCACAGGCAACCTTCAGCCCTCCAGATGTTTTGGACTACAATTCCCATCATCCCTGACCACAGGTCCTGTTAGCTAGGGATCGTGGGAGTTGTAGGCCACAACATCTGGATGGTCGAAGGTTCCTATGCCTGGTCTAAGGATATGTAAACACCACCACTAATTGCCAATAGAGTAATCCACCACCACCCCACAGCTAGATTTGTCAGAATAATGGGAGCATCACGATAAAACCCCAACAACAAATTTGCCGTAATCTACTGGCAATTCAAATTTTCGTCCCCACGACAACCCTGCGAGGCAGAGTAGCTTAAAGCGCTGGTTGACGTGCTCTGTGCAAATGTGCCTCACAAGCCCCTGAGGGTTGCATCAGGATGGGACAATTCAGAATGGAGAAGGAACTTTGCCCTACACTTCTGGTTTTTCATTTCAAACCTCCTCCTTCTGAAGCTGTTCTTTAAAAAAGGGGGAAGGGAAGGAGTCAGGCAAGAGGGATTTGTTAAGATACTTAACAGCGTGATGAAGCAGCAAAAAAGAGCTAATGCAAATCTCAGCTGCATCAGCAGAAGTATTGTGTCCAGATCCAAAGATGTCACAGGACCACTCTATTCTGCCTTGGTCCAACCACACCTGGAATACAGTGTCCAGTTCTGGGTGCCACAATTTAAGGAGGATATTGACAAGCTGGAATGTGTGCAGAGGAGGACAACCAAGATGATCAAAGGAATGCAAATGAAGCCTTATGAGGAATGGTTGAGGGAGTGTTTATTTTTGCTTGGAAAAGAGACTGAGAGAATATTTGATAGTCATATTCAAATATCGAAAGGAACTGTCACATGGAAGAGGGAGCAAGCTTATTTTCTCCTCTGGAGGGTAGGACTCAATCCAATGGATTCAAGTTACAAGGAAGGAGATTCGCACTAAACATCCGGAAGTATTTTCTGACAGTGAGAGCTGTTAAACAGTGGAATGGACTCCCTCAGGAGGTTGTGGACTCTCCTTCCTTCGAAGTTTTTAAGCAGAGGTTGGATGGCCATCTGTCATGGATCCTTTATCTGAGATTCCTGCATTGCAGGGGACTAGATGAGCCCAACTGTACCATTCTATGATCTATCCTCCTGCACTATGATGCTGATTCTCAATGCCAACTCCTTGTTTGTGTCTTAAGGCAGGGAACAGACTGTGTCAGATGAAGTGAAAGAAAAATTTAAAACTTTGGCCACAGATTTGCAATTCGATCCAGAAGCAATCGCCTATGTATCCGAAAATAGTAAGGGCAATTTATGCTTAAGATTTTCTCCACCATGGTTTGAAGGTATGGTGATGATGATGCTAGCCGCTTGGACTCTAGAGATCACCAGGTATTATTAGAATCTGGATATGAGGGAGTTGGGTGGTGTTTAGCCTGGAGCAGAGGAGATTGAGAGAGGATGGGATAGTCCTCTTGAAATGTCTCCTGGGCTGTCACACAGAAGATAGCTTCTTTTCTTCCCTGTTCAGGGAAGTTTTTAATGTATGACATATTAGTGTATTTTTGGTATTTGTTGAAGCCACCCAGAGTGGCTGGGGAAACCCAGCCAGATGGGCAAGGTTACAAATAATAAATTATTATTATTATTATTATTATTATTATTATTATTATTATTTCTCCTGCTCTGGAGGCTAGCTTTTGAACTAGTGGATTCCAATTACAAGAAAGGGGATTCCAACTAAACATCAGGAAGTACTTTCTTACATTATTAGGATTTATTAAATTTGAAGATCTCGGGACAGTTCACAGTATAAAAATACAATATAAAAACACAAAAATACATAATAAAAAGGAGAAAAATAACAAAAAAACCCCCACCCCTAAGCCATCCCTCCCACAAACACATGTAAAAGGACATAGACTGTTCATCAGCCCAAGGCCTGGGTGAAGGGGAATGGTTTTGCCCAGTGCCTAAATAGATATAACGGTGGTTCCAGCCAATCCTCCCTGGGGAGAATGCCCACAGAATGGGGAGCCACTGCAGAAAAAGTCCGTTCTTGTGTTGCCACCTTCCAGACCTTTTGTGGAAGAAGCACATGAAGAAAGGCCTCACATGATGATTGCAGGATCCAGGTTGGTTTATGTGGAGAAAAGCGACCCTTGAGGTTTTATCAAGAGAAGGTTTTCTCCACATGTAGATAAGCATTATGGATCCTTTAAAAAAGAGAAACCCTACTGATATCTGAGAGCCAGTCTATTGTTGGCTCTGGAGCATGGCCCATAAGGAACAAAATCATCATCATCATCATCATCCTTAACTTGTTCTGTTCCCTGGACCCAATCCCACATCTTGCTCATTCACTGACAGCATTTCTTTTCATCCGCAGATCTCTGTATATAAGAAGATATGGAAAAGGTAAGATAATTAGTCCTCTGCACACTTACCTGGGAGGTCATAAGCTTTATTGAATTCAGTGGTGTTTACTCATCAGTAGACACATCTAAGGCAGTGGCGGAGCTTCATGCTCCAGCTCCGGGGGACAGAGAGCAGGCAGTGGTGGGGCTGGCTCGTGTCCCAGGGGCTTTAAAGGTCAGCACCAACGCTTTGAATTGTGCTCGGAAACATACTGGGAGCCAATGAAGATTTTCAGGACCAGTGTTATATGGTCTCAGCGGCCACTCCCAGTCACCAGTCTAGCTGCCACATTCTGGATTAGTTGTAGTTTCTGGGACACCTTCAAAGGTAGCCCCAGGCCTCAGGCAGAAGTCTCCATGAACACTGATAATTTTAGCTAGTTCAGACCTGAGACCCCTCCAGCATCCAACTGAATCTGACACTGACATCTTCCTGCTGATTTGCTGATATTATTATTAAGATTATAAGGATTTTATGTACTACCCTCTTCCCAGAGGTCCCAGGGCAGTTATCAGCTATGGCCTGGAGAGTAGGAACATTATCATTTGAAAACATCGGCAAATCAGGCTTTTGTTAAATGACCAGGAGCAGGGTGCAGAGGAATACAACTGCAACCTTTTGTGGGTCTTCTCCATGGGCCGAGGTCCCCACCTCTTGCTGTGATAACGGGATCTCTTGTCTTTTGCAATTCCATGCAGAAAGCCAAAAATAACATGGGAAAGATGTCTGCATGAGGATGGGGATGGAGGAATCATCCTGGAATCTGCCTCCTGCATTGCAAATACCAACCACCATTGTGAACCATTCCATTTGGAAAGAAAACTTGAATCATTTGGATCAGATATATATTCATAAATGGTATTCTAATCACATAAGTGGTACTGTTTTCTTGTCTGTTGGCCTAAGAGAAAGAAAACTATTATGTGTACACCCCAAATTCATAGCACTATATAATAAGGAAAATTCCTGAATTCTGAGATCCAGGCTTGGGGCAAGCACTCTTTGTTTCTGCATTAATTGTAGATTCCAGGTCACCTTCAAAGGTAGCCCCAGGGCTCAGGCAGAAGTCTCCATGAACACTGATAATTTTAGCTGGTTTAGACCTGGGACCTTGTATATGCAGACCGTGTTCTCTGACAGGGAGCTAAACCACCCACCCCACCCTGGCGAGTGTCCAAGAAAGGGTGTTTGCTCCATATGAAATGATCTTGGCAGTGGGTTAGGGGAACAAGGTTGGTCCCCTAAATGTTCCCCTGGGGCCTCCTTCCCAAAGCCCAGGAAACCTCTGCCCAGCTTAGGGAGGGAGGCGTTATGGTGCTCTGGTAGGTCCAAGAGCCCTCCTGCCACCTTCCCAAACACCACCTGGGTTTCCGAGGGAGGCAGAAAGGCTCCAGCATCCTGCCAGAGCCCTGGTGCTTCCTTAAAATGTTTAGTCGCTTGTCCCGTTAGATTGACAAAATGTTTAGGGGTGTGCATACCCCTGTGACCCCCAGAAAAAAGCACTGGCTCTGCCCATCATCGCTTGCTTGTGTTTCCACAGGGGAATGGAAGCTGGCACATCTGATGGGAGGGTGTTCCATAGGGAGGGTGCCACTACCAAGAAGGCCGTCTGCCTGGTTCCCTGTAATCTCGCTTCTCGTGGTTAGGAAACCAGCCCTTGGCGCTGGACCTCAGTGTCCGGGCTGAACGATGGAGGTGGAGACGCTCCTTCAGGTATACTGGGCCAAGGCCATTTAGGGCTTTAAAGGTCAGCACCAACACTTTGAATTGTGCTTGGAAATGTACTGGGAGCCAATGAAGATTTTCAGGATCGGTGTTATATGGTCTCCACGGTCACTCCCAGTCACCAGTCTAGCTGCCACTTTCTGGATTAGTTGTAGTTTCTGGGACACCTTCAAAGGTAGCCCCAGGCCTCAGGCAGAAGGCTCCATAAACACTGATAATTTTAGCTAGTTCAGACCTGAGACCCCTCCAGCATCCAACTGATTCCAATATTGACACCTTCCTGCTGATTTGCTGATATTATTATTATTATTATTATTATTATTTATATACCACCCTCTACCCAGAGGTCTCAGGGCGGTTATCAGCTATGGCCTGGAGAGCAGGAACATTATCATTTGAAAACATTGGCAGATCAGGCTTTTGTTAAATGACCAGGAGCAGGGTCCAGAGGAATACAACTGCAACCTTTGTGGGTTTTCTCCATGGGCCAAGGTCCCCACCTCTTGCTGTGATAACGGGATCTCTTGTCTTTTGCAATTCCATGCAGAAAGCCAAAAATAACATGGGAAAGATGTCTGCATGAGGATGGGGATGGAGGAATCGTCCTGGAATCTGCCTCCTGCATTGCAAATATCAACCACCATTGTGAACCATTCCATTTGGAAAGAAAACTTGAATCATTTGCATTAGATACATATTCATAAATGGTATTCTAATCACATAAGTGGTACTGTTTTCTCTTCTGTTGGCCTTAAGAGAAAGAAAACTATTATGCGTACACCCCAAATTCATAGCACTATATAAAAAGGAAAATTCCTGGATTCTGAGATCCAGGCTTAGGGCAAGCACTCTTTGGTGAGAGAACTCCAGTCGAGATCACAAAATACGCAGCAAAATAAAGCATGGAAATATAGGTTGTTGGACCTTTAAAATATGCTCTCTACAGTGATTTCCAAAATGTCCCCATTGGGGGGGGGAAACCTTTCTAAAGTTTCCTTCTTCCCCCAGGAGACCACAAGCTTGGAAAATAAAATGTAGTTTACTTATAAACTCATCAAAGGCCAGGTTCATGGACTTCAGAAAATTGCATAGGCAGTAAAACCTATCTTAGTTAGAAAGTAGTGGAACTTCCTAAATTTCACAATTCACAAAATGCCTCTGAAATGAAACAGCCTCTCTCTTCTTCTAATTTCAAGATGCTGAACACAACTATGATAATAAAATTTGTTGACTGGCTCCTGTTGAGGAGATACAAAGATGGTCATGTATATACGACCCAGTCCACATTGTGTATATGATTTCATTTGGCAACATTGCATTTCATACTCCTGATTGCACCATATGGTGCCATATCGCATCATACACACCAACCCCAGGACCAATGACCTGCAGTTGAGTCATGACATCCCGGTTTTATTATCTCTGATGTAAGATGATGCACTCATTAGTGTAAAGCAAAGCCTCGCAGGCATCACAGGGCGAAAGAAATGGACAGTAGCATAACCAGTTATGCACAGTGAAGGACTTCCCATTCCCAGCGGCGGAGCAAGCCGATCGGGCACCTGCCCTGCGCCCAGTACATGCCCTGCGCCCAGTGGTGGGGCCAGTTCCCCACAGGGCAGGGCGGGGCCAGCCAGGGCAGGACGCTCCGCTGGGCCTCCGAGAAGCCTGCCTGCCTCCTCCAACTCAGCGATCCAACAGCTGAGGGGGAGGCAGATGGCAGACTGTTTGGGGCGGTGAGGAACCTGTGGGCAGTCAAGCCAATCCATCACTCCCAAGAGAGACACGCGGCTCGGGCGCGCTGCAGGCCCCACAATGAGTGCCACCTGCCATTTTTTCACCCCCCGGGGTGTCCCGCCCCCACTGCCGCCCTTTCTCCGCCCCTGCCCATTCCCAAACCTCTGAAAGTAGAGTCATACCTCGGGTTAAAATTGCTTCAGGTTGAGCCTTTTCGGGTTGTGGTCCGCGGCTACCTGGAAGTAACGGAACGTGGGCAATGGCGGATTTCCTCCGATCGGGAGGAATCCGCTCCGTGGAAAACAGGATCTGAACCGCCACGGCGAGGCGGAGACCCACCAAAAACCACAGGCGGGAGAAGCCTGTGGACGTGGGATTCGGCTGGCACCTTTGCCACTCCGCTCGCGGGGAAACCTGGTTTTGGGGATCCGGAGCGACGTGGGGTGAGTGGCGCGGTGCTTTGAATCGACTGCTTCTTTCACGGAGTGAAGCCGCATTGCTGTTGCCGGAGAGCGCTGACTTTTTCCTGTGGACAATTGGATTTCAAACAACTGCCCGTGAGTAGAACGGAAAATTGGACTGTGAAATTTCTTAATTAGGCACCAAAAGCGGGAAGGTCTAAACAGGAAGTCCGCCTTCCGCTTTTGTAGACAGATTGAAGCAAAGACACGGCAAGCTAGAGTTCAGAAAGTCGTTTGTAAAGGACTAAATTTTCAACATTTAAAATTACTGAACCCCCCTTGGAAGGAGGAGAAGAGGGGGGAACCTTTTTTAGACTGTTTAAACCTGCAGAAGAGAGAGTAAAGAAAGGTAATTTTCCACCGTCTTGAACCTGGGAGCGGGGTGTCAAGACAGACGTTTTGGAGAAGCTCATTGACTATGGACAAACGTCTTTGACAGATAGTTAAAAGAACAGAAACATATTGATTCCATTGTTCCCTTTCGCTTTTAAAAGGAACAAAATTTTGACAAAATATCCGAAAAAGGAAAACTTTGTTGCCTTTAAATCTGCATTTAAAGAAAAAAGGAAAAAAAGATGGATACAAATAGAAATTGTTTCCCCTAGAGGGAGCTCGTGAAACTGTTATTAAAGCCGAACTGGGGAGTTTTGCAGCTGTAAAAGATTAAGATCGTGGGACCAGACTTCGACCTTGAATAAGAATGTGCTCAGAAGCTCTGGTGCTTGCCTTTTGCAAGACAAGTGCTTTATTGGAACAGTTACATGAGAAAATGGATTTGATGACAGTTGCGATAGGAAATTTTGGACAGGCAGTGGGTACCTATATAGAACCCACTCAGGAATTAATCCAGGAATGTGCTTTGACAGATGAGATGAGGGAGGAGGCTGTTGCTGGACTTCGGGTGGCAGAGATGGAGGGAGTTGCGGCCCAGCAGGAACATGAGTCGTTGGATTTGATGAATGAGCCGGGAAAAAGTCAGATTAGGAGAGACGGAGTTCTGCTTGGTTTGGAGATGGGGGGCTGGATGGACCCCCCTATGCAGAGATGTTTTGATTTTTCAAGTCTGGCTTTAGGCCAGGGGGAGCTTGGAGTTGTGGGGGCCCCTAATTTTGGAGGGGCCTTGAAACATGCCTTTAAATACCACATGGATTTCAGTGTTGACTATGGAAAAGGGGCTGACTTGTCGAGAAGGGACAAAAATATTGTCAAGTTGGAGTCTCCCAGAGTGAAAGGAGAAGAAGACAAAGTAAAGTACGGGTATAAACATGAAGAAGACCTGCGGAAGGGACATGGAAAAGACTTAAGAGCCTCGGATATAAGGTCACCAGGTTGATGGACTAGATGGATGGGATAGAAAGGACTGACAAAACCCGAGACCAGGAGAAGAGACGATGGGTGAAGATTGGAAGAAAGTTTTAAAAATTTATTTAGAAAAGTATTGCAAAATTAATAAGTATCAGAAAAATGTTGGAATGAAATTAATTGGCTTTAGCAGAAATGTTAAAAAGAATTATGTAAGAATATGTTATGGTTAAAAGAATTCGGTATAAATAAGATTTAAGTTTTAAGTTTTAAGGTTTTTTATGGTAAGATAAGGTTAAAATAGATTAAGGTAATTTAATGACAGAATATTGTGAAAGATGGAAAGGATTTGCTGACATATTTAACAATTAGAATACAAAAAAGGGAGGTGTGAGGAGGTCTATGAAATAAGTTAATGAAAGTTAAGGATTTGGGAATATTGGATTTGTTTTTAAATTTGTTGTATATTTTTGTTTTTTGATTGTGTTGCATTGTGTGTTTTGTTTTTTCTTTTTGATTTTGGCTTTCATTGATTTGTATTGTTTAATTGTTACTTTTATCTACTCTTTTCTTTCTCTTTCTCTTTTTCTTATTTTTTCCTTCTTTTTTTTTTCTTTGTAACTTTAAAATTCTCAATAAATATCATTTTTTAAAAAAGGAAGTAACGGAACGTGTTACTTCTGGGTTTTGCCACTCGCACATGGGCAGACGCTCAAAATGACGTCATGCGCAGAAGTGGCGAATTGCAACCTGCGCACACGCAGACGCGGGTTGAGTTCTCTTCAGGATGCGAACGGGGCTCCGGAATGGATCCTGTTTGCATCCAGAAGTACTACTGTATTTTTGATGAATTCAGACGACGAGAAGGGAGGCAAACCGAAGTCAGGTTCTTCTCAGCCTTCAGCATGTAAGGATGAGCCACACGGCTGCCTCAGAAAATAATTGGCAGCCAGTGCAGTCGGGCCAGGATTGGTACAATATGCTCAACCATCTTGCCCTAGTGAGAATTCAAGTTACCAAATTCTGCACCAGCTGAAATTTCTGAACTATCTTAAGAGGCAGCCATGACATTCTGAGCCATGGCTATTGAAGTTCCTCAAAACCAGCAGTCCTCAACACCACCTCTGAAACCGGCTGTGTCAGCTCAGGCAGGGGTGAAGGAAGGAGGGCGGTGGGGGTGGACAGTCCCAGGTGTCATCACTGAGGGAGGTGACATTGGGTGAGCTGCCCACCCATGACTCCCAAGCCTACCCCAAGCCATATTGAGGTTGAATCCTGACAAGATAAGACAGAAGTACTGTTTTGGGGGGACAGGGGTGTGTGGGTGTGTGGGACTCCCTGGTCCTGAATGGGGAAACTGTGCCCCCGAAGGACCAGGTTTACAGCCTGGGAGTAATTTTGGACTGACAGCTGTCCATGGAAGTGCAGGTCAATTCTGTGTCCAGGACAACTGTCTACCAGCTCCACCTGGTATGCTGGCTGAGACCCTATCTGCCTGCACACTGTTTCACCAGAAGTGGTACATGCTCTGGTTATCTCCCACTTGGACTACTGCAATGCTCTCGACATGTGACTACCTTTGAAGGTGACCCGGAAACTACAACTAATCCAGAATGCTGCAGCTAGACTGGTGACCGGGAGTGACAGCCAAGACTATATAAAACCAGTCATAAAGGATCTTCATTGGTTCCCAGTACCTTTCCGAGCACAATTCAAAGTGTTGCCCTAAATGCCCTAAATGCCTTGGCCCAGTATACCTGAAGGAGCGTCTCCACCTCCATTGTTCAGACCGGACACTGAGGTCCTCCTCCGAGGGTCTTCTGCTGGTTCCCTAATTGTGAAAAGCGAGATTACAGGGAACCAGGCAGAAGGCCTCAAAATTGGTGCCAAAGTATTACTACCCTCCTTTTCTGCCCCATTGTGTTCTTTTTTTTTAGATTGTAAGCCTGCAGGGACCAGGGCTGTCTTATCTTAACTGATAGTATGCAAGCTGCTCTGGGAACCATTTTTGTTGTTCTTGTTGAAAGGCCTGGAACAAATGCTCTCAGAAAATAAACAAAAACAGTCTGTCAGACCTGCTTGAAGAAGAAGACTGACCCTGACTGGTGCACAGATCAGCAGCAATAACAAAAGTTGGCCAGGAGTGGTGACTGATATAGGGGAGCAGTTCAGACAAAACCACCCAGAGGAATGGGCCTCTGCCCTGCCAAACCTCCAGGGTTGCATACCTATATGGCCAAATATACATCATCCTAGCTGTTCATGGTTTACCCAGCCACCTGCTGTCCATCACCTTGATATCTCTCATCCAACCATAGTCCTTGGAAAGACTTTCACTACCCATTTTTCACTGTGCATACTAGAACCCTCCTTGTAGCTAATATGGGGCTGTTCTTCATTTTAGCGTACAGTCATAAAATCACAGAGTTTTAGAGTTGGAAGGGACCGCAAGGGTCATCTAGTCCAACCCCCTGCAGTGCAGGAAACTTGCCCAAAATGGGGCTCAAACCCATAACCCTGAGATTAAGAGTCTCCTTTTTTTAGTTTTTTATTTATATTTTCAAATTTATACATTTCATTACTTTTACAATCAATTTAACATTTCAAAATTTGACTTCCTTCCCCCTTTTACTGCGGTTCCTTAAATTCATTTTTTCTGTCTTCTGCATATCCATACTCTGATAAAATTGCAGGTTATTACATTAATCCCGCTACTGTTTTTATCTGTTTATAATTTATCTGGAAATATTCAATAAACCATTTCCATTCTTTTATAAAAAGTTTGTTATCTTGATTTCTTATTCTTCCGGTAAGTTTTGCCATTTGTGCATATTCCATGAGTTTCTGTATCCATTCTTCCTTTACTGGGACTTCTGCAGTCACATTCTTGCTGCTGTAGTAGCATACAGAAATAAATTTCTATGCAATTTAGGTAGTTCTGTCCCTATAATTCCCAAAAGGAAAGCTTCTGGGTTTTTTGGTTTTTTTACAAACGTTATTTTAAACATCTTTTCCAATTCATTATATATCATTTCCCAATAAGCTTTAACCTTACTACAAGACCACCACATATGATAAAAAGAACCTTCCTTCTCTTGCCATTTCCAACATGTATTTGATTTAAATTGATACATTTTTGCTAATTTGAGATTAAGAGTCTCATGCTCTACCAACTGGAGAGTCGTTAGGTTCCTCCTTAACTGGCTCTTACCAGATTGATGGTCTCACTGGTAATGTGCCTAACCTAAATTCCACATCGCTCCCCTTCCCCACTTGACTCAGGGTGTGCTGTGAGGACCACTGAGCAGGAATCTAACTGCTTCCTAATTGCCTTGCATGTAAGAGATCAACTGGCATGACTTTAATAGTAAAATTAGAAAAACACTATCAGGTATTGTCATTTTTACTCCATACAGTGGTACCTTGGTTCTCAGACTTAATCTGTTCCCGAAGTCCATTCCAAAACCAAAGTGTTCCAAAACCAAGGCACACTTTCCCATAGAAAGTAATGCAAAATGGGTTAATCCATTCCAGACTTTTAAAAACAAGCCCTAAAACAGCAATTTAACATGGGTTTTACTATCTAACGAGACCACTGATCCATAAAATGAAAGCAATAAACAATGTACTGCAGTCATACAATCAATCAATCAGTAGCTGAACTGGGTTCCACATAGTTGCAAAAACAAAAACGCAAAATAAATAACAAAGACAGACAGACCTCAGTGTAACACTCAAAACGGAAGTGTGGCACTCAAAACAGAAGCATAACACTCAAAATGGAGCACGTTTGCCTTCTGAAAAAAGTTTGCAAACTGGGACACTTACTTCCGGGTTTGCAGTGTTTGATTTCAACAACAAAAGATTAGTCCTGGGGGTGGGGAGCAGATGGACCCCTGCTATCTCCAAAAGGAGAGGCCAACGCAACTTGAATTTCCTTTGTTCCCACAACACCTGCCCCAGGGATGTTCCAGGTGAGGAATGTGGTCTGGAGATGCAAACCTTATTCTAACATTAGTTACAACTGGCTCTCAGCTCCTTTTGATCACAGCCTAGGCCTCCGTTGGTGGTGAAGTTCACCGTAAACCACCACCCACAACTAACAGGGGAGGCCACAGGCCTTGGAGTCCTTCAGAACAAGCATCGAAGGGCAGAGTGTTCCCGGGTTTTTAGAAAATGTACTCACCACGGATAACAATTAGTTCTGAAAATCACCTGGTTCCCTCTCTCAAACACCCCACGACCTCTTTTAATGGCAGGGCTGTACTGCATTAGATGAAATTTGGGGACATAAGCAGAGGGATATAAATTGAGGCATCACTTGAAGAGTCTCAAACATTCCTGAACTGCTGCAAAGCCTTGCAAGGATGAACATTGTGCTGATTACTATTGTGTTTGCTGGCACCTGCTCAGCAGTTCCTAAGTACCAGGTTCCTGTACCCATTCCGATGATGCCAGACTTGAATCTGAAGAAGGTAACGGGAACATTTCTCTCCTTCACTTATAACTAGGGATGGTGACAAATTTATCAATAATCGAGCTTGCACAGCCTTGTTCACCTGATTACAGACTTTGCAAGCTGACTGTGCCCTCTTTATAACCCACCTGTTTCTCCACGGAGCACAAGGTGCTGTACCTGGTTCTCCCCTTCCTCATTTAATCCCCACAACAACCCTATGAGGTAGATTGGGCCGAGAGGCAGTCACTGTGAGCTTCATGGCCGAACAGGAATTCGAATCCTGGTCTCTCCCATGCCCTAACCCAGTGGTTCTCCAAGGCTGTGTTGTGCCACACTGGTGTGGCAGGAGAGGATGGCAAGTTTAGCAGGAAGAATCAAGGACCAATAAAGAAACATGTAAACATTTCAGTGTAGTATGTATATATAGCATTGTTTTATACAGCTGTACCTTAGTTCTCGAACGCCTTGGTACTCATACATTTTGGCTCCTGAAAGCTGCAAACCCAGAAATAAGTGTTCCAGTTTGCGAATGTTTTTCGGAAGCCGAACGTCTGATGCCACTTCCTCTTGACTGCAGGAAGCTCCTGCAGCCAATCAGAAGCTGCTCCTTGGTTTTCAAATGGTTTTGGGAGGCGAACGGACTCCAGGAACTGATTAAGTTCGAGAACCAAAGTGCTACTGTACTTATAAAGTAGTTGTGTTCTGTGTTATTAATCAAGCACTGCTAGGAGTTGCTTCTTTTCATTTTGCAATGTATTTCTTATCAATAATAATAATAATAAAACTTGATGTGGCTTGAAAAAATTTTCATTCTGAAAGTGTGGCCCAGAGTGGAAAGTCTGAGATCACTATGCTACTTTAGCTACCAGTCTACGATATATATTAAAATGTCTTTCTCAATAACACACAAAAAAACCTCTTCTTTGTAGCTCACTGGTAAGTGGTTTCCTATTGCAACAGTACAGTATGACAAACAGACGAGAGAAGTCTATGGCTATTTAATGGAGCCCCAAAAGAATGGAGAACTGGTCCTCAAAATTGATGTTCCTAAGTAAGTCTGCATCCACTGCTATGATCATTATCTACCTTCACAGTATAAAGGGAAGGGTCCTGAGGCTTGGCCTGTTGCCTACCTACCCCTGCCTCTTTCAGCAGGGAGGCTAGGTCATACACCCAGGGGTCCAGCCTTAGCTGCATCCCTGATCCCCGAAAGTCAATTACATCAGCTGAGATTCTGAATGTCTATTGGGCAGCTTCCCGTTGCTCCCTCTTCTTCTGAAACTGGGCAATGGGCCCCACAGAAGTCCAGGACTGGCCAACTCCCAGCTGCTGATGGGGATGATGTCACAGGAAAATTTGTTCTTTTGGGGGGGGTGCTGGGAAGGGGTGCAAAGGTCAGGACCATCTTGGCAGGCTAGAGGAACCTCTTAAAGGCACTATAACTTGATTCTCAGAGGAAACATGGGCCTGGCTGGGCACCTGGAACCCCTTTGAAATCTTGTGCAGAGATTGGGGGAGGGGGGCGTGCTGATTGGGTGGGAAAGCAACTTGACAACCCTGCATTTCTTTCCAGAAAGGGAGAATGTCGGCGTAAAAAAGTTGTTCTATACCCTATAAAGCGGGCCGAATTCGATACTGAAGGTAAGTTTAATAGATTTCTCCATTATCTCCATCAACACATGCACGCTCTTTCTTTTGCATCTGTGTAAGTGACTTCCATGGCTGTTAATGGATCTTTTGCGGCTCTTTTTTCAATAGATGAGAAGACTACAGTACACATTGTGGATACAGATTATGAGACTTACCATATCATCCACTTCCTCATGGAGCATATGGGCATGCTACAGCTGTATGGTATGTCTGGAGCTTATTTGGGTGCCATAGGTTACAATGGGCACACCTGTCAGCTTTCGAAAATCTCACCCATCCTCCCAGTTTGTATAAGGTAGGCACAGGCAACCTTCAGCCCTCCCGATGTTTTGGACTACAGTTCCCATCATCCCTGACCACAGGTCCTGTTAGCTAGGGATCGTGGGAGTTGTAGGCCAAAACATCTGGATGGCCGAAGGTTTCCTATGCCTGGTCTAAGGATATGTAAACACCACCACTAACTGCCAATAGAGTAATCCACCACCACCCCACAGCTAGATTTGTCAGAATAATTGGAGCATCACGATAAAACCCCAACAACAAATTTGCCGTAATCTACTGGCAATTCAAATTTTCGTCCCCACGACAACCCTGCGAGGCAGAGTAGCTTAAAGTGCTGGTTGACGTGCTCTGTGCAAATGTGCCTCACAAGCCCCTGAGGGTTGCATCAGGATGGGACAATTCAGAATGGAGAAGGAACACTGCCCTACACTTCTGGTTTTTCATTTCAAACCTCCTCCTTCTGAAGCTGTTCTTTAAAAAGAGGGCAGGGAAGGAAGGAGTCAGGCAAGAGGGATTTGTTAAGATACTTAACAGCATGATGAAGCAGCAAAAAAGAGCTAATGCAAATCTCAGCTGCATCAGCAGAAGTATTGTGTCCAGATCCAAAGAAGTCACAGGACCACTCTATTCTGCCTTGGTCCAACCACACCTGGAATACAGTGTCCAGTTCTGGGTGCCACAATTTAAGGAGGATATTGACAAGCTGGAATGTGTGCAGAGGAGGGCAACCAAGGTGATCAAGGGTTTGAAAACCAAGCCTTACGAGGAATGGTTGAGGGAGTGTTTATTTTTGCTTGGAAAAGAGACTGAGAGAATATATGATAGTCATATTCAAATATCGAAAGGACTGTCACATGGAAGAGGGAGCAAGCTTATTTTCTCCTCCGGAGGGTAGGACTCAATCCAATGGATTCAAGTTACAAGGAAGGAGATTCGGACTAAACATCCGGAAGTATTTTCTGACAGTGAGAGCTGTTCAACAGTGGAACGGACTCCCTCAGGAGGTTGTGGACTCTCCTTCCTTAGAAGCTTTTAAGCAGAGGTTGGATGGCCATCTGTCATGGAGCCTTTATCTGAGATTCCTGCATTGCAGGGGACTAGATGACCCCAACTGTACCATTCTATGATCTATCCTCCTGCACTATGATGCTCATTCTCAATGCCAACTCCTTGTTTGTGTCTTAAGGCAGGGAACAGACTGTGTCAGATGAAGTGAAAGAAAAATTTAGAACTTTGGCCACAGATTTGCAATTCGATCCAGAAGCAATCGCCTATGTATCCGAAAATAGTAAGGGCAATTAATGCTTAAGATTTTCTCCGCCCTGGTTTGAAGGTATGGTGATGATGATGCTAGCCGCTTGGACTCTAGAGATCACCAGGTATTATTAGAATCTGGATATGAGGGAGTTGGGTGGTGTTTAGCCTGGAGCAGAGGAGATTGAGAGCGGATGGGATAGTCCTCTTCAAATGTCTCCTGGGCTGTCACACAGAAGATGGAGTTAGCTTCATATTAGTGTATTTTTGGTATTTGTTGAAGCCACCCAGAGTGGCTGGGGAAACCCAGCCAGATGGGCGAGGTTACAAATAAATAATAATAATAATAATAATAATAATTATTATTATTATTATTATTATTATTATTATTATTATTTCTCCTGCTCTGGAGGCTAGCTTTTGAACTAGTGGATTCCAATTACAAGAAAGGGGATTCCAACTAAACATCAGGAAGTACTTTCTTACATTATTAGATTTGAAGATCTCGGGACAGTTCACAGTATAAAAATACAATATAAAAACACAAAAATACATAATAAAAAGGAGAAAAATAACAAAAAAAAACCCCACCCCTAAGCCATCCCTCCCACAAACACATGTAAAAGGACATAGACTGTTCATCAGCCCAAGGCCTGGGTGAAGGGGAATGTTTTTGCCCACTGCCTAAATAGATATAACAGTGGTTCCAGCCAATCCTCCCTGGGGAGAATGCCCACAGAATGGGGAGCCACTGCAGAAAAAGTCCGTTCTTGTGTTGCCACCTTCCAGACCTTTTGTGGAAGAAGCACATGAAGAAAGGCCTCACATGATGATTGCAGGATCCAGGTTGGTTTATGTGGAGAAAAGCGGCCCTTGAGGTTTTATCAAGAGAAGGTTTTCTCCACATGTAGATAAGCATTATGGATCCTTTAAAAAAGAGAAACCCTACTGATATCTGAGAGCCAATCTATTGTTGGCTCTGGAGCATGGCCCATAAGGAACAAAATAATAATAATCATCATCATCCTTAACTTGTTCTGTTCCCTGGACCCAATCCCACATCTTGCTCATTCACTGACAGCATTTCTTTTCATCCACAGATCTCTGTATATAAGAAGATATGGAAAAGGTAAGATAATTAGTCCTCTGCACACTTACCTGGGAGTTCATAAGCTTTTATTGAATTCAGTGGTGTTTACTCATCAGTAGACACATCTAAGGCAGTGGCGGAGCTTCATGCTCCAGCTCCGGGGGACAGAGAGCAGGCAGTGGTGGGGCTGGCTCGTGTCCCAGGGGCTTTAAAGGTCAGCACCAACGCTTTGAATTGTGCTCGGAAACATACTGGGAGCCAATGAAGATTTTCAGGACCAGTGTTATATGGTCTCAGCGGCCACTCCCAGTCACCAGTCTAGCTGCCACATTCTGGATTAGTTGTAGTTTCTGGGACACCTTCAAAGGTAGCCCCAGGCCTCAGGCAGAAGTCTCCATGAACACTGATAATTTTAGCTAGTTCAGACCTGAGACCCCTCCAGCATCCAACTGAATCTGACACTGACATCTTCCAGCTGATTTGCTGATATTATTATTAAGATTATAAGGATTTTATGTACTACCCTCTACCCAGAGGTCCCAGGGCAGTTATCACCTATGGCCTGGAGAGTAGGAACATTATCATTTGAAAACATCGGCAAATCAGGCTTTTGTTAAATGACCAGGAGCAGGGTCCAGAGGAATACAACTGCAACCTTTGTGGGTTTTCTCCATGGGCCGAGGCTCTTGTCTTTTGCAATTCCATGCAGAAAGCCAAAAATAACATGGGAAAGATGTCTGCATGAGGATGGGGATGGAGGAATCGTCCTGGAATCTGCCTCCTGCATTGCAAATACCAACCACCATTGTGAACCATTCCATTTGGAAAGAAAACTTGAATCATTTGGATCAGATATATATTCATAAATGGTATTCTAATCACATAAGTGGTACTGTTTTCTCGTCTGTTGGCCTAAGAGGGAAAAAAAACTATTATGTGTAACACCCCAAATTCATAGCACTATATAAAAAGGAAAATTCCTGGATTCTAAGATCCAGGCTTGGGGCAAGCACTCTTTGGTGAGAGAACTCCAGTCGAGATCACAAAATACGCAGCAAAGTAAAGCATGGAAATATAGGTTGTTGGACCTTTATAATATGCTCTCTAAAGTGAATTCCCAAATGTCCCCATTAAAAACAAAAACCTTTCTAAAGTTTCCTTCTTCCCCCAGGAGACCACAAGCTTGGAAAATAAAATGTAGTTTACTTATAAACTCATCAAAGGTCAGGTTCTTGGACTTCAGAAAATAACATAGGCAGTAAAACTTGTCTTAGTTAGAAAGTAGTAGAAAGTAGTGGAATTTCCCAAATTTCACAATTCACAAAATGCCTCTGAAATGAAAACAGCCTCTCTCTTTTTCTAATTTCAAGGTGCTGAACCCAATAAAGATAATAAAATTTGTTGACCGGCTCCTGTTGAGGAGATACAAAGATGGTCATGTATAAACGACCCAGTCCACATTGTGTACATGATTTCATTTGGCAACATTGCATTTCATACTCCTGATTGCACCATACGGTGTCATATCGCATCATACACACCAACCCCAGGACCAATGACCAGCAATTGAGTCATGACATCCCGGTTTTATTATCTCTGACCTAAGATGATGTGCTCATTAGTGTAAAGCAAAGCCTCACAGGCATCACAGGGGGAAAGAAGTGGACAGTAGCATAACCAGTTCTGCACAGTGAAGGACTTCCCGTTCCTAAACCTCTGAAAGTATTTTTGATCAATTCAGACAACAACAAGGGAGGCAAACTGACGTCAGGTTCTCCTCAGCCTTCAGCATGTAATGATGATCCATACGTCTGCCTCAGAAAATAATTGGCAGCCAGTGCAGTTGGGCCAGGTTCAGTGTAATATGCTCAACCATCTTGCCCCAATGAGCAATCAAGTCACCAAATTCTGTAACCAGCTGAAATTTCTGAACTATCTTAAGAGGCAGTGGTGAAGCTGCATGCTCCACTACTGGGGGCAGAGAGCAGGCAGGGGGTGTGGCGTGCGCCCTGGGGGGCGTGGTGCACATCCCGGGGGCATGGTACGCCGCCCGCGAGGGCGTGATGCGCATTCTGGGGGCGTGATGTGGCGCCTGTGGTGGCGTGACGCCCGGGCACATGCGGGGTGGTGCACGGTGCGTATCTGGGGGGAACGCCGTGATGGCACCCTACTGGAATAGTGGTATCAGGGGCGGTCTGCTCCCTCCTTGACACTGTTCCTCTGCCAGTGTTAAGAGGCAGTCATGAAATTGTGAGCCTGCCTGCGACTCCCAAGCCTACCCCGAGCCGTCGGGGAAGGGACAGAGCTGCGCCGCCTTGCCAGTGGCCTTCGCCACTTACCCCTTCATTTTGACTGTTAGATTGTGGGTGAACATATCAGACGACAAAGCGACTCTTCAAACAGCTCTTGTTTATTCACAGGCCAGAACTGAACTGAACTGAAGGGTTCAGCCAGCCTGCTTATATAGAGCTCCACTACAATGCAACTGTAACACTTTCTGTAACTATCCAATCACTGAACGTCACTTTCAATCCCTTATTTGCATATGTGGACATGAGTGAAAACTATCTACAGTATCCCCCTGCTGGCCCAGGGTGAGAACTTCAGTACATAACATTGACAGCTCAGGGGAGGCTTGGGAGTCACGGGCGGGTGGAGCACCATTGCCCTGCGCTCTCGGGCTGCTTACTGGGGGGGGAGCCTCCTCAGAGCTGTCAAAAGGAAGAGAGAAGGGAGGAAGGCTGCTGGCAAAGCGGCGCAGCTCCCTACCCGCCCCCCTGCCCAGAAAGCAGCCTGCCATGGGCATGTTGCTCCACACACACCCCATGGGTGTCTTGCTCTACCCCATGGGCGTCTCGCCCCACCCCACTGGGATGCTTGCCCCTCCCCCATGGCCCTGCCCCCGGGTACACAGCATGTGTGCCATTCTGCATCCCAAAGCAGCTAGCTCCGCCTCTGAGCTCAGGCAGGGAGACTGCTGGACAGCGAGGTGGGAGGTAAACCATCAGAATCCCAAATCTGTCCCAACACACACTAGATCCCTGCCAGCTGGACAGACAGCCTGGAGAGAGAAAGTCTCTATTTTTAAAAAGATAAAGGTAAAAGACTCCTGGACAGTTAAGTCCAGTCAAAGGCGACTATGGGTTGCGGCGTTCATCTCACTTTTCAGGCAGAGTGAGCCGACGTTTGTCCACAGGCAGCTTCCCGGGTCATGTGGCCAGAATGACTAAACCACTTCTGGCGCAATGGAACACTGTGACAGAAGCCAGAGCACATGGAAATGCTGTTAACCTTCCCGCCACAGCGGTACCTATTTATCTAATTGCACTGGTACACTTTTGAACTGCTAGGTTGGCTGGAGCTGGGACAGAACAACAGGAACTCACCCCGTTGCACAGATTTGAACCGCTGACCTTCCAATTGGCAAGCCCAAGAGGCTCAGTGGTTTAGACCTCAGCGCCACCCGCTCCCTCAAATCTCTATAGACTACAGCAACTCCCGCTCCCCAACCCTCAAGTGTGCCTGGTGGGTCAGGTACATGGTGGGTACAACTGAGTGACACCAGCTGCACCCTGCTCAGCAGCCCAAGTCTCATTTATATAGACCAGATAAGCCTCCTCATCCATAATCAGATCATGGGTGAGGGAGGTCTTATTGTGAGCCGACATGACATTCAATAGCAGCACCCACAGATGCCTGGACTCAGCAGAAGAACATAAAATATAATTAAATAAAACATTGACACTTCCAGGCTGCTGAGAACAACCAAAGCTTTCCCACCTCTCCATAAAAAGGGGGTGCTAAAATCGTTGATGAAGGTTGGCAATATTCCCATTGACCTTTGGAGTGGGATCTAGTCACAGGTTGACCCATTAGATTCCCAGCAGAGCAAGTGGTGATGAGCACAGTGTCCTATATGTTTCAGATGATGCCTACTAATGAAACAATTACCAGTACTTCTCAAAATAACCCAGTAATCTTCCTTTCCGGTGCAGAAATAGCTTCAAAGAGATGGGTGGGTGGATACTCTTGGATAAGTTTTGAGGAAGGAAGATCTATACTGACACTGCAGATCTTGCCCAGCTAGAGACAATTGCAAGGATGAAACATCGACTGTTGAGTTTGGCATTGACCTGTCTATACTTGCTTCATGCTTCAGCCCTTGTCAATGTTCAGCCAGACTTCGATATCACAAAGGTAACCACAAACGTATCTCCAAATGGGTGTTTTTATCCAGACCAAAGCAGAAAGTAGAGGGTAGGAGGGGACACTACATCTGTCAGCTCTATTTCTGATGGAGACACTTGTCCCATTACAAAATGGCAGCTACTGCAGTGTTGTGGCAGCAAGAAAAGTGTTGAATGCCTCCCAGCAGTCAGTTCAAGGCTCCAAAGCCACAGTGAGGCAATGATTTGACACTGCCATTTTGGGTCCTTAAACTTTGGAACACAATGACCACCTGTCTTGGGCTGCGGGCAGGAGGTAGGAGATATCCCAACAATCCTTTAATCTAAGGAGGGCACATGGAGATCTTTGACATATGTAGCCAATGGGATTTGGTCTCTTATTTACTCAGGCGTTATGGAAGTTGTGAGCACTTCCAGTAGCTGTGAACTATATGCAAGTGAGTGAGAGGATGTTATGTTTGTTCTGCTGTTTGTGTGCCTATACACACACACACACAGTTATATATATATATATATATATATATATATATATATATATATATATAAATTTCCAATATGCTTAATTAATGCATGAAGGGGTTAATACTTTAGCATAAGCTGTCCCACCAGCCTTAGCTATGTCCACTTGCCCTCAGCTTGGGAGGAACTTTGTTCTCCTTTAAGTCTACCTGGGAAGCTCAGTATGTAAAGAGGTTTGAGCTGGTTGCTCCAGTTCAACTGCATGGCTCTCATCAGCCACTCTTGAGTTCCTATTCCACTGATTTAGGAACCTTCATCACTTTGTAGCTATGCTATGTTTTACTGCCTGTGCAACCTTTTCTGAAGCACATGAATCTGACCTTTGGAGGGTTTGTAAGGAAACCAGTTTTTCACTTACCCAACATGTGGTCTTTTTCCTATGCTGGAGAAGCAGGAAACCTTGAAAAGAAACTGTTTAAAGGGGGGATTTTGGAACTCACTTTACATGGCAAACTTTAGTCTAACAGCCTATATTTACACCCTTTGCTGCTTTTAAATATCTATACGAAGCTACTAGAAGAGATCATCAGGGGGCTTGGGCTGGGTGTTCACCAGTTTGTGGATGATATCCAGCTCTGCCTCTTCTTCAAATCAGAACCAGTGAGTGCAGTGAAGGTCCTGTGTGAGTGCCTGGAGGTGGTTAGAGGATGTATGGCGGCTAACATATTGAGGTTGAATCCTGACAAGACAGAAGTACTGTTTGGGGGGGACAGGGGATGTGTGGGTGTGGGGGACTTCCTGGTCCTGAATGGGGAAACTGTGCCCCTGAAGGACCAGGTGCACAACCTGGGAGTCATTTTAGACTCACAGCTGTCCATGGATGTGCAGGTTAATTTTGTATCCAGGGCAACTGTCTACCAGCTTCACCTAGTATGCCGGCTGAGACCCTACCTGCCTGCACACTATTTCACCAGAGTGGTACACACTCTGGTTATCTCCCACTTGGACTACTGCAATGTGCTTTACGTGGGGCTACCTTTGAAGGTGACCCGGAAACTACAACTAATCCAAAACGCAGCAGCTAGACTGGTGACTGGGAGTGGCTGTCGAGACCATATAACACCGGTCCTAAAGGATCTTCATTGGCTCCCAGTACGTTTCCGAGCACACTTCAAAGTGTTGGTGCTGACCTTTAAAGCCCTAAATGGCTTCACCCCAGTATACCTGAAGGTGCGTCTCCACCTCCATCATTCAGCCTGAACACTGAGGTCCTCCTCTGAGGGTCATCTGCTGGTTCCCTAACTGCAAGAAGCGAGATTACAGGGAACCAGGCAGAGGGTCTTCTTGGTAGTGGTTCCCCCCCTCCCATCAGGAATGCCCTCCCATCAGATGTCAAGGAAATAAACAACTATCTGACTTTTAGAATACATCTGAAGGCAGCCCTGTTTAGGGAATTTTTTAATGTTTGATGTTTTATTGGTTTTGCTATTCTGCTGGGAGATGCCCCCCAGCCAGATTGGGGGGGGTATTAATGATGATGATGATGATGATGTTGCTGCATATTTAATTTTTTTAAAATGATATTTATTGGAAAAAAAATTTTTAGAGTTACAAAAAAAAAAAAAAACAAAGTAGAAAAAGAACAAAGAAGGAACAAAGAAAAACACAAACCACATCCAACAATACAAATTCAAAAAAAACAAAAAAAAAACAAAATACACCGCAAACATTTAAAAACAAATCCATTATTCTCAAATCCTCAACTGTCATTACCTTCTTCCTTTGACCTCCTCCTCCTCCCTTTTTTTGTATCCTAGTTGTTAATTGTTGCAGCAAATCCTTTCCATATTTCATAAAATTCTGTCATTACATTACCTTAAACTATTTTAATCTTATCTTACTATAAAAAACCTTGAAACTTAAAACTTAAATCTTATTTTTACCAACTTCTCATAACCATAATATTCTTACATAATTCTTTAAACATTTTTATTAAAGCCAAGTAATTTCATTCCAACATTTTTCTAACATTCATCAATTTTATAAAACAATCCTAGTAGTAGAAAAAGAAATAAAAACAATCCAATCTTCATCCAGCGTCCCTTCCTCCTGGTCCCGGGTTTTGTCAGTCCTTATTATCCCATCGATGTAGCGCATTAACCTGGTAACCTTATATCCGAGTCCCTTAAGTCTCTTCCATGTCCCTTCCGCAACTCTTCTTCATATTTGTAACTGTATTTTCCCTTGACTCCTGCTCGTTTCACTCGTGGGAACTCCAGCTTAACAATATTTTTGACCCTTCTCGACAGATCAGCCCCTTTTCCATAATCCACACTAAATTCCATGTGGTATTTAAGAACATGTTTCAAAATCCCTCCAAAATTAGGAGCCCCCACAATCCCAGACATCTCACGGCCCATTGCCAGACTTGAAAAGTCCAAACATCCCTGCATAGGGGGGTCTATCCAGCCCCCCATTTCCAAACCAAACCAAACTTTTTCTTTCCAAATCTGGCTTTTTCCAAGTTCATTTGTCAAATCCGAAAGCTCATGTTCCTGTTGGGCCTGTTCTGTCAGGGCACACTCCTGATTTAATTCCTTGGTGGGCTCCACATATTTTCCCACTGCCTGTTCAAAATTTCCCACAGCCTGTTCAAAATTTCTAATCGAATCAGCCATTAAATTTGTCTTCTCATGTAGCTGTTCCAGTAGGGCATTTGTTTTATAGAAAGCACACAACAGAGCTTCTGAATACATTGTCCTGCAAGGTCAGATGTCTATTCCCACGATTGTAATCTGTAACAGCTGCCAGCTCCCCGAACTTCGATGTTGCTGCATATTTTATTACTTTAAATCTCTGCTGGGTTCTCTTACCAAAGAGTACTTGCCCCAAACTTGAATCTTGACATCCAGGAATTCTGCTTTCTATATACTATTCCCCCACCACCACTACCATCAAAGAGTGAGCATTGCTTCCTGAAATGATGTGAGTGGAAAGAGGATCATTCCAATGCATGCATTTTTGGCGAGGAAATTGACTTAACTCCTCTTTCTAGTTTGCTGGAAAATGGAACCTCATTGCACTGGCTATGAAAGAAGGTCAACCATCAGAGGACAACAGGATTCATACTACAGTTGTGTTTGATAATGGAGTCATCGCTTTCAAAACACGGGTTCCAGTGTAAGTTCTCTTGAATTACTTTGAGACCACCTTCCTTTGTTTTGCAAGGCCCATCAGTTCCACTTGCTGGAGTGAAGGGGCAGCGGGGGCAGGGGCGGGCGGGGGGCACTAACATGCAATGATCTGGAGAGGCTTCCAATCCCAAATTTCAGCTGCTGCAGGTACAAATAGTGGGAGGAAGCTCACTTCTGCAGAAGCGCCATGATCTTATATTTTCTTTCCAGAGGGAAGGCGTGTAAAAGATTGCAGACTCGTTTTTTCCCAGATGAGCAGCCTGGAATATACAGGACAGGTAAACAGCAAGTGATTCACTCTTCATTCAGGGTGGAAGGAAATTAGTATTCCAACCACCCTCCCATGGGAAGCGAAGTGTTTCCAATCCACCTCTATCCCCCTCTGACAGGGGCTTCCAGTTGGGGGCTTCATGCTGCAGTTGGGGACTTGAGATAGTCACAGATGGATTACTGACAATGGGTTTATTTAACATTGGATTTTCGCTGAAAAGTGAGAAATCTGATTTAATGCGGGGGGTGGGGTCCAGAAACTGGTATTCAGGAGCACTGCTGTCTTCAACTGTGGATAGCAGAGCATAGCTACTGTGACTAATAGCCATCAATAGATCTCCCCCACCCTTTAAAGCCGTCCATATTTGTGGCCATCACTGCCTCCTATAGGATTTCCACAGTTTAATAATAATAATAATAATAATAATAATAATAATAATAATAATAATTTATTTGTCCCCAGCCACTCTGGGCAGCTTCCACAAGACCCAAAATACACCAATATGTCATACATTAAAAACGTCCCTGAACGTCAGATGTCTTCTGAATGTCAGGTAGTTGTTTATCTCTTTGACATCTGATGGGAGGGCGTTCCACAGGGCGGGTGCCACTACCGAGAAGGCCCTCTGCCTGGTTCCCTGTAGCTTTGCTTCTCACAATGAGGGAACCGCCAGAAGGCCCTTGGCACTGGACCTCAGCGTCCGGGCAGAACGATGGGGTTGGAGACGCTCCTTCAGGTATACTGGGCCGAGGCCGTTTAGGGCTTTAAAGGTCAACACCAACACTTTGAATTGTGCTTGGAAACATACTGGGAGCCGATGTAGGTCTTTCAAGACCGGTTTAAGTATGGACTGCATAAGAAAGTGCTTTCTTTTAAATGTCCCAAGTCTTCCAGCATTCAGAATCATTGGATGCCCTTCAATTCTAGTGCTACGTGAGAGGAAGGAAAGCTTCTATCCACTTTCTCCAGCAAAACCTTGTATGGCGATGTCATTGCCAATACATTGGAGAACTGGGGTGGGGGTGGAATCAGTTCTACTTGGAACCGCCCCGCCCCCCCCAAGGCATATGTCCATCTGAGGTAACTGCTGCACCAAACTGTAAGAGAAGTGTGTGCCCTTAAAGGATCTCTTTTGTGGTTCTGATTCAGATGCAGGGAAGACCACCGTTTACATCATGAAGACAGATTACATCCATTTCGCCATTATTTTCGTTTACACAAAAGAAATGGAGGTCCTGCAGCTATACGGTATGTGTCTTCATTGATGGGAAAGAGTGTGTTGTGAGATGTAAATGTGAGGCTACTGAATGTGTCAGGTATACTGGCTAGCTGCAAATATACAAGAGTGTTAGATCCTCTGAAAGCCTTCCTCCACTCTCTGTTGTGCAATTTGAAGCAGAGATGAAGTTTCTTCATCTCCACTCCAAATCACCTCCACCAAAGCTCCTCTTTCAAAATGAGTAGCGTTTACCTCCCCAACCACAGAGCTGGTCCAGGAGAATATGATGGCACTGGTGTAGCATGGAGGCAGCACAGGGGCAGTTGCCCCAGGTGCAAAATTGTTGGGGGGAACAAACTTTCAACACTTGCTGCTTCTTTAATACAGCAGCATGCTTCTGTTGCTGGGCTCCACTGATAACAGCTTCTCCATGCAAACCAGGAAGTGGCCTTTCCAGACAATGGAACGACTCTTCTTATGTCTGCGGGTGACACAGATGCCGTTAGGCAGTTGAATGCGCATGCGTACTCCATCCATTTCCCTCCCTCCTCTCTGCGAGGCCCCAGATGCTGGCAACCCACAATAGGCCACTGTACCATGGTCAATGGTATCCAAAATCACTGCACCATGAAGAAGCGGGAGCAGGCCCACTCCCTTCTTCTCTAAGTCATCCATTGTGCTGAGCGGAGTCATTTCAGTGCCAATCCCAGGTCAAAAATCAACTGGAAATGGGCCTAGATAACTCGTTTCTTCTTAGCATGCCTGAAGCCACAGGACCAATGTTCTCTTGAGCACCTTTCCTGAAAAGGGAATGTTTGGAACTGGGGGTGGTAGTTGTCATACATGCCAGATGTGTTTTGTCTTCTAAAGTCTTCTCTAGTGGGATATAGCTAGAGAAAGGCAGGTACAGATACAGACAGGAGAGCAGGAGCAAAGTGAAAACGGAGTCTTTGGGGCCTCGGCACCGTTGCATTGCAGAAGGGCTTTAGAGCACTCTGAATCTGCAACAGCATAATGTGTTATACAAACTGGCTCCCTGAAGGCACACACAAGATCTTCTCCCACCATATGCCTCTGAAGACTTTCTAAGCCAAAACAAGTACAGTGGTACCTCGGGTTAAGTACTTAATTCGTTCCGGAGGTCCATACTTAACCTGAAACTGTTCTTAACCTGAAGCACCACTTTAGCTAATGGAGCCTCCTGCTGCTGCCGCGCCGCCGGAGCACGATTTCTGTTCCCATCCTGAAGCAAAGTTCTTAACCTGAAGCACTATTTCTGGGTTAGCGGAGTCTGTAACCTGAAGCGCATGTAACCTGAAGCGTATGTAACCCGAGGTACCACTGTACGGCATATTTTAGTGCTGTGGTGCAGTTAGCATTTGAAAGGCTATTCAGCCAGCACAGCAGATATTTCAGAATATACTGATGTGGTATTATACACTGCATCTGCATTGCAATGTTGGGAAGCCACACAGCGTGGTTTGTTTATAGTGTCTGTTCTATTCCTCTATCCCCTTTTGAAAATAATAATAATCTAATTATTTTATTATTTATATGCCGCCCATCTGACTGGGATGCCCCAGTCACTCTGCATGACTCCCAACCAAATATTAAAATCACAATAAAACATCAGCCATTAAAAACTTCCTTTTGAAGCCATTCACATCCTTTTTGTGGCAGATTTCATCCTTTAACTATGTGCTTCAGATCCAAAATGCATTTGTTGCTTGAGATTCAAAATAAGTATGTTCCATCTCTTTTTTTCTCCCTTTTATTCCTCAATGTGACAACTTTTTGGGGGGGTCTGAAGTCAGGGAAGAGGAAGCATCAACAGAAGTGATAGAAATATACAAGGAGGTTGCAGCGTCAATAAATCTGTCTGTCGACAAGATCATCTATCTTCAGAGATCTGGTAATATGAGGTTCTCTTATGCCTTATTATTTCCAAATTTGAGATAAATAGTGATGCAATTTCTTTTTTATTTAAACAAAACGGATCACAATTTTCTAGCAATGATGATCAAGGTAGTTTATGTTGAGGAAATAAGTAGTATGAAGAATATCTTGACTGCCCCTGGTTGGTGTTTACTTGCATTCTGTACCTTGGTCCCAATTCCACATCCTGCTCTGAGACCTTATCTCTTTTATTCCACAGATTCTTGCGCAGATGTATGAAGTAAGACACCTGAACCTGGAACTGTGTGTGACTGCAAAGGTGTGAATCAAAGTTGTTAAACCCTCCCATTTGGAAAGAAAATCAGCTGGATCTCATTCCCATAAATGTTACAAGATGATGCACCAATACCACGACCAGTCATTTAATTATCTTGAAAACTAGTCGAAACTGAAATAAAACCATCCAAGACCCATATAAATGTGTTCAATATATTTTCGCTTAATCAATTTACCCTACGAATCTATAGGCCACCTTCGTAACACTTCAAGGGGTTAGCATTGCAAAAATGTGTAATATAAAGGAAAGGAAATCACCGTATTATAACAAGAAGTTGCCGTTGTAACAGCAATGATAAGAATTTTAAAAGATATTAAGATTTCTTCTTTGTGCTCTCTGTGCAGACAATCATAGAAAAGTGGGTGTGGCCAATGGGAAAGGTGGATTAAGGGCCATAGCTTTGTTGCAAAGCACCTGTCTTCCTTCCACGCAGAAGTTCTATCCTCATCAACATCTCCAGGTAGGGCTTCCCTGGAGCATCTGGTTGGCCACTGGACTAGACAGGCATTTGCTCAAATTCTGGCAAAATAGCTCTTTTCATGTCTTATAGGCAGACACAAACACCAGCCTGTTCTCCACAGCGACAGTGTGGAGCATCACTTCTGTGTGAGTTTGTGTGTGTGATGCCCCTTTCAGTTGTTTTATGACACATCACATGGAGGGATTTCAAAATTCCCACCAAAAGAAAAGGATTGACAAGATTTAGGGACATACACAGTACAATCTGTTCAGGACCATCCCATCCTCCATGAGGAGGAATCTACAAAGTGTCCTGGAAGCATCAAGAAGTAAGAGGACATAAGCCGAGGTATGTCAGAGAGTAGAGGAAAGCGATGGAGTGTTGTTTGGAGCTGCTGCAGAACATATTGATGCACACCACCCAAACTCTGAGGGGTGCAAGATTCCAGGTGCTTACCTAGGGTTCATGTTTCCTTTTGGAATGAGGCATAGTGGAGACTGTGGTATCTTTATGATATATGGTTTATTCACAAATATATACAACCTGAGACTATGATTGAGGGGTTCACAGCTAACACCCCAAAGGGTACTGGTCCTCCCATAGACACAGCCTTGGATTCAAACAAACATCAAAAATTGTTCTCTTTCTCTCCAGCTTGATGTTTCCTTCCAGGTCACATCCCTGCCCCCCCAAACACTCAACCCTGGCTCTCCCCCACCCTGAATCGAGGGGTGGTATTTGCCATCTCCCACACTATCCCTTAATCCTGCTTAATGGTTCATCACCCAGGCTATCACCTCACCAGGAAGATAGTTTGGCTTGATTTATATTTTAACACTTGCTGGTTCCAGTGATTAGTGGGGTCTTGAATCCAGTTTAACTTCCCTAATTCATAACACTATATAGAAAGGAGAATTCCTGGGTGCCAGGTTTGGGGCAAGTACTCTTTGGCACGAGAACTCCAGCAGATATTTAAAATCACAAAATAAGGAGCAAAGTACAGCATGGAAATATAGGTGGTTAGACCTTTAAAATATGCTCTTAATGTCTCTTTTACAAACTTGCTTTCTCAGGTTTCCCTCTCCTCCCAGCATAAAAATCAGTTTACTTCCAAACTCTTCAAAGGTCAGGTTTGTGGACTTCAGATAACTGCACAGCCAGTAAAACGTGGCTTAGTTAGAATGTAGTGAAAATTCCTAAATGGTATAGGAACACAAAAGTGGCTTGTGAGAGCCATGCAGCTAAGCTGGATCAACCAGTTTTCCACACACTGAGTTCATCAGATAGGTAGGGGTGGGGGGGGGTGACAATCAGCTTGTTTACCTATTTCCTCCCAAGGTGAGGGGAAGTGCCCTAGGTTAAGCCTGGCAGGACAGCTTACTCTATGGTATTAACCACTTCATGCATGAAGCATATTGGTTGATGCTGGTTATCCCACAGTTGGAGTCAGAGACGCAGCTGGAGTGTCTGGTGAGACTGGCAATTGGAAAGATGAAAAATGGAGGACAAAGAATGAGAAGAATGAGATGGGAGGGAGAATGGAAATGCAGGGAAAGGGTTTGGAGGAGGAGAGCCAGCCAGCTGAAGTTAGGGTTGAAGAATGGTTATTTAGCATTTCATATGGATGATCTGTTCTGGGCATTACTTTGTATATACATACCCTCAATACTGGTTTTAGCTAACTGTGTCATGGTCTGAGTGTTGTCAGGCGGGAGTATTTTCAAGCCCTACATGGGACTGGACCTGGAACCTCCTGGATACAACACAGGCGCATTGACTGCCAAGACCCCTTCAACCAAGAGAGCTAAATAAACGTAAAACATGTTGATATCACAGGAATGAAGCTTTTTGCAGGTTACAACCGTTGGCACAAAATGTATTGTGGGTTTACACAATTTGACACAATCACAAGAGGGAAAGTGCTATTGTTTCCTCTGATATAGCCATCTGTTTACAGTGGTGCCTCGCAAGACGAAATTAATTCGTTCCGCGAGTTTTGTCGTCTTGCGATTCTTTTCGTCTTGCGAAGCACGGTGTCAGAAAAGTTTTGGAAAAGCTTCAAAAATCACCAAAGTCTTCAAAAACCTCAAAAAAGGCTACCACACCGCGTGCTATGAGTTGCTCCTCGAAGTCAAGTCGCAACTGTATTAACGGTGTTAAGAAAAAGGAAACAAACTTGTAAGACGTTTCCGTCTTGCGAAGCAAGCCCATAGGGAAAATCGTCTTGCGAAGCAGCTCAAAAAACCCTTTCGTCTAGTGAGTTTTCCGTCTTGCGAGGCATTCATCTTGCGAGGTACCACTGTACTTCATCATTACCACATCTCAACCTTTCCTATGAAGAATGAACTTCTGATCTTGACAGACGGTATTATCAATGTGATATGGCTGTTGTAGAGTGCTGCTATCTAGTACTTATCCAGGCAATGCATATTGTATTTTTAATAAGACAGAGGCGTAGGTGTCTTTTTGATCAAGGTGGCTAGTCCAACTCCCTGCAATGCAGGCATCCTGTCCACAGCCATATATATAAAATAATTACAACAGAAAAATCCCCTCTCCCACACGACATATATTAATAAGCCTCTATTTCATATGGTTCACTCATCCCCACCTAACTTCCAATGTGTTGGAAATTTTAAAAAGGACAAGAGTTTAAGAAAAACGCATTTATAAAAATTATGTCTTGCTAGCATTTTTTTTCCAGTAGTTGGAATGACTGTATTGCTTATATATCTATACTCCGTACCGTATCACAATTTCAAGTATTCTTTTTATTTTTGTCTTTTCCCTTTCCCTTTCTCAGTGAAAATTTTCAATAAAAAGTAAATATGAAAAAAAAGAATTTAACAAAAATGTCAGGAATGCTTTATGGCACATAAGGTATTGGAAAAAATATTTTAAAGAGCGATCCTAGGGTATTCAGCTCCAATTAGATACACTGTACATACACACACACACACACGAACTGCATGAATGAACGAAATTACCAAAACCAAAGAATTAGCACCCCTCATAGTCACAACAGCAAGGATTCTCTGTGCATAATATTTGAGAATACAAGTTACACCCTCCTTTAGGTAATGGATAAACCAAATGGTGGATTTTGAACTTAAACTCACCATGTGAGAAAAATGAAAAATACAACTATGGAGCAAATTTACTGTAAACCTATCTCCTTTTATTCATTTTTGTAAAACGAACATTTTATAATGAAATATGCAGCTTAAAGGTTATTCCAGATACTGTGTATAGTTTTGCCCTATGTTGTGTTGTAAAGTGTTGTGTTTTTTTTTAAAAAAGTAACTAAACAGTAAAAGGAGGCAGAGAACAAAATGCAGGGAACTATTCTGGCAGGATGCAGGAGTGGTATCTGGGATTTTGTGCATTTGAACTACTGAGTAAAAAACAGGGCATCAATGTTATGAAAATGTTTTATAGATGGTACATCACACCGGTAAAATTAGCAAAAATGTTTAAAACATGTAATAAGTGTTGGAAATGTAAAGAAAAAGAAGTAACGTTTTACCATATGTGGTGGGACTGTAAGAAAGTGAAAGGTTTCTGGGAGACGATATATAATGAATTGAAAAAGATGTTAAAATATACATTTGTAAAGAAACCAGAGGCTTTTCTTCTAGGGATTACAGGAAAGGAAATAAGAAGAAAGGATTGTAAACTTTTCCAATATGCAGTTACAGCAGCAAGAATTTTACTGGCCCAGAAATGGAAACAAGACGATAGAAGAATGGAGAATGAAACTGACAGACTATGCAGAGTTGGACAAACTAACTGGGAAAATCAGACATCTTCGAGACCAAAAGTTCATTGAGGACTGGGGAAAATTTGTAGAATATCTGAAAAGTTTGTGTGACGAACAAACAACGCTAGTGGGGTTCCAAGAAGCACTGTGAAATTTGAGATGTTTTGCTAAAAAGAAATAGAAGTGGGAGGGTGTATTAATGGCAATAAAAATTTTGGGAATGCGTAATTGTAGATTAAACATGGGTGATTGGCAGAGAAGCTGAAGGAAGTCCAAAAAGAGATAATCTGTGAAAATTTGGATACGGAACTATTGTATATTTGTGTTGGAAATTAATAAAAATTATTTTTAAAAAAACAAAAACCAGGGCATCAAAGACAGGAAGGAGGTCAATCTCTTATCGTCTTCCAGAGGCACCAATCTTCCTCGCGTCAAGGCAATGGTCTTTTAAATGTCTCATTTTGGCTTCTCTTCTGTCAGAAATATGCTTTCCAATACCACAAACTCTAGATTACAGGACTAGGTGGAAGGACATATATACAAGAAACATTTTCGTAACATTCTTCCTGTTAGCGTTTGAGAATGGGCAAGGCCATGTACAAAGATAGGAATAAAATGCAGCGGCAGAATCCCACGTTTGCTCGGGTTTTCATCAGGAAAGCAGGTAACAAATCCTTTTTTAAGTTTCACCAGAGCAATCCTCACTATTGCACTAAACAATTAGAAGGGTTTCAGCCTCCATAAACCTTTGATACGGCAAATGAACAAACATAACAATCTCAAAATTGTATGTTTTGTGTGACAAGACACAGACCTGCTTGATAGCTTCCCACAGGTATCTGGTGAAAACTGAATGATGGAGTAGATGGGCCATTGGTCTGATTCAGCAGGCTCTCTGTATGTTCTTAGCATACTGCGAAAACTCCTGGCTTTAACAAACAGCATTTTCCACCAGAGTGCCATAGTGACGAAAGGAACTGTTCCCTAAAATGTATTGGCAGGCTTATGTGAGATTTTCCCCAATCCACTTTGCGATGAACCGCTTCTCTTTGCAAGATTTTAGTTGCTGGTACTCAGCTATTCATTGGTTGCCACTAAACAATACTTTCAAGTTGGGTTGCTGTCCCTAGACTATCATGACTTCCACATGTAGCTTATCTCAGGTGTCACCATTCTCAAGTATGGGTACAATACTCTTTGTAAGGGGAAACAAGAACACGGGGACTCTGTGCATTTTATATTAATTGCTTCACTGAAGTTGTTCTTGAGATGCAATTTGGGGCTTTCAGTTGTCCACTACCATACTAGGATGGCAATTTAGTGTTTGTCCATGATAAAAGGATCTGAACAGATATATTTAGAGTTCATTATTTGGCCAAAACTGCTAAAGGTATTACTAAATTTGAAATACTCAAGCTAGTGAAATACTTAAAATGGTCATGGCTATATCTCTGTCATGGATATTCATGATAGCCTATATTCCATCAACATGTGGGATATTTGTTCAGAATGATTTTATGGGAATAGTTGCTAAGGCAACTTTTCATTAGAAACAAAATTTTTGAAGGCCTTAAGCCTTCAGCCAAAAATAAATGCATAATTGCAATAATCTAGGGATACTGCTTTGCGAGGCAAGACTCCCTACAGAAACATGACTTGCTAAAGTGATACAGATTCCTCCTTCAATCCTCTCCCCAAACCAGATTATGTATGTCTTGATTGGTATGCAAGACTAGGTGGAATGAGGCACAAACTATTTGTTTCTTGGCATGTGGAAAACTTCCAATGCCAAGGCTTGATCATTTCTAAATAATCAGGATGAACTGTGCTGTTAATGAGAGAAGTAAAAAACCCAAACTCAACCCCACCCCCATGCTCTAAACTCTAATAATCTAACAAATTCCCATTAGGACATGAAGCTTTGCAGATCCCCTTAGATTCCAAAGAAAGCAGCTGTGCACTGTTGGCATGTATTCAGAATCCGTACACATGTATAGTACTAACACTGGGATGCAGGTTTGATCGAAGTAACATAGAGGTCAACTTGCCCGAGGAGCCAACTGATATGACCACAATTAGTTACAGAAGAACCACATACACATAATTTTCTTTAATTGCAGTTTATTGAGCATCTTCTATTATATGATGAACACGTTATTCCCACTGATGCCATTTTGTTTCAGTCTCTGGACTTTATGCCACCCTGCACCATTCCCTTCACAACTGGAGAAACAAAGGGCAACGAACAAAACCCATAAAAAGAAGGAAGGAAGGTCTCTTGATGCTTCATATACCCTACAGAAATAAGAGAGAAATGGTCACCGTAATATAAAACCAACCAGGGAACTGGAATGCTGGGGAGGGGGAATGGAGAGACAAGTAGCACAAAAACCACCATCAGAGTAGTTGGCTTCGTCGTTGGTAGCCACCAGAGACTCATCAAGGATACTGACTAGCCTTGAAGATGGTTCTTCATTATTGGGGAAGAAAGAGGTATAGTAGAAAATATGAGCTCAGGTCAAACAAGCATGTTGCTACCAGTACCCCCCTGCCATGCATTACCTGTCCTCTGGCGAGATAGTGGCAGTCTCTGGGGCTGCTGACCCAGCATCAGAGTCCTGTGAAAATATTTCATAGAAAGGGGGGTAAAGTGCATAAGTAGTTTCACAAGCTCAACAGTACTCTATTCTCCTGCAGTTACAAAGCTTGCCTCTGGAAATGTCATTTGGAACAAAAACAGTTCTGGAATTCGTGGAGAAGCAGTTTTGCCTCCAAGGCCTTCTAGAGCAAACTGCAATCTTGCTTATTCCTCCAAACACTGGGTCAGAGGCTGGTGGGGCTCCTGCTACCCACTTTTCTGAGGGACAGGTGAGTCTGTGTGAAATCTTCATGTGAAAGGAAGGGGAAAACACTTTAGTAGCAATTCTCTTTGCTCCTTTATCAAATGAATCTGCAGCATTTGCCAGTACCTGCAGACTAACCATATGATTGAAAGTCTGCTTTAGTCAAAACTAAAAATCCAGCAGCCCAAGAACTCAAGACTGTTAGGACACAAGTGGAATAAACTGTGCAGGTTGCACAAAGTAAGCAATTCCTTTTAAAATGTTCTTTTAAAATGCACTTGAGGGAAACTAAGCCCCTCCCTTCTCTTACTGCATTCCACTGCAGCAAGAGTTTCTCTAGAGTTCAGCTTCCTTTGCTAATAGGGCTTGACTGGGCAGGGGAAGCGGCGGATTTTTAGAAATACTGGAATGTAGCAAGCTAAGGCAAGAGGGGTTTCATTCTTTTTACTGACACCGCTTTTCATGCAAAAACAGATCCAGCCTAACCCCCTGTTCTGCATATGAACAACACACACGTACACGGTTGTCTTGTCACATCTAGTTTGACTCAGAGATGGTCACGTCACCTTTTGTTCAAAGTTTCTATTTGGATGGAAGAAAAGCTTCACGTGGAGCCCAAGGACTGATGAGGCTGTAGGGAGCAAGAGGGAGGAATCTTGAGACGACACAGAAGTGCCTGGTAAAGAAAGTAGCTGAGGTCTTGGAAGACGAGAGCCCTAGAGGCACGAAGGAGGGCAGTGTAAAAAAGCTGGATAAGTTATTTCAAATTACACCTTTTTTCCATGACAGAACTGAAGGCAGTGTGCCTGGAGCTTCCATGAGCTTCGTGTGGCTTTAAACCACTACTAGCCTTTATGCGGCATGTATAGGGTGCTGGGGAAGAACTAGTGCCTCTGGTGGAGGACACGCCATGCTCCTTCTGGGGTAGTTTGTCCACCTTTCGTCCCCACCCTGCAGTCAGCTCTCACCTGTGGCTCCTAGAAGCTGTCAGAGCGACAGCGGCCACATCCCGGGAACGGCATCGACCGGCTGACTAAACCAGGTGAGAGTAGCTGATGGGACTCAAACCCTCAGTGAGTTAGGGACTTCCCCTGAATGCGAATACAGGCTCCACTGGATTGAGCAAGAGTGGGTCCAACAGTCAAGAAGGCGGTTTCTGCACGTGCTGCAGAGGTAAGTGAGGGACAGATGGGACTAGTCAACCTGGGAAGGTAGCTCATCTATGAAAAGGCAAACTCTGATCCTAAACCTCTGTTGGCTCATATATATTCAGGAGAAGAGAAAGCTAAGGAGCAAACCCTACACAAATCCAGAATGGAGTGTCTAAGATGGTTGGATGGTGCCTGATACATCTCCTTCCTGCAAATCCTGCAGCCAAGCAAGGCCAAGACGGGGGTCTTGTCATCTGGGCAGCCCAGGACCTCCATACACACTGCCCAGGCTTGCTTCCCAGGGAGGTCACTTTAGTACTGCTAATGCAGCAGTTTGGCTGTGTCCCCTAGAGGTACACTCCGTTGTCTATCAAGACAGACAGATGTGAACAACAACAACAACAGCCCTTATGTACAGGACCATGAAAAAGAAGAGCAAAGGGAAGCATGGGTTGGAGAAATGAAGGCACTGAAGGAAAGCTGTATCAGGCAGGACATAAAAGGGGCTCTGGAAACTAGAGGGAGATGGGGGTGGGAGAGGAAGAATTTTGCATATTAACTCAATCAGTTAGGACTCTTTCCTAGTTCTGCTATTCTACAATACAGTGGTACCTTGGTTCTTGAACTTAACCCGTTCCGGGAGTTCATTCGACTCCTGAAACTGTTCCAAAACCAAGGCGCAGCTTCTGATTGGCTGCAGGAGCTTCCTGCACTCACACTGTGAACCAGTTCAAGAGGGAGTGCTATCCCATCTTGCACAAACTGAATGCCCCCTACGCACCCACTAATCACACCTCCAGCTTATCTAGGCTGAGCTTCAATTTATTAGCCCGCATCCAGTCCATTACTGGAAATGAGGTTGCCACATCTGGATTAGAGTGAGTTGGATGACACCCACATACTAAGGTCACTTCAACCCAAATTCTTGGCCATCACTCAGCAAGTTCAAGTAAATATCATGGGGGAGGGGGGAAGAGAGCCAGGGCCTGCTCAAGAGGTTTTGTTGCCTGAGACAGATCAGCAAATGTTGTCCAGCTGCCACCTGCTCCACTGCTTCCTCCTGCTCCAGGGTTTCTCCCTCCCCACGCTGCTGGTGACTGTTGCACATTGCACTGTGAATAAAGGCCTTAATCCACCCCACTGTTTCTCTAAGTCAGTCTGTCACATATCTCTTGGAAGTCTCTTCAAATGCAAAAAGGGTGCTTAAGATACCTGCTCCTCTAAGGCACCCCTACTATGTGCTCTGTAGGTGGAAAAAGGTAACTTGTTGCATTATTATATCATTCAGGGTTGCCTTGCTTTTTCTAACTGAAGTTCTGTCTTGTAAGCATATCCAGTTTCCATGCAATCCCCCCCCCCTAAAAAAAGACAGGCAGCCCAAAACTCATGTTGTGCTTCTCAGAAGTGTCATATTTCAGACACTCAAAAAATCATTGAGAAGCAAGGGAACCTTGGTCTAACCAAACACAGAACAAGTTCACATATGTGGCAGCACTAACAAATTGTTTCCACAGAATCCTATTACCCACAAGCAGTACTGCATGGATTCTACTGATTCCTGCAATCACAGCAGCCATTCATTTGCACATTAACTCTTCTTATCTTACACAAAGCTGTTCAGATGGCAAACCATGAACATTTGATGGAAATATCTCATAGGTTTATTATTGTTTATATTGTGGTTAAAATTTCTGGCGCATTAACTTCCAGATTAACTGTGATCTAATGGGCACAGTAATGATCACAAGCAAGTAGTTGTAAAAGATCTCTTATGGCAATTGCTTGTACAGCTACAATTGATTTCCAACATATGAAGTTTCAAGGGGCAGTTTTGGAAAAAGTCTGTAGGGAAAATATGAAAGTCGAAGAAATCTTACTTTAATATGTTTTGAGATCATAAATATTTGCTTCTCATTCCACTCAGCTGCTGACAATTTTCCCCAATGAGTTCTATTTCTAACTGCTCATTCCACACAGCATTGCCTACATGAAGTATGAGCCAATGGCTCCTTAATGCAGAACATTCCTTGGAACTGAAAATCTGGGCCACAGTGAGATCAAATGTCAAATTTCACATTCCATTTCTGTTTAACAAAATTTGTACAGAGTCATTTCCTTCACCTTGAAATACATGAGAAGTATAAATACTACATGGAAAACGCCTTTGAAATGGAAGTGATAAAAATACAATCTAGCAGTACTTTTTGGAAGAAAGTGTTACATATTTTTAACATGAGCAAATGGATGCCCTAGGGGAAGGTTGTGATAGTCAGCAACAATCTCTTAAAGTACTGTGTAACATGAAATCCAGACAAGCACACGCAGGTCTGTCAGCCCTCCATAATGGCTTTTAGTCAGTATTCCAGATTAAGGAGAAATGTGGAGTGTAAAGATCCATTATTGTGGATAAGAATTGACCAAGAGTCAGACTCACCATGCAGATTGACAAGTCAGGGAAGCTGCCTCTCATCTTTGCACGTTAGACCAGCTAATGTTTTGGAATCCATCTCTCCACACATGGCAGCATTCTCAGTTCACGGGTGCCATCTGAATAAGTTCCTTCTTCTGCTGCCACCTACCAGTTTTATTACTCTGTTGCAGCACAAGGGTATATAGAAGAAGTTCTTGTTCAGCTTGCAGAAAAATCATACAATGGGGATCCTTTTAAGGCACCAAAGCTTATTTCAAGCTTTCCCCCATATCCACCCACACCCTTCAAAAAGAGTTCTGGACAGACGATACTCAGTAACAGGCTCTGGAAGGCCTCCCTACAGATGGAACTATCTGGATAAAGGACAGATTAAAATAGGATAGGCAAATACCACCTGGCACTGCTACCATGTGATTTCCATACATTTCAGTAGGAAGGGATGGGCAGCAGCTTTGTTGGTTGGGTTGAGCTCAACTAATTTCCAGGTACTGTAGAACCTAGAAGGCTATTTAATTGTTTCTTATAGCATATTAGTAGCTACAGATCTGAAACACATGACCTGAGCCACATAGAACATCACAAAACCAAACAACTTTTACTGAAGACGTTAACACCTTCCTGGGCTCCCAAAGGGAAAAAAGTAGCACTTTGTTTTAACCTTTGTTGGGGACTGTTCACAAATACTCTTCCCACAGACTCCTACTGCTTCAACACCACTCTCATCCTTCTCCCTGCCCCCTTGGATCTCTCTCCTCCCAGGAATGATACTGGCAGAGCAGGGACAATGCTTCCTGAGGTGTTCCTAATCCATTGGGAATACTTTTATTTTCAGCAAAGGGACTGCAACTGATTACCTCCTTTAAGATATCAATTCACAAGGGCGCAGCCAATTTAAAGGAAGAAATCTGCAGCATGAACTTTTCCTTAGTCTGTTTGCAAGTCGAAAGACGAGAGCTTTAATTGCTCACCAGGCTTTCAACCACCTCCTTTAAATTAGCCAGGTGTTTGCAAATTGACAGGAGGAGGGAACACACTGCAAAAGCATATATATATTGTCCCATTTTTCATAGAAAACAAAAATTACAAGAGAGGGTACATTTGTCAAAATGTTTGCAAAATTATTGTGCCCTCTTCAGCTAGCTCTAAAAGGTACAGCCATTTCTTCAGCAATCAAAGGACAAAAATATATTCAGGAGTAACCCTTCCATGCCAAGTGAAAAGGAGAAGCAGTAAAAACAATATGCAACAACAACTGTGAAATCTTAAAACATAAAAAGACAAATCCTGCACTAGTGCTGCTTAAAAGATGTCCCAAGCTACAAATTTCAAAACGTGTTATGGGCTTTAACTGGCAAAGAAATGTTTTGCTTTAGGTGGTGTGCACACAAAATGTTAAAATACAGCAACACTGAAAAATGACTTATTTCCAACTTGTAGACTCAAAAATGATTTTAAGAGTGTTTATCTGAAGCATTACATTCTTCCTCATTAGAAAGTACCTTCAATATAGGCTATATCATTGCAGTTGCAGCACTATACAAGTTTTGGGCTGTTAATAAATTGTTTTCAAAGTTATCAAGAGATCATTTGAATCACCAAGTATTACTGACACAAGTACCATCCTCAACAGCACATGTTAAAAATGCCTGAAAACGTCACCCTCAAATGGCCTTAACAAAGGATGATAACCACCCTCCCCCTCCCCAGCCCTGCTATAAGAAATTAATTTTATATATAACTTTGTACAGCTAGTTTTTCATACCTGTTATTAATTGATGCCGATTAGTTTTGTGCTGATTGTGCCCCTGGAAAGCACCAAAGCCCTGTAAAAACTTAAGCCAAGAGTGTATATGGGGGGGGGGAGGGGGAAGGGAGTGAGAAGAGCAAGACAGGAACATGGGAGGGTGGAGATGGCAGAATTTATGGAATTACACACCATCCCACCACTCCTTTCTGAAGCAGTGCATGTTGTTTAAACTCATCCTTGCCATGATCCTACTTGAACACACGGATCCTGAAAAGGTTTATTAAAACATGGCTCTAGCAAAAAAGCAAAAAACAAAAACAAGAAGAACTCAACATGCTTCCTAAGCCTCATTCTTTCTGGACAGTAATAATATTAAAACTAGGGTGTTAGAAGAAAGGAAAGCAATGTTAGCAAACATGGGATGATCAAAAGAGCTGAAAGTTACCTGCCAACAGGTCGGTACTGGATGCCACCAAACTGCTGCGTTTACTGTTTTACCACAGGGGGGAAAAGTTTAGGGAGGAACATTCTCAAGGATTTTTCACAAGCTCTTTCTCTTGCCATCAGAAAGGGGAGAAGGGAAGTTTTTCTCTGGATTGTTTGACTTTTTTGGCTCCTGAAAAGTTTTGCAAAGAACAGTAAGAAAGTGTGAACTGTTAGAAACATCAGCAAAATGAATTCTATGTATATAAAAGTTTACATAGCAGAACAGTGTTCCCCAAGAGCTACAAATTCCCACCCTAAAACATGGACAGTGCATTAATCAAATAAAAGACATTCAACTGAAAACTGGTACATGAGGGGGGTATGGAAACTTCCAACAATGGTCCAAGCCACCATCAGATCATCCCAAAAATCACCCTCCAAGGTCAGGAGACTCAAAATAAAAGTAAAAGAAAACTAAAGGAAAAAGGTAACATTTCATTATTAATCCTACAATAATTTGCATTTTAGGAATTCCTAGAACAGAGAAAAATTAAAAATAAAAAGAGACAGTAGCAGCAGAGGTTACCTGTCTGAGCACCTACAATTCCATAGAGAGAACAGGAGTGGGTCGTGAGTCTCACACCAGCCAAATAGCTCATAAACCTTCTCAAAAAGAGTGAGCCATGAGAAAGAATTGTACATGTTGATACGTCTTACAATGTTTAAGCCCTTACACATTTAACCTACTTGGGCTTTGCTTTTCTAAACTGGGAGACTTATTAGAAGTTTAAATGATTTATTCCACTTCTTGATTCTGGTAAGAGTTCGGTGCAGCACCTCTCGTAGAGTTCTTTTTAATTTTTATAAGCATCGCAGGTCCAGAACATTTTTCTTAGGAGATAATCCACATGAGGCATTGCCGGCAAAGTCAGTGAAGCATGATCACAGTTTGAAAGGTGAGTGCAACCCAACAAGAACAAAAGTAGTCCATGAGTGTGCTGTCCTTCCATCATTTATTACTGATGATCTATCACAGTGTTCCAGAATGAGAGGAGGGTTTATAAAATTTATCAAAACATTAAGACATTAAAGATCTGAAAACATACAAAGCTATAAACACAATCTGCATTTCTACACAATACAAAAATGTATAAAGGTAACCATTTTATCTGCAGAATATGCTATATAGAAGTACAAACATATTAAAAATACAAATAAAACATATGGAATTCATCAAGCTCCACCCACCACCACACATCCCAGCAACTTTGCTTCCATTTGTGTTATGTCATTGGCTATGCTGATACTATGACTTCTGTCTTACCAAGAGCTCGTTTCAACATAAAGTTTCAAACTATGATCAGCAACGCTGGTGCTCTTACTGTATTTAAGTAAATGTTCTTCAGAAAAGTGTGACATGTAGCATTAGCTTGTGTGGAAGTTTCACCCTGATTAGTAAGAGCGTGATTTATTTTCTTTACCTGATAGGTATGTTGTTTTAAAAACCTTCTACCATGACATTTCCCTGGTGGAGCTACGATAGGAAGGGTAGGGGATGAATCTACAACCCTTGTTTTTTTAAGTACAATTTCCTGTGAGATTTTAGTGCGACTTTTCTTCTCCCACAGATTAGCCACAATTTCCTCCAATCTCACAATACATCCATGACCATCTCATGACAAGTAGACAAATCAAAGCTTGAAAAACTCTTCATGTTTCGTTTGTGTGTGTATGTTGTTGTTTTTTAGAAAGAAATGTGTGCTTCATTGCACTGTGTTTATATTGATGTAAACTGGGTCTAGGAATTTGGGGTGGGGATCAAAGACACATGAGTGTGAAAATCAGACTTCTCACTACCAGTTTTGCTCAAGCAACGCAGACTAAATGCAGCCCATATCAGAACTGTCAAAGAGTTACCAGTTCCTTCCTGGATTCACTTTGTTTCTTTTCAGTGAGTGATTCAGAGATTTGTAAAGTTCTATCAGATAACAGAAGGATAATTCTTTGCTCAAATTCCTGAAATATGCTCAGTGTTTCAAAGCACATATAAGGAAAAAGATTACCCAACTGGGTCGTCAGAGAAACCTGTATTTTAGAAGACACGTGTAGCTGACAAAGGGTTGAAGAACCACCAACCAGGAAAAAAATTGTCAAAGACTGGGCTTTTGCCTGAGTTGCTGGGTGTTTGGGGTTTTTTAAAATGAAAACCTTAGTATCTTTTGTTCCAACCTGGGCACTCAATTTGCTTCATCAGCTAATGTCAACAGTCAACCTTCCACTTGATTTAAATAATATTTAATTCTACAAAAAAGAAGAGTACACATTTTAAAAAACAAAAAAATGTACAAACAAGGCATGACCAAACCTCCATGAAAGCAGGTTAACACTTTTCTGTTTATTGCCGCCTGACGCCTCTCTGCGTAGTAATCCTCAACTGGTGTGTATTTAAGATCCGAGTGAAGGTTAGACAGCCAAGTGGAGAGGATGGGCCAGAGGAATGAAGCTCAGAGCCTCAGAAGGCAGAGGGGCCATGCTCCTTTGAGGCATCCAGATAAATGCAGCACTAAACACATAAGCTGCCCACCCTCCAAAAACTTTCCACAAACCATCTTCCTGTTGCAAACATTTTACTATGTGGTGTTTTTTTTATAAAAAGTAATAGGATTCTGTATATATTGTTTCCATGTTGTACACACCCCAAAGAAAATAAATGAGTGAGAAATGGGTGAGGAGGAGGAAGGTGAGGCCATTAAAACAGACCCAAAGCTGCTGTTTTGGTTCTTTTATCAAATTTAATAAGAAAATGCACAGCCAGAAGTATCAGGATTGGGTAGGGGTTGGGAGAGGAGATCATCAGGCATTCTGGAAAAAAGAGTGACGAACTGGACAGACAAAAAACCAATGACAAAACAAAGCAAAATACAGACACATACATAGGGGCCTGAGATCCACAGAAGTGTGGCCTTAAATCATATTCCCATTCTGGCTGGGCCTTACTAGCAAAGTGTCCTATGTTGTTGCCCAAAACCTGCTTATTTCTCTTCAAGATTTATTCTTAAGGAAGTCACTTTAGATTTTAATGTGTTCTACAGAGAAACGTTACTAATAGTAGTAACACGTTAAGTTTACTCCAAGGTGGTTGTGAAATTTGCAACCACTTCAACCCTCCTCCACACCCCCTCCCACATTTTTTCAGGGTAACAGATTAAAAAAAAGGTGTCTAGTTTTTGTTTGTTAAATAGTGGTGATGTTAAACAGTATGGGTATTTTCAAGTTTGGCCACTGTTAAAGATGCAGGCATGGAGAAGGAAGTGTTGGACGAGCATGTATTAAAAACGAAACATTAACATAGCATATATCTTGCAAAAAGGACTAAAACACTAACAAATACAAGTCAATGCACATTTGTTTTAAACTAGTGTTATTCTTTTTCACATCGGATTAAACATTATTTTGTACACCAAAAGTTAACAGTGCTGTTTATCTTTGCCTTTTGCGCAAAAGAAAACATGCCACTTCTGCCATCAATGAACAAGACTGAAATTTAGACACACCTTCTCCCCCCCACCCCAGGAATTAAAATAATTTCTTAAAAATCCACACATACTAAAATCTTTCTCCGAAAGAAAGTGGTTTGTTTTAAATATAAATGTATGGACATAAACCCATCTGTTAATACTGAAATGGCAGAAGTCACAGGTTTGGTTCAAAAGCTCATGCTGAACTAATAAATGCTGCACCCTGTTTAATTTCTTTAAGGGCCAGACTTCTGAGGCCATTACAGACTGTTTGTCAGGGATGCGAATTCTCACAGATCCTACAGATGTTAGATGGGAAATGCCAATATTTAGAACCTTTGGATGAAACAGAAATTGGCTGCCCTAACCTATAAACTCCTAATGGGACAAAAAGCAAGGGGTATAAAATAACCAATAGGACTGAGCGCTAATGAGGTGAGGGGATGGTTACAGACAATAGTTTACAAATGCTTTTGGAGAATTAAAACTTCTAAGTTCCGAAAGCACAAATCAAGCTGAATCACTTCCCAATGAACCCACATGCTCTGCAATGAGTTTAAAAATCACAGTGGCATCCCTAATGTCGCAAAGGTTCCAACCCCCTCCCCCACACAAATGCAGGTTCTTAACTGGGCATGACCAAAGGGAAATTGGCTGTCAAAAATATCAACTAAACGTATGTTCTGCAAAATCAATAAGTAGCAAAAAAGCAGCATTCACAGAACATGCGTTTTGATCTTGATCCCCAGGCTAAAACCTCCCTTCACCTCCATAAGCTGCTTCCGATATACAGCACTACAAGTAGTTGTTGTTGTTTTTTTAAAAAAAATGTACAAGAAAGTTGGTCATATTTATTTACATGTGGCATCACTCCACCAGGAGCTTAATCTCATTGGCTATTAGCTGGTTCATGTTGAATATACCCCCCGGGAGCTTGGTGAGCAACTCTCTCTCTGTGGTTTCAGGGTCGCTGTCGACAGAGCTGGAGCTGGCACTCATATTGTCGACAGTGGCGCTAGCTGGAGGGCCCAGCTCTGGCTCGCTAGTCTCGCTAGCCGTGGACACCACAGAGAGCAAGGACATGCGTCGTGTCAAGCGACCGGGGGGAAGAAGGGAAGCGGCATAGTCCGCTATGATACCAGCTACATCTAGATTACAAGCCTTGTCAAAGGCAATGAAACCTACATTTGCATTGGCCTCGCAGACGTAGAACGAGCCATCATCCTTCATGAGGAGGTCGATGCCACATACATCCATCCCCAAGATGTTGGACACCTGGATTGCCAGCTGCTTGCCTTGTTCACTCAGCGAGCACATCATTCCTATGCCACCTGGCAAAAGAGAGAAGGGTAAATCTTAGGGCGGGGCTACTGAAGGTCTACCTATTTGGGGGCTACATCTTAAAAAAAAACCACGGACCAAACAGGTAGAGATGCGGGGGCTCCATAACGAATAAGACTGAAGCCTTGGGGGAACATTTAGAGAAGTCTGTATCAAAAAGATGGAGTCCACCTGAATGACAGAAAACCCAACAGCTAGTGCATAAATGGATGGGCATCTGTCATGGATGTTTTAGTTGATATTCCTGCATTGGAAGTGTTTGGACTAGATGACCCTTGGTGTCCCTTCCAACTCCACAATTCTATGAAAACAGGTGACAGAAAAACTTTTCAATCCAGCAGGGGATGATGAGCGAGATAAACAGATTCTATTTTTTAAAAAAATAATTGCTTAACAGTATTTGAATACCAGCTTTTAACCACACTGCTTCTGAAAGTGGTTCACGATTAATATAGCTTTACAGTCAAGATGATAGTGCCCTCACATTTGGTTCAGGATCTCACTCCATGACGAATAAAGCAAAAGGAGTGAATGAAATAAAAGTAGGCATTTAAAAACTTGGTAGGATAATCAAAGCCCAAGATATGTAACCATGGATATAACAGCTACAGAAAAGATAAAAGTGGTCCAAGGAGACAATGTTTCAAGATAAAATAAGTGATAATTCAGCATATTTCCAGTCACACAGTTCATTGGCAGTAAATTGGCACGTACCACATCACTATTCTTTTATATTTGTGACCAGATAAAACCATATAAACTGAAGGAAGCCTACTAGGTAGTATTCTAAATACCATTATCTTGTCTTTTGAAAAAGTTGGTCAAGTCTCCCATTTCAAAATCTAATTTTTAATGTAATAGCTTAATTATTTGTAATTGCACATGAAACAGCTGCCACTTAAATTAGATTTTAAACCCTCCTTTGCCGGCCCCAATTCCAACCAAGAATAAGCACACTTCAATTCTTACCAAGTGAGCAATTGCTCTGCATTCTACCGTCTGTTGAGCAACGCAGCATAGTGCCCACCACACGACCTCCCACTACGATGACACGAACATCTTTGCCATGGGATTCTTGGACATATTTTTGGAATAGATAAGGGGCCTCATGACGAATTAGATGGCTCAAGTCTGCCAAATGGTGCTTGTCTCTTGCCAGAAACACAGCTTTACCTGCATAAAGACAGTATAGAAGGTGAAAGGGGGAGGAGGTCAGTGAATTTTCTGCATATTTCTAAAGGGTATGAAAAACATAATCCTTAATCTCAGTGCTGCAAAAAAAGTATCCTGGCAGCACTGGTGCATGTATGAATAAAATTAAAATTGGTAAAGCGCTTTGCACATTTAGTGCTATAAAAATAGCAAAAATTGAAAAACAAAACATTACCTTAAAGCAAACTCACAATTTCCAACGTTTATTCCAGTTCTCAACTCCCTCAGTATAGGTCTGCCAGTATCCTTCAATCTTGGCCTGTACCATTCCGTGCTATTCTAGTAGTACTAGGTTGCAAGAGCGTTTTGCAACAGGTTTTGGGTTCTCTAGACACATAAAACAGAGGGCTGCACCAATCACAGTCCAAAGATGACAGCCGATTCCAAGGTGCTGTGTATGATTAGCTGATGAACCCAAAATGAACCACTCCCAATTAATTGGCAGCTACTAATTAGTGCAACAGTGAAAAATATAAAAATTATTTATTTGCCAAATGCAAATCCACGGGAAGTATTAGAATTCTCAGTATCATTTAAGATGGGAAATATTCTTTTGTTGTAAATACCAGTAAGCTGAATGCAACAAAAAATCTATTTAAAAAATTATCCCTAGAAAAATGAACCCTGAGCCAGGCCTAAAACTAAACTGATACAGACAGCTGCCTCAGGTGGCAGTGCCCCCTAAACTGGTCTTAAGGCCCCAGATGCAGTGGCGATGCAGAGCAAACAGAAGGCTGACTGCTCTTGACAAGGCAGGAAAGAAAACTGAAGCTGTGGCAGCCCACTTCACAGAAATCTGTGCTCCTGCCTTGCCCACAAGCGGTCAGTTTCTTAAGCCCTTAGGTCCTCTCAGTGCAGTGAGGCTTCACAATACGTTGCTTCTGAAACAGCCATAACCACACCATGCAATTCTTGATCTCCAGCCCTTCCTCTTCCTTAACTGACCTATTCAAACTATCTACTTGCCACGAAACACACAAGAGCCTGGTGAAATGAAGATAAGTCATTCCTTTTAGCAACTGATAAGGCAAGCAAATCACTTTTGCTTAAAATGTTTACTTTAGGGAAATATTTCATCCCTGTATTTATGCAATCCTGTGTCCACAGGCCTTGGACTTTTGCTTACAGGCAAATTCTTTCTTTCAGACAACCCCCGAAGCCCCAAACAGCTATTCTCCTGCAAGAGGCCACATAACAGAAACACAAAACATAAGCATTGTCCAAGAGAGGAATTTCAAAGGGAAAACCCAGCATGAAATAGCTGGACTGGAATATAGAAGTTTGGTTCTACTCATCTGGGTACGCCCCACTGCAGATGTGGATTTACTCAGCCATGCTTAGATCACTGTGTCCTCACTAGGGCTGGGCAATAAATTGATATACCATCCAAAACTGGCTTGAAGTCCATATCGTGATATCAGTTTCAAAATTTTTGACGTGGCAGTATATTGCATTCGCTATGCAAAAATCACGATGTGGGGAAAACTGTGAAGCCAGCCAATGCCTCTGCACAGCTCCATCCTTATTTCAGACATCATGATATTATCAGTATATCACAATGTTCAGCTGGTGATATATCACAATGTTGAAAGCCAGATATCGCCCAGACCATCTCCTCACCAATTACTGCTGTTTTAAGTTGTCACTGTGTTTATTTCACATACATTGAAGCTTTGTCTGGAACAACTGTCTGGGATATGAGTGGGTGTGCATGTGCACATGCATTTATGTGTAGCAAACATTTGCCTTTGGTGTTCCACACCAGAATTTCATCTGCAATCACCTCAGTCCAATGCACATGGCTGGTTCTGCAGGCCTGGCAACAGGGGGATTTAAGTAATTATATCTTGCTTCTGACTGCTCTTTTGACTGTGTGGTCAGAGAGTTGCCCCACAAAGCATAAATATTAGCCCTGCCTACCCAGCTACCCCTTTTCGCTGCTTCCATGTTTGTTACTGTCTAGATATCCAAAACAAGGGTTTTGCCTTAATTCCACATCCCTGCCACCACCAAAAAACAGGACTTTAACCATTATTTCCTAAATCACTGCTGAGTTCATGGGTTGGTTTCCTGTAAAAATGTTGCTTGCTTTAGTGTTTCCATTCCCCCTTGCTGGCAAAAAGCTCATTCTCCCAGAGATGCACAAAACCTTTCTTATTGGGAGCCTATGAATTCTTCAGGGTTAGCTTCAAAGAGCGCATTGCACCTTAATCAAACCATGCTAACATTACACGCAACTTAGAAGGCCACTGGGAGAAACAGACCGTATGGTGATCCTGCATATATGATAGTATCGCAATTACTATTATTTTAGTCCTGCAGAATGTTCGCTGCCGCCCCTCCCCCCCATATATATATGTGTGTGTGATTTCTTGGTTTAAACAGGTATGTGCAATGTCTCTTTTTTCAAGTTACATTTTCCATAGGTCAGTTTAATTTGCTGAGACATTAGGGTTACATTAGGAAGAAAGGGGGGGAGAGGTGGGGGGGTCGCCCCTCCCCGTTGTAAACTACTGTACCTTTGCTTACTAGTCAATAGCTCTAGTCTTAGTATTTTCTAAAAATCTTGCTCAAAATGCAGTAATTTTATTTTGAGAAAATAACCCGAGAACCCTGCTGAATCAAACCAGCATCCTCTTTTCACAGTGGCCAGCCAGACGCTGACAGGAAGGCCACAAGCACAACATGAGTGAAACAACACAGTCTCCACTTGTGTTTCCCAAGCAACTGGTGTTCAGAGGCATAATGCCTCTGATACAGAGGTAAAATACAGCCATCATGACTACGGGTCATTGACCACCTTAACCTCCAGGATATCTTCAAGGGATACCCTGAATCTTTTTTTTAATGGCTTCAGGTTGTATTTTTATTGTAATGATACTGTTTGTTTATTACACTGTAGAGTTTTAAAAAATATTAATCAGTTTATAAATGCTCTAAATAAATAAAATCAGAAACTAGAAAAGCTTTGTTACAAATGTTGTTCGATAAGCTTACTATAAACCAATGACTTAAACAGAGTTTAAATTCTAAATTCAAATGCTAACACCAAAATTATCACTAAATTATACTTTACGCTAGCTGCAAAAAAGTAAGGATTTTTGTTCCTCTTCTTAAAATGATTAAACATGCAGAAATACACTTATGTGATTTTGTAGCTAAATAAAACACTTGGTCTTCTACTTATCCACATGTTGAGAGGGGTATACCACCTTAGTTAGAAGGTCTAGGCAAACCTCATTTGCCTGTTTTGCCCATTTCCACCATGTCTTTTTGACGTTTGAGGCTAGTTCTGGGTTTGGTGCTATGCCCAATCGCGCATCATTCGGACATGCCTCAATTGGTCGTTGCCTGTACATCAGTTTGATATTCAGGCAAGGGTTGATACTACTACATCACTAAAAATCTGCATCCTCTTGGCAAGGCTGAGTTTAGGATGTTTTAAGTGTTTCCGAAATAGCCAGGAAGCTTTAGACAAAGAGCAATCCTCATTCAGGACTCCATAGCAATTATGCACAGATTCTCACTCACCTCTATGACCACGTGTGTTCTTCACAACCATGGGGAACTCCAACACTTCTGCTTCATCAATCATTTTGGCAAAATTTTCATGACCACCTGGACAGGAAAACAAATATACATGTTGCCAGTGAAGCGTTCAGCCAATTTCTAGCAAAGGCATATTCCAAAGGCCAACACAATTATTTAAGAAGGCAACCCTGGAACCCAGACATTTTCACATCAGAATCTATACAGGTTATCTATTCTGGCCATATGCTAAATAGAATTTCCTATTAATTTACATGATGGTTAAAATGTGACTCTCTAATATCAAATCATCATCATATTGTAACATTGATGCCTTTTCTTTCCTCAATTTTAAAAAGTTTACAATTATAGTATTATAGAAACAATCTCAGGCCTCATGTGAGGGAGTGTCCAAGCTGCTCTGCATGGGAATGAATTTCTCCCAAAAGATCCAGTTTGCTTCCTTTTTGTATTTTTTGTATTTATATTTTATTGAAAGAATTTCAATTATCAATTTGCTTCCTGAGGCCACTGATCAATTCAGATTTCATTAGAAGTGCAAATGATATCCACAGCATGCAGCGTCTTGTACCAACTAGGGCTGGTATGCAAGCTGCAACTGCTCCTCGACAAATACAGCTTGGCCACAGTGATCCATGCCCTAATAACTGCTTGACTGCACCAATACAATGTGGGCTGCCTTTGGTGATTTCCCAGAAACTTAAGTAGACTCACAACACAGCTGCTGTGTTACTAACTAGGACTGGCTATAGATCTCATCAGAGCTTACAAGAGCTGCACTGGCTGCCGCTCCATTTCCAAACACAGTTCAAGTGTTGCTCATTCTTTACAAAACCCTACATGGGGCTTTGCTTCTTGAAGGTAGGTCTTTTCCCACACAAACTGGCTTGAACCCTTCATTCTTCATCCAAGGCCCTTCTTCTGATTGCCTGCCCTTTGAAATTAGGCATGTGGTAATCAGGGATATGGCCTTCTTAGACGTGGTGCCTTAAATATGGCTACCTTTAAATCGGTCTGGAAATCCCAAATGGTGTGGAATGCTGCTGCCTGGTTTCTGGTGGGAGCAAGGTGACTGGACCACATAATTCTGTACAAGTTACACTGGTTATTAGTACACCTCCCAGTCCAACTGAAGGTACTAGTTCTGACCTTAAGAGCCCTAAGTAATTTGGGGCAGAGTTGTTCAAAGGACTGCCTACATTCATATGAGCCTGCCTGGATATTAAGAGATGCCTCTGAGGCTCTGCTTCTGCCTGTGAAGTCTATTTAGCTGATGGCCATGACAAAGAGCCCTTCCTGTGGTAGGCACCAGACTGGAAATTCTCCCTGTGCACCCAGTTTTCGCCCCCACCAATTCTATGCATCTTGCCATAAAAAGTGATGATCACACACATGGTGCAAAGTCCAGGCATTCTTTACTCAGGTACCTGCGTATAAAATATCCAGTGAGTAACAGCCCTGAGTTATTGGATTAAATCACAGCCTGTTCTTTCTTCAGCTGAAAATATGCTACAGAACACTACCATCTTATGAACTCTAACCTTCTAAGAAGACCAAACATTTAAAGCCTTGTTCTACTATCTCCCTTCATTTCCCTCTTTCATCAAGCAACCAGAGACGAGTATTCTGAAGCGCCAAGCTCCTTTCCAGGCCAGAAACTGAATGCTTAGTACGGGTGTGGGAAACCTTTTTCAGTCTTGGGGACCACATTCCCCCATGGGCAAACTTCCAAGGGCTGCACGCCAAGTAGTAAGCAGGGCCAGAGCCAAAAAAGTGAGCCAAACAAAAGTGACTCGTATCTTTGTACTGCGGATTAGATTCACGATACAGGAAAGTCAAAAGTTTACCTGCACACTCTCCTCCCCCCCCTTCTGTCCTTCACCAAGGCAAGACTTGTCACAGTTCAAGAACGCATTCCAGGCAGGCAAAAGTATGCAAGGATGGCACAGAGTATGGCTGATGAGGGGCCTGGCCCTAGATAGTCCCGACATTTAGAAAGAGAAGCTTGGAGAGCCACATTTGACACTCATCCCGGGCCTGAAGTTCCCCACCCTGGCTGTGAGGAAGCTGTTCTCAAGAAAACCCTGCTACATTTGCCATTCACAGGCCAGAGAAGCACCTGACACATAACCAAAGGGGCCTATGCCAGAGGTTCATATAAGACAAACTGCCTCCCATCCTTCAATTAATGCGACCTTCTCCCTGTAACAGCAGAGCTATGGAATCAAAGGAGGAAAATTAGGTGTCAGCAGGGTAGTAAATGGGAAGACAAGGCTTAGAGGCACAGGCACTAAAAACCTGATTAGAAGCTAGCAGAACAAGCCAGAATCAGCTCTGCATTTTCCTTGTTCAGAGGAATACGTGCGCTGTAGGACATCTTGCTTCTCTTGGCAGCCCTACATTTTAACCATCTGGCACTTGAGGGGAAGAGAGAAGCCTGAGTCCAGGTCCTTGTATACACACTAAGAAAAACATATTTCTAGCCCTCCACAGACTGAATTCTTAAATACAGTCTGATGGACACATCTATCATCCTGAACATTAACTCCTAACTACCCAGACCTAGAAAAGCAGCAGCTGGCCTGCTGAGGGGCTGTGAAAAAGCAGAATGAACAGTGAGGTAACTTATGTTGTTAACCCCCATTAATAGCCCTATGCCTCAACAAGGACCACAAAATATGATGTAATGTATAGGAGAGTTTGTTTAGCTACACATTTATCAGGCAGAAAATGTTTCTAGGATGGTCACCATTATAAGAACATACTGTTGCTAAGCTTCCATAAGTAAAAGCAACAAAAGATAAAAAAGCGGTGGGGGAACGGTACCTATCATCAGTGCATTAATAAAAAAACCAACATGCCTATTCCTCATTCATTCATTTTGTTTACATACCACTTAGATATCAATTCAAATTAACCATTCAATAAAAAACTTACTTAAAATGCCTGCTGAAATTTAAAAATCCCAGTGTTCAAATGCATTTACTGGTCCTCACCCCATCCACCACTGCACCCAGGCAGAGGTTGAGATATTGCAGTCTCTCCTGACTCAGGTGTTATGGAGAAACAGAACTGCATGTCATCAGTTTACTGATGAAACTTTGCCCCCAAATGCCTTCCAATATAGAATACTAGAGACAAGACAGTGCCCTCCAGTGCAAGGATCACAGGGCCAAAACCCCATCACCCAATGTTATCCCCTGGACATATCCCTGCAGGTAGGAGCAGAACCACAGTAAAACAGTGTCCCCATGGTTGGTCAAGAAGGAGTCCATTGTCAACGGTATCACAAGTCGCTCACATAGAGAACTAGATACAGGGTCACACTCTCCCAGTTCCATTCTCGAACCAGTTCAACCAATTCAGTTCTAAAACTGCCGGAATCCAGATTGAAACAGATCCAGATAATCCTCTAGGAGCTCCTGCAACTTTTCTGCTATCACTCAACCACCTTATCCAAGAATGAAGTATTTATGACCAGGCGGCAGTTATTATAGACCACAAGGCCCAGGGCAAGCTTCTTCAGAAGTGGACACACTAATGCCTGTTTAAGAACAGGAGGCCCAACTCTATTCTTATTTGCCACTTGGCAATTTGTCACTAGTCAAGTTGTAGAGTCTTGATTCTTTTTTTCATTCATTCAAATTTCCCCAAACCATTCAGAGTTTTAGTAAGGATCTCACTTGCTCCAGGTACATGGTCACTATGGACAATAGCATTATTTTAATCTAGGTGGCTTACCATAGGAAAAGGTGTCTGGAAGAGGCACACCATGGCCAGCTAGCTCCTGGAAAGTCCAGAACTTATTGACACAATTAAGTATGGCTTGGGGACGATTCATGAGCCGGCAGCCCATCTTCTCCAGATGGCGAAGAACTGTAATGTCACTGTCACTTTGGACCCATGGTGTTGGCACACGCACCACCACTACCTGTGGGTAAGCAGTGATGAGTTCCCCGTTGACTCGAAGACCTGCAGCAATAATAAATGAAGGAATGAATGAGAATCTGATAAGAAAACCAAGGGCCAATCCTCCCCATCCCACAAAAAGTAAATAAAAGAATGCCAGCTCTAGGTAACAAAAGCATTTTAATAATCCATGTGACAAGAATGATGGAATTAGCCACAGATACAGTGGTGCCTCGCAAGACGAAATTAATCCGTTCCGCGAGAGTCTTCGTCTAGCGGTTTTTTCGTCTTGCGAAGCAACCCTATTAGCGGCTTAACGGATTAGCGCTATTAGCGGTTTAGCGGCTATTAAAGGCTTATCAGCTTATCGGATTAGCTGCTAAAAGGCTATTAAAGGCTTAGCGGCTTAGATAAAGGGGGGGAAAGCAGAAAAAAAATCTCAAGACTCGCAAGACATTTTCGTCTTGCAAAGCAAGCCCATAGGGAAATTCGTCCTGCGAAGCAACTCAAAAACGGAAAACCCTTTCGTCTAGCGGGTTTTCCGTCTTGCGAGGCATTCGTCTTGCGGGGCACCACTGTACACACTACTGATCCATCACTAATGCACCAGAATACTCCAAATTGTTAACTTAAAAGTTTATCATCTTTTCAGTCTGCTTTTTTCAGCCAAGAAACCACACCCTTCTTTTACAATGGTGGAACACTTTCCCCATGATCTTTAGCCAGTAAGCAGATGTCTTTATTTTTGAGTTTCCAGAGAGGCAGTCATATTAAGTGTCTTGCAGCAAAACCAACCTGCAACTCAACATAACTCCATGCATGACCGAGAATTTGTTTGTGCCTTATTTTGGATCAGATTCCTTAACAAAAGGGCCAGATCTTTTTTTTTTTTTAAAGGACAGCAGGGGAGAAAGAAAACAATATTGCTAGCCTGGGAGGCCATTTTGACTTTAAATCCCCTGTAAAGAACAATCCATTAAAAAAAGAGAGGGGACACACACCTTACATTATATGAATCATTTCAGAAAGAAGTGGCTCAGCAACATTGGGGCTAACACACATGCCTCAGCCCCTAGACCAGGAATGGCTAACCTGTGGGCCTGCCAAAGTTGTGGAACTACAACTCCCATCATGCCTGACTGCTGGAGTCCAACAAAAGGTCAGCTATTCAACTGCACATGCGTGATTGCCACTGCTGAGTCCCTGGGTCCCATCATCAAGGCAGCACCCACAGGTTCTGTGAAGCTGATGAAGTGACAGGGAGACAAAGCCATCCCAGCTGCCTTCTCCTTCTCTGCCCTCAACAGGGAAGAACACCTGCCATTTTGAACTACGTGTTCCCAAGCCCTAGTGGAAGTGTGGGGAGAAAAGCGAGGCTGATTTGGTGTTTGATTTGTGTCTCAGGAATACACGTTCCCCCAATGGGGAAGAGCCTGTGAATGGTGACTGGTTGTTCCTAGGAAATGAGGGAGAGAGAAGATAGGAAGAAAACAGTCTTGGCAATTTAAATTATGCCTCCTCCAAGTGCTTCCTCCAGTCATAGGGGAAAGGAAAAAAAGCAATGGTGCCAATGCAAGGCATTCCCCTTTTTCTTCTGGGGATTCTGCCCCACTCCCACCCCCAAGCTCCCTGGAGCTAAGGAAAAGGCAATAGAAAACTAAACACAAAATGTTTTTAAATGTATTTTTTTTTATAAGCTGTAGTAGGCACTCCAATCAAGCCTGTTACCTGCTCTCAGGCAGGACAAATTTGGGAAGCTCCCTTAATTTAGTGCCCTGCTTGTACTCAAGAGGGGGTGCTATATGCACAATGACTGCTCCCCCCCACCCCACCCCAGCAACCTGGAATAATTTCTTCTGGTTTCTCCTGTTCTCTTGGCACCTAAGATACCTTTCAAACCTGAGTATGTAGCTGGAGTATAAAATGCCTTAGCAACCTTAGCTGTACATGGCTTAGGATGCTGCCTGCCCTGCCCCCACTGGACATTTTTCAACCTCCACATTTACGGAAGGCAGTAAACTAAGCAAGTTCATGTGCTGCGCTGTCCCTTCCCCTTCCCCAATCCTGACCTCATAATTTTATAGAAAGAGCAGTAGACGACAAGACACTGCTGCAGCACACTTCATTAGCTGCAAGCGAGCACTGCCGCATTGCAGCTGACTTGTGCTTGTAAAGAAGTGTGGTTACAAAGAGAGATGCACATAATTTCAGATCAAATTCTCAAGCACTGTCACTAACCAAAACAGGGTATTTACAAACTAGATACCAATGAAGGAGCCTATCACGATCTCTTACACGTGCTAGAGGATTGTTCCAATTTGACAGAAAGATGACTGATGTTATCAAGAGTGTCTAGTCTGCCATGCATCCTCTCCTAAATCTCAAGTAACACCCGCAATATTTCCAAGACCATTCTCAACTCTGCATGTACTGCAGCGAAATTAACTCCCAGAAAAAACCCTCAAAAGCATTGGGGGAAGTAGCTACCACTACCACATCTCTAAAGAGTCACAGAAAAAAAATCATCCCTTTGTTTAAACAGCATTCAGACAAAGTGCTTGTTAGTTTTTGTTGTCAACAGTCTGAACATTGGTTTGGCCATCTCATCAATATCAAGTTATTTTATGCAATCAAGGTTGTGAAAATTTGCACAATATTGCATTGAAAGGAAATGGAAAAGCCACTTACATCTTCCACAGAATTTCAGAAATGTAACTGTTAACACTGACAATTTAGCATAATGTCACATTTGCAGCATAAATCTGAAGTTAGTCAGGGTTAATCCGTTTAACTGAATTGACTTAGGTTACTGCATTTTGTTAGTTTCAGAAATATAGTCCAAGTAGCAGTAAAATTGAGTCACCTCTACTGAGATACACTAGTGATTAGCTTCTATTTCTAAAAATACAAGACAACTCCCCCAGATGAAAAACAGAATCTGCCATTTTGGAAAAAATGAACGTTTATTTCAGTTTGTCTATTAGAAGCAGCTGTCAATCACCAGACTACCATTGCTACAAGCAGAGGTACAGGCTAGAAGCTACCGTACATTTTGAGCCACACAGAGACTTGATTAAAATTGACAATATGCACAAAATTCCTCTGTTGTTGGTTTTTTGCATTTAGAAACATTTTAATATTTTTAACGTTTTAATCAGTTTTGTTTCTTTTGTAGGCTGCGTCCACACTATGGCATTACTACATATGTAGGTCATTGCTTGTGTGTTTGCACACCTTTTGTCCACATAAGAATTTTCAGATTTAGTGCCTCCAAATTCTACCTAGCTGTTTCCCAGACACGTTAGTTTGCAGTTTGTAGAAACAATTTTATTTGTTTAGCTCTAAGCCATAACAAAGAGAAAAATGACATTCAGAGTTGAGTCACAAATGTGTTTCTTAATTTCCTGGCAGCCAACTTATATAAAGAAACACACATGGTAACTTAATTTTTATTTTCCCACAGCAAAAAGCACACAAACTAACTTGAGGTAACAAAAAAATTCCTGCAGCTAAACTAAGACGGATATTTTTCACAAGGATCTTTCTACAGAGGACACTGAGTAATGTGGTGAACAATGTCATCTATAACCATTTTACAAAGACACAGAAATGCTGTTCCAAAGGTAATTTCTTACAGCAGCCATCCAGAAAGGTAGAGAGCAAAACGCTAGGCCTTAATTCTGTAAAAGCAATTATACGTGCAGCCAATGTAATTAACTCCAAGCAATTAGCTGTCTGATGTTACCGAGACAGGAGTGCAGACATGATGGAATTGTGGGCTTGGGAGAGCATATCTTTGTTTGAGTCTGTCTTGCCAGGTGACACCCAAAATCTTCCTGATGCAGTTCATGTGGAAAGCATTGAGGCGTTGCTCCAGGTGGGTGTAACTTGCCCATGTCTCACTACCAGAAAGCAGTGCGCTCAACACACAAGCCTGGTAGACCTTCATCTTGCTATTGGCAGTTAGCATTACATCCTCCCTTTTGGAGAGATGAGCCATCACTGTAGCTGCCTTGCCAAGAAGCCTGCCCAACTCAGTGCTGATGGAGGTTGCTGCTTACAGTGAAGTCCAGATAAACAAAAGGCCTGCTGGTAGGTAAATAGATAGACAATCCTACAAACTGACTGCAGATTTGATAAAGTTTGGTGGGACAAAAGAAGAATCCAGCTTAGCAGTTGAGAACAGACCTCATACTTCCTCCAATTCAAAAGATTTGCTTACTTTCAGAGCCTGATAGAATCTAGAGCCTGACCTGTGACAGGAGATCTTTTTTTTAAAAAGGCAGGAGAGTAGAAACCCAACTGAATAGCTAATATGGGGCATTTTCAGTCTCTCTTCAGGGTTGCACGTTAAATTAACATGCACCGAGTAAAGTATTACTTCCTTTTGTCTGTCCTGATTCTCCTGCTATCAGCTTCATTAAACAGCCCTGAGTTCTTGAGTTATAAAAAAGAGGAAGAGAAGTCTCCCTCTATCAATCTTCTAGACACACATTAACTCTTTAACAAATATGTATTTCTAATACTCTGGAAATACTTTTAAGCACTTCAGAATGAAAGAGCAGCAGTAATGTTAAGGAATAGTTTAAAAGCACTTGACAGCCAGTTCTGTGCAGGGAAGGTCAAGGTCACAAGAAACTGGAGTTTACAGCAATATGTTGCTGTGCTAAAAATAAAAATCTGAGGGTGCACTAAGGGCTACATGGCTTTGTATTGTTTCAAAGTGGTCATTTTAACACCATGATTAAAAACATGAGACCTCTCAGGCTAAGGCCAACTTGGGAATCAGCACTGAATTGAATCAATGCCCTATTGAGTTCTATGGCAAAATTCCTCATTAGCTGTAATCCATTCTTTTTGGCTTTTATGTGTCCTGAAAACACATTTTAGTAACTGAAGCAGGCCAAATATAAATTAGTTTCAGATTCAGAAACAAAGAGATCCCACAAAATTATTTTTTCTAATTGATTTTAGAAAAAGTTATATAAAAACACAAACCACAAAAGGGGGAGGGGGAGATAAAAGAAAAAGAGAAGAAACAACGGGAGAAGAAAGAAAAATAAATAACTTCTGATTAGTCTATCAACTGTTTGTAAACATTTTTCAACTCATCCACTTCAGTATTACACCTAACAAAACCACTTTCTATAAACCAACATTACCTTCAGTCTTCAAACCCAAATGCCATTAATTCATTTTATCGTGCAAAAAATCTGTAAGAGGTTTTCAATCCAATGTGTTAGAAGTCTTTTTCTCTGATTAAACATGTCAGTTTCGCCATCTCGGCTAAGTCCAGTAATGTTAACAACCATCCTTCCATTGTTCATAAATATGAGTCTTTCCATCTTTGCACATATCAAAGTCTTGCTGCCATGATCATGTGTTGGAATAAAGTTCCATAGCTCTGGGGTAATTGACCCCAAGTCCCAGCAGGAAGAGAAACCAGTAATTAGAGAAAGGGATACTTTTGCAGATCCCATGTCCATCCAGGCTCTTAACGTGGCTTTTGGGCAAGATGTTGATGTTGTTCACCCCTATCGGGGTTCCCAGGAGCTGACTTCTCCACTTCCATCTTCATACGTAGAAAACAGCTTTTTCAGAGCATCAGAGGTTAATCCCCTCTGTTCATTCTCATCTCTAGAGTGAATTAAATAACCAAGATATATGCCCGGCTTTCATCAATCACCACATAATCATCTCCATCAGCAACCTATCAACAAAAGACGTTCAATCCCCTGTGTCCCTTCCTTGGAAGTCCGATCCCTTTTTAGAGATCAGTGTAACATTGCCTACTTCCCGGTCTTCTTGTAAAGAGATCGGTTTCAGGGCCATGGCTCATCTTCCGACAGTGGCAGTGTTGTGGGCTCAGGCAGGAGACGCGTGTTGCAAAGCTGGAGATCTTTGGTAGGATGCTGCCACGGCCTCAATTGTGGTGCACACGCTGGGAGGTGGCAATGCAGTTACAGGCAATGGTGAAGTCTGAACACGGTGTTCAAAGCTTATGAATAGGGGTGTGTGCTGCCACCTGTGGTAAGCTGGAGACCTTCTGTCAGTGTCTTCTGTATCTGCCAGGACATGGCTGTTGTGGGGACTCAGGAATTGTCCCCCACATTTCTGATCAGATGCACACAGTGTGTGTATAGAGGCCGGCTACAGCAGCTGCCTGAGTGGGATGGGGGAAGACGACAGCAGGTGCGACCCCTGCTGTGGCAAAGAGGTGGCGGTGGTGGTAGCACCTGCTGCCTATCCTCAGGGATGCTCCTACCACCAGCCCGCCCGCCCGCCCACCTGTTGCAAGGTACACTTGTGCTTCCTGGCCTATTGTGGCTTCTGCTGTGCCTTTGGCTGTGGGTACTTTTGGCTCTGGGGTACTTTTGGTAACTGCCCAGTCACATCTCCCTGCGTATGCATGTTTTTGGGTGGGTGGGGGCCTACAATAGCCTGTGTGGGCATTTGCAAGGTGTGCGTGCCGCGAGGAGCAGGGTGTGATGGTGATCTCTGTGACCTGGCCCTTCCCTGGTCATGTTGTGTTGCTTGGTTGGTACCTGTAGCTGGGAAATTGGTGTAACTGAATACACGTCATGTGTTGACTGGCTGCTGCACTAGGCACTACTGGGAACACCATGTGCACTTTATCTCGTTTGTTTGCATTCCTGTGCTTGTGATTGCAAGATGCTACCCATGGGCTACATGTGAGCAGCCTCACAATTCCTTTGCATCTGATTACGGGGCCCAAAAACTCTCTCTGAGCATCAACAGAAGGCCACAGTTCCCATGGTGATGCTGGCTAAGCTGGCTCTCCTGTAGTTTTTTCCCCATTTCACCAGAATGGGCCCAGCCTAGATAGCACTTCTTTCCACCTAAGAATCCTGAACGAACTCTGGATCTGACATACTATACGTCGGCTTAATAGAAGCTGAGGTAATTTATACTAGCTTTTTGTGCTCAGGATCGCTCCCTTAACTTTGTAAGCCCCCTCTGCCCCCTGCCCTTTTTTGTGACATCTTTATAACATTTAGGGGCTACTTCGAGGTTTGACGCTGTGTGCGCATGATTGCGAGACATTTGGACACGCCTAAATTGGCCATTGCCTGTACAGGAAAGTATTTTGTCCAGTACAATCACCTTTCTTATTTATATAAAGACGGGATGAAAGAACAAATAAAATCCTTTCAAAAGAAAATGGGAGAAATAAGATCACAATTAAAAGTATTTATGAATCAGACTTTATTAGAAGTAACGTAATATGAAAACTAAGAGTCAATATGTTTTAAATGCATCTTTGTCATAATCCAAAGAAAGCACTTTTCAAATATCACTTGCTGTTGTATGTAAAAAACAAGTTGCCCGGCTTATTTGGAAAAGTGGACAACAAAAGGCACAAGAGAAATTTCCAGGGGATAATGGAATTATTTATGGGGGAAATTAATAAATATAGAATAGATTCTACACTAGAGGAAAACTGATTTAAGATGTTATCACAATAAAAATAAATACAACAATTTATTTATTTCATAAAATTTATATACTGCTTGATTGTAAAACAAACAAACCTCAAAGCAATTTACAGATTAATATTTAAACAATCAATAAAACTTGATTTATTGCTGGAAGTGTGGAAACAAAAGTGTTTTGACCATTGTTGGTGGTCCTGTGTTTATACTGAAACAGAGGAGTTGCTAGCTTTTGTCTCTCCAGATGGTGGATGCCAACTCCCATTAGCCTCAGTCAGCATCAAGGGCTCTGGGCGCTGGATACCAACAACATTTAGAGAGTCACAGGTTAGCTACCCCTGTAACTAGATTTGTTTGGAATCAAATATTAAAAACTATTAATTTCAGCTTCAAAGTCTATGTTGGGATCCCCAAAAATATTCCCATTAACAATATTTAAAAGGAACTGCACCCAAAGATAAATAAGAAATATTATTTTATTACAGGTGCAGTCAGAATACCATATGCTAAATACTGGAGGCAATGTGCTCTTAGGTAGCTAGCTAGCTGCTAAATAAATATTTAGCATTCTTACATACAGCTTTTTTTTTTACCTCAAAGTGATTTATATCAAAACAAAACATATCAAAGAATCACAAAAACAATCAAGATGGTAAATAATAGTAACACTACTACAGCCTTTTAAAAATAAGTTAAATTTAATTAAATTAAATTATTGCCTCCAGGCAGTGGTTCAACACCAATACCAAATTTCATTTGGATTGGATGGTATAGATATGTAGAACTTAGTGTCATCAGAATGCTGATTGCACTGGCCTGTAAAACCCCAATAGCTGCCCCCAACAACTTCATATAGTTGTTAAACAGCATGGGGGCAGGATAGAGCTTGACAATGTTTCACAGGACCCAGCAATGGGGTCAATCAAATATTACCCACTGCTACTCTATGAAAATGACCAAGAAGGCAAAAGCAAAACCACTGTGTCGGCCCCAACCCACAACCTGCAGAGTCACTCCAGAAAAAGACCATAGTCAATGTTGTCAACAGCTGCTGAGAGAAAGAGTAGGTTTAATAGGGTTGCACCTCCCTCATCTCTCCCTTAATACAAGTCATCAATTGGAGTAACCAAAGCTATATTGGTGCCAAAAGCAGGAATAAAGCTGGATCGAAATAGATCAAAATGCATCTTTGAGGGAGGGGGTCTGATAATTGTGCCTGTCACCATGAAAGAGATTGTGGTGTGTGTCCCCACCTTAAGAGGCCCTGGATCCAGAAGGTATTGCACAGCTGCAAAATACCCACTTTTTGAGCAAGGTGTTCAAGAGGGTTATGGCGCTACAGACAAGCTTGATGAAATATAGATTATTTATCACCCCATAGGCCCGCCCAATCAACACACTTCAGTTAGTTCATATAAGCAGATATATGAAAGGGTTGAGAGCAAAAGTAGTTGGCAAATTATAGAATTCAGCTGTCTTGCATAAAAAGAACTTAAGACTTTATGGGTGGGTGTGAAATCAATATATTTTTGAAAATGAGTTTTCTGCATGGTGCAGGAACACAATCAGAGTTGCTAGAGTAGGAAACCGGTTTCCATTGTTGTAATTTACTGCTTTCACATGCAAAAGTACCTCTAGAAATTTGAACATATAGCTCTGCTCTCTGAGATAATTTAATGCAAGATGCCAGGGACTGAACCAGGAAACTCAGTCACCAAGCTCTGGCCTCTGCCTTGAGAGTGTCACGTTTGGTTTCACAGATAGATTGTTTTGACTTAGACCAGGGAAACGTAAATTCAAATCTCTACTCATTCATAAAACTCACTTGAGCCAGACATACAAACTTGTTCTCTCAAACAAACCTTTGGCAGATTAATGCATTACTTTTATTTCACTGACAAAAAAATTAGGATGAGATAGTACAAGATGGCCAGATAACAACATGCAGCACCATCTATACTATATTGTTGCAAGAAGATTTGAGGTGGTGAAGTCTTTGCTATATTAACAGTAAAACTGAAATTGTCCTATTTTGCTTGCATAGCAGACTAGAATTACTCCAAGGTGCATCAATTGTAATGCCTGCCCTCCAGCCACACCACAGCTGTGACCATTCCATGCCAGTGTTAGAAACAGAGATATGAAAGCTAGGAGCTAAATGGTACCTTAAACCTAGGGTTATGGGTGCAACAACAAAATGTCTAGGCACACTTTTTAATAAGAAGAATACAAAGCTGAAAATGAATGAACTGCAGCTAAAATATTATGTTCACTTTTCATATGGTCTAGTCCTTCTCCTGCCCACCCCACTAATATTCTTAAGACGGCCTCTTCTCCAATCTTCAGAGTAGCTGGAAGTGGGGAGGCAGAAAAGGGTCCTCCTTTCCTTCCACTCTGCAGTTTTAATCTGAAATCTTAGGTGCAGCACTGTGCCCAAAGCTCAGAAACTGCTCTTGCTAATCAAATTCCCTGTTGCAAAATGTGCCTAGAACAGTGGGAGTTTTGAACGCAGTTCCATGCACAAACATCAAATCTCCCTGTAGGAGAGACAAGCACAGGAACAATCCCTGGCCACTACAGCCACAAATACATGTTTACTTAATATTTTCTAAAATTCAACACACATTTAAAAGATAGTAAAACTGATTAGGCAGTAGAGATTACATGGAGAATACAATTATGTAAGACCAACTGTCCCAACTGTCTTCTCCACTTCATTCCAGAGCTCCAGGTTCAATTCATTAGCCATGCATCCATTTTGTAATCTGGCAAGCCTGTCACACAAGATTCTACTTCCTCTTCACCTGTCCTTTATCCTCCCCTGTCTAAGCAACCTTGCCACAAGCACATTCTTCACTGCAGTGACTGACTTGACATATCCCCAGGTGGTGTCAATTTGCCATGCAACTGCAACGGCTGTAAAGGGCCAGCTGCTCAGCTCCAGGTTCACATAGCAAAGGCCTATTTACTTTGTACAAAGAATCGCAGAGTTGGAAGGGACCCAAGGGTCATCTAGTCCAACCCCCTGTAATGCAGGAATCAAATGCAAGCCTCTTATTTACAATTGTCCTACAACGGCACCATCTTTACAAAGCCACTCCCTAATTATGTCATTTCATCTACAAAACCGTTTTAGCAAATAAGCTCTGCATGTATCTAAGTGGTCCTGTAATAAAAGCTTCTTTCCAATATTACTATTTTATTATAGCAGTACCTTGAGTTAATTCATTCCGGAGGTCCATTCTTAATCTGAAACTGTTCTTAACCTGAAGCACCACTTTAGCTAATGGGGCCTCCCACTGCGCCGCTGCTGCGCGATTTCTGTTCTTATCCTGAAGCAAAGTTCTTAACCCGAGGTAATATTTCTGGGTTAGCGGAGTCTGTAACCTGAAGCATCTGTAACCTGAATAGTATGTAACCTGAGGTACCACTGTATTTTGTAGATGCCTACTCCCATTTTAAAGCTGTGTGGAACAGTGGATCACAAAGTTGCTCACAGCAGTTGGTGGCCTAGGCACCTCTGGGGAGCATGATCTTCCTGATTTCTTCAGGAACATGATGAAGGGAAAGGGATACAGGGGTGATCCTGATGTCCCTTCCAAGAGCTCAGGGTAACAGAAGCAAGACACTACATCTCCAAAGTGCAGCAAGGAGGACATCATCATGTGAACCACAAACTGTGTTTGAATTACAAACCTACCTACCTACCCACAATCAATTAAGCTTGCTTCTTCCAACCCAAATTGCAGCAAGGAAGGCATTTTCAGTGAGGAGGGGGTTTGCAGGGAGAGTTTAACACTTCCCTCATTAACTGCAATCCCCCTTCCTGATTAGCCCCATGGCAATTAGGCTTGCAAAAAACCCGAACAACCCCAAACCTCATATTGTCTCCAACAGAAGGGTTTTTGCAAGCCTAATTGTAGTAGAGGAGAGGTGAGAAAAGTAATGTTGCTGTGGGGCTGACAGGGAGGCCCCTGTGGCTGCCCAACCCTGCTGTGCTATGTATAAAGAAGTCAGAGTTGAAGTTCATATCCAAGCTGAAGGTCTGCATAGTCCTCATCCTTTCTCATAAAACAATTGGGCTGGAGTAGAGCCATGCCCATGGACTTTGGAAATGTTGCCATAAGAATCACAAGAGTCAGAACAGAATTGGAAACGTAAGTTATTTGTACTGTGAAAGTCTCCGTAGACAATGGTGACGTGATCTAGTTCCAGCAAATTTTTATCTGCTCCCAAGAATTCTGCAGGTACAGCAGCAGAAAAAGGGACACAGTCTACCCTGGTGTAGAGTCGCATGGAACTCTATGTCTCAGCCACAATTTTAAAATTAAGGTGTAGCAAGAAAATTAAGGTGTAGCTAGAAATTGGAAAAGTGAAATCATACCAATAAAAGAGGAATGGAAGGATAAATTATTTGAATATCTCGAACTGGCAAAAATGATGGTTGAGATTAGGAGACAGCCACAATTTTAAAATTAAGGTGTAGCAATATCAGGGAGTACATGCAGAGCCTTTGTGGTGAGTGAAGCTTTAATCTCTGCGACTGCTTCCACCCAGCACTTGGTACTCAGAGGGCCTCTAGAGCACTTGACAACCTGACTGTACACATGGCAAACTGGGGCAAATAATCTCTCTTAAACCCCCAAAGCATTGGCAAAGGAGGCTGTGCTTAAGCCACTAATTTTTAAAGAGTTGACGCTCAGCCTTGAAACAGCACTCAGGCAGAAAAATACGACAACACAATTTGAAATGAAACAGAAACTTTTCTCAGTTTTGCTTTTTGGCATTTATAATTTAACAGCTCACAGGCAAAGGCATTAGTGCCTGCAAGATCAGGCCAATGGCCCATCTAGTCTAGTATCTTGTTCTCACAGTGGCCAACCAGATTCCCAAGAGAAGTCTGACAACAGGACCTGAGTGCCATCTCACTCTTCACAATTGTAATTATCAGCAGGTGGCATCCAGAGGCATACTTGCATGATACACCATGTCCTCCCAACTGTCACCTTTCCATACAACCTTTATTCTTACCAAGGTTTCCTTGCTCAATGGTCAGGACCACTTCATCCATCACCAAAGCTCGGAAGTCCAGGTCCTCTTCACAACATTTGGCCTTGAGTGCTCTCAGGATTTGTTGTTGAGGGTAGTCTTCCCTAATACGACGATCCGTTAAAAACCAGAGCCTGGGAGCAACCGAACTACACATCTTGAACTAGTCCCACAGACGTCAGGTCTCCTTTGAAAGGAATGTCTAGAAAATTAAAGAAAGAAATTTAGCACACAAAAAGGTTTCTATCTTTCTCATTTACTACTATTTATTTGTATACAACGAGTAATGCATGTGATCAATTTAATCTCAATCCATTTCAATCTAGACTTCAATTTTGCACATGCCACACTCCTCAGAATGATTACATCCTGAGTGTTCTTAAAACTGTCACCTTGGCTTACAGCATCTATTTGAAATCCCAACTGTGTTACTGAGGAAGATGAAAGCTGAAACATTTAACTAAACTGTCTTTGATACAACTGTTTCATCAATCACTTATTTTTCATATATAAATAATGTCTGACAGTATCCTTTTAGGATCCAGGGCCTACTTAGGCTGTTTGGTTGCTTTAAGATTGGCAAGCAACACATATTTACTTAGTTCTACAGCAAAATATGGCAACATCAGGAAGATTAGTAACACTACTAAAAATGCCTTCACTGATAATCTCAAATACCATAGAGGGAGGGAGAAGAGAAGCGGGAGGATCCCTGTTCCTAAGGAGAATTTAATCATTTCCATAAACCATACATGCCAAACCTAGTATGAAATATCTCAAGGATTTAATACTAAGGTGGGGGTAGGGTGGTGAAAGGGCCCATATAATGAAAGGACGCCTGACTGGCAGTCAGACATTTTCATTTCAACACAGAAAGTGGGGCAACAAGAATGAGCTGTACCCCTATCTGTACAGCCCCACCACAGGCACCCTTTCTTGGTCATGCTGGAGTGTGACAAAAGTCAGAAACCTGAAAGTGGGTTTTATTACAGAACTGCGGAAGTTGCCCTATAGTTTAAGATGTATTGGCTTTTCAACACTCTTAGGTTTTATAATAAAAATCTTAAAAATCAAATACAGTTTGTCATATTGGTATGAAATCTGACACGAAGACTCAACTTGATGAGAGGTATAATTTGGCAAAGAAAGTTCTAAAGAAAATGGCTGAGTTTCTGTACTGAGGTCCAAGGATCATACATTTCCTCTCCCTGCCAACCAATTCCTCATTTGGAATGTTTAAATTATGTGTTGCATTTTTTAAATCAAATACAATGCAGGCCTGTCGCTTTCACTGGTTTGCAAATCCACTGTGGATTCCTAAAGTTACAAGTTTCGATGCTCATTTTAATCACTGTCAACTGATCTAAGGGCAAATCATGCAACATGTCTGAATGTCAGACTGAGACCAAGTGAAACCTGTTTCTCCAAGAGAAAATGACCCAGCAATGACTTGGGCAGACTATAGTACTGAATGTCAATAGTTAGAAAAAAAAGTTCCCTGTTCCTGCTCTATCAAGGGTCGCATGTTGATGGTGGGAGAAGCCAGAGCCAACACTGGGGCAAGGTTAGCTCACTTTCTCCCTGCTTACCCCACATTCTTCCTTCCTACCTGCCTAGCAATATGCTAGAGAAAGTGACTGATTGTTCTTGCCAGAGGGCTTCCTGCTCCTCCTTCCATTTTTGCTTCCCCCTTGCCCTTTCCAGGCTCCTCCACCTGTATGAAATTAGGCCAAATGGGAGCAACATCCCATGTGTACAAGAGGATAACATATGTGCTCCTGCTGCATGCATTCATGCATAGTTAATGCTACTAAGTGTGTGTGTGTGTGCGCGCGCGCGCACGCGCGCGCATGGACAATTGCATCTTCCTCCAAAAGGTCATGATTGAGGAAACATGCTATAAGGAAGCTATATAAGGTACAGTCATACCTCATGTTATGTTCTTTCAGGTTACGTTCTGCGGAGACCCGGAAGTACTGGAAAGGGTTGCTTCCGGGTTTCGCCGCTTGCGCATGCACGCAAAATCTAATACTTGCTGGAGGTGTAAACAGGCAGAAGGGGCACTGTTTCACATGTGATGGGGTTGCAAAAAAATTAAGAACTTCTGGGATATTATATGTGAGGAGCTAAAAAAATGTTTAGGCAAACCTTTATAAAGAAATCAGAAGCTTTCCTTTGGGGCATTTTAGATTCAGATATCCCAAATGAAAAAAAGAGAATATTCTTATATGCAACAACGGCAGAAAGAATATTAATAGCTAGAAATTGGAAAAGTGAAATCATACCAACAAAAAAGGAATGGAAGGATAAATTATTTGATTATCTCAAACTAGCAAAAATGACGGTTGCGATTAGGAGACAGCCTAATCAAAAATTCCAAAAGGAATGGGAAATTTACAGAGATTATCTAAAAAAAAAAACAGTGTCCCCAAGTCAAAACCTGGATTTGCTTTAATTTTCACAAATCACAACATGGATTACAAGTATGGTACGTGGAAAACTGTGGAAATGAAGGAAGGATAAAAGGAGCAGTTTAACAAATAGACAAAATAGACCAGGGGTGAGGCAGACGAAAGTCTATTAGAGAACAAAAGGAATTGGGATTAAAGAATATGGTGACATAAATCCGTATGTAAGAACTTATGGATTTATGGTTGTGTGTGTGTATGTGTGTGTGTGTGGTTGTTTTTGTCATTTTACTATTTTACTGTGTGTGTTTGTTCATCAAGTAAGAAAACTAATAAAAAGCAAACAGGAAAAAAATGGTTGAGGAAACATGCAAGATAACCAGTTGTTTTGCAGGAGGATCATGACCTTTAGATTTCAAAATGGGTAAGGTAAACAAAATGATAGACAGACAGGAACTTGTAGTAAGTAAACAATGGTACAAAGGAATACTCATCCAGAAAGACCCCTCCCCTCTCCATAAGGGTGCATTGGTAGAAAATTGTACTTAAAATTCCAGATTTGCAATTGCTGGGTAGCTCACAGGCTCTAATGGGACTGTGACTTTACTCTCAAGGACCAGCTTCATGCATCACCTGACCATGGACCAAGAAACAAGTGAGAGAGATGCTGTAGCCTTGCTGGTACAGTAAATCAATGGGGAGAGCTCAACTCTCATGCAAAAGGTACAGATCTCTCATTCCTGAGTTGGGTTCCTCTTAGGGATACCTTCCCCTTTTCCTCTCTACTTTTAATGTGAGTTTGTGGCAAATTGCTGTGCCTATTCTTCAGGCTTTTGTGTGGTTAGGGGTTTTTTTTACTCTTTAGAATCAAGGTGGGTATGTACTGTATGATTTGCTACTCATTTATATGTCGCCTTGCTGCCTGAAGCAGCATCCATTATTATAATTATAACTATTAAATTTGTATGCCATCCTTTATTCGTAGATCTCGAGGATGTTCTCAACATAAAAATATAAAAACACAAAATACCTGATAAAAAATAACAAAAAGCCCAATAACCCCCATCCCATAAACACATTTTAAAAGGGTGTAAGATGTTCATCAGCCAGAGGCTTTTTTTATTTCATGTATGCTCCTTTTATTTCATGCAATAAACCAGTCTTTCTTTATTCCTCTGATGTGCGAACCTCTTGCTGGGCATGAAGTTACAGGTAGGAACACATATTCATAATGAACACACACACGGACTCCAGCAAAAAATCCTAAATCTCTTGTGAGTGCTGAGAACAGCTCATAACGGAAGAGTTTCTATTCCTTATTTGTCTGCCCACCTGTTCCTCCACTGCTTCATTCAAGCCACTGAACAGTGCAGTGCCAGTACCTCCCCAAAGCTCATCAAACCATCTTCTGGGGCAACAATGAACTACTCCGGCAGTGGGAAGCCTTTTCTCTCTGGTGTGCCAAGATCTTTATCTGCCCAAACCCTGCAGGCCAAGTTTGACAGGTGGATAATAATGTCAGATTATAGCTAATGACTAATTTAGGCATGTCTGAATAATGTGCACGTACAGTGGTACCTCGGGTTATATATGCTTCAGGTTACATACGCTTCAGGTTACAGACTCTGCTAACCCAGAAATAGTACCTCAGGTTAAGAACTTTGCTTCAGGATGAGAACAGAAATCATGCTCCGGTGGCGCAGCGGCAGCAGGAGGCCCCATTAGCTAAAGTGGTGCTTCAGGTTATGAACAGTTTCAGGTTAAGAACAGACCTCTGGAACGAATTAAGTATTTAACCCGAGGTACCACTGTACGTTGAAACCCAGAAGTATCCCCCAAACATCATAAAGATAAAATGCCTCACAAAAAGAGGCAAAGAAGGCTTGCATGTGCTCTGCTGACATGCACGGGGGTTTTTTACACCTCTGAAGTGTGTTCCTAATAGAAGTCACTTGGAAATGAACTTGCAAGTGACGGCCACACCTTCACCTGCCTCCCACCTGATATTGTATATGGTATTACGGGCAGGGGAGGATGGTTTGGGAGAAACAACTCCACACACCTGATTAGGACACCTGCTTGACCTTATTTAGCTCACGGGCTAGGGGTTTCCCCAATCATGGATCACACTGTATGCCTAACACACTTGCTGCACTATTGGGCAAACCAGGAAAGCAATAAACAGGAACTAAAAGGGGATAATAAAAAAAATAGCCTAACTTGCAAGTTTGGTATAAACATTATTATGATAAAATATATGATGGGGGACTGCCAGCCCTGGGACCTAATTAGATCTACCAAGCTTCACCATTTCAGCCAAGTCATGTCCAGTTGCCCTACATCAGTTGTCATATGAGGCACCAGGCATGGGGCAGATGAAAGCCCAGCTCAATATAAAAAGGGTGTCCAGGCACAAAGCCCTATTAAAAATGCAGGGCAAAAACAGCACTTTTAAATGGGCTTTTGAAGGCCCCTGCAGGTAATAAAAAGTTACCCGGCATCACCGTGATGTCAAGTGTTTGCTGTGTGAATGGCTCTGTCCCCTTACTAAATTTTATCCGCATGGGGAGGGGAAATAATGACCTGGACCGCTGGCCAGATTCAGTCCCCACCCCTGATATACCGTATTTTTCTCTCTATAACACTCAGATTTTTTTCTCCTAAAAAGTAAGGGGAAATGTCTGTGCGTGTTATTGAGCGAATGTGTGGTCCCTGGAGCCGACTGGCCCGAGTGCAGGGGCAAAAATCAGGCCACCGTCACGGAGGAGAGGAGGCTGCTGCTTTCCAGCATTCTGCCTCAGGGTCTTACTGCCCACCCTCTTCTGTTTTCGGCTGCTATGTTTGCTCAAACGCAACAAAGAGCAGGGAAATCCCCTGCCCTCCTGGCAAGCAGAGGGGAAAGGAAAGGATCGCTCCTTCCTTCTAATTCCTTCCTAGTCACACTGCGCGCAGGCTCCAGCCCACCCGGCTCAGCATTCTAGGGACTCACAGGCAGCCGGAAAACATGCAGGTGGGGCGGGGGAGAGAGAGGGGGGGGAGGGCTGGCTTGGGTGTGTGTGGGGGGAAATACTTTTGCCTTCCTTTCCTCCCTCCCGTTAAACCCCTCTCCTGCATTGTTAGCCAGCTGCTTCTCCACACACCCCTCTCATGCTCCTTGTCCCTTCTGTGTTTTTCCTTCCCTCCCCACTTAAAACGTGGTTACAAAGCATGGATCCACATGGATCCTCAGGATCTTTGCATTGGGTCACCCCAAATTCACCATCAGATCACATTGCATGTCCATGGCTACAGCCTGCACCAAAAAAATCACGCACCCACTGTTTCCTGGGGCCACAATGGTGCAAAAATGTGGTTACAAAGCACAGATCCACATGGATTCTCAGGATTTTTGCATTGGGCTACCCCAAACTCACCGTCAGATCACATGTCTGTGGCCACAGCATGAAACACAAAAATGATACATCCACTGTTTCATTCAGAATTTTTTTTTCTTGTTTTCCTCCTCTAAAAACTATGTGCGTGTTATGGTCAGGTGCGTGTTATAGAGCGAAAAATACGGTATATAATGAGTTTTCAACACAAAGTGGTTTCATTTCTAACTAAATAATACAGTGGTACCTCCAGTTACGAATTTAATCCATTCCAGAGGTCCGTTTGTAACCCGAAAGCGCTCATAACATGAGGCACGCTTTCACTAATGTCACCTCCTGCTGCTGCTGACGCACGACTTCCGCTCGCATCCCGGGGCAAAGGCCGCAACCGGGAGCATCTACTTCCGGGTTAGCGGAGCTCGTAACCCGCAGTGTTTACAAGGGGGATAGTACGTAACACGAGGTTCCACTGTAGAAGCAAAGTGTAGTTAATTTTGCCATGCCTCCCACCCTACTACAAGCCTCAGCTACTTAAAATGAATAAAGTCACTCACAAAGTCTCTCTTGATTTGTCCTTCACTAGAAACTTGTGTCACCTTAAAGGTCTGTTTAAATACACTCATAGTTGCAGACACCATGCCTCACACTGACATTGCCACACTTTCCTGCAACTGTAGTTAAGATGACTCAGGAGGTTTTAAGGCTGGTCTGTTCTTGCTTGGTTGAGTTTAAGCTGGTTTAAACATTAAAAAGGTGGGAGAGATACCTTCTTGCATTTGCATACAACACTTCCCATATATAATCTTCATGCAAAAAATGCTGCTCACTATACTGATGTGTTTAGCAGAAACGTATGGGGACCAAACCCAAAGTTGTCTTCAGAGGTTAATACACACCTAGGTCGCACTATTGACACCTACTGAAGAATTAGTTATTAGTTATTCCACAATAATAAGCCAACTAGCTAAATAGTGACTCCACTCCCATTTTTCAGACCTTTTTATAGGTACTGCACAAATTCAAAGTCACATTAGTTGTTGAAAGTTCAGGTCAGTGAGTGTTATGTATTCTCTGGATTAAAGAGTTTAAGGCTGTGATCTCGTGCTTGGAGTACAAAGCTGAATGTGAACATAAAAAGCAGTTTGCTATCAAAAGATCACAACACAAATGGTCACCTGGTCTCTAAAAAGCCTGGCTTATTGCTGTCACAAGCCACTAAGAGCACTATTGTTGAATTTTGACTGCACTGGATAAGGCAGTTATCTCTTGCAGTCTAGTCCTTATAAGGTGAGCATTAAATACATCAAAATGGCCATCTTAAGAGTAGCTAGAAACCTGCAAATCTGCTTTTTATATACAAGAAACATTTTCAAGCCTATACCCATATAACTGGTCTGCTTTAAGACAACAATGGTGCAAACATTGGAGAACCTAGTCTCCATGGACCATCAAGCCATTTTCCTGTCTCCTTTTAACTGACAAGAACAGAAGGAACTGTTATTATTATTATTTATTGAATTTATATACCACCCTCTACGCGCAGGAACTATTGTTCTGACCTAACTTCTTCTGTCTGCAGTATGAGATTTTGCAGCAAGAATGCAACCAAACAGATTTTATATGGAGCTCTCTTGCAGCAATTTTTCAATCACATAGTATTGTTTCTCAACCTTAACATGCAGCAGCCATAAGCTGTAATTTTTTTACCAAATAAAACAAAATCAAGTATTCCTTTTCTATGCCAGGCAACAAAAATGAGTAAGATGTTTCCAGATGTTTTTCACCACTAGACCTGAAGGCAATTTATAAAATCTCACTTGGTATGAGATCTAAGGCATGTGATTTGTGATTGTGACCTATTCCTTAATTGTCTGTGGAAAAATAGGGGGAATGGGTGAGGAGAAAAATCAGCATTAGTTCTTTGCCTACTACTTGAGACAGACCCAGTTCCAGGATTCACAAACATCTACTTAAACTGAATATAGTAATTTATTTATTTTTGTGAGTTTCCATGTATATTTTGTATCTTTCCTTTCCACTGAGGCGGAAGCAAAATGGCATGAATATCCTGTTAAGAAAACAATAATCTACAGTAGCCTTTACCTAAACTCATTGCATTGCACTATTTTATTCTTTAACAAAATTTGTAAACCACTTGATTGTAACGAAACCTCAAAGTGGTTTACAAGTGGTTTATTTTTATTTACAAATAAAAGACAGTTAAAAACAGGTGTTTTAGAAAAACTTAAAACAAACCTAACTAGAATCAACAAAAAACAGATTAAAGCACATTTAACTTCTTACATGTCTAGATAGGCTTGCTTAAACAAACATGTTTTAATGCTCTCTTGTATACTGCAAGTGACTATTATCAAAGTAAGAAAGAGTGTTTTATCACTAGAACGCATCCTGAATTAGTCAATATAAACTACTGTACAACACTAGTGCACAACATCCATCACAATAGGCATAGTATACATTGCATAGTCATAAGAACACGAGACTCTGGTGATGGGGCAATGGGTCTCTGCAGAGACTTTGTGTAACTACAATGGGGTATTGTGGATGAAATTGTCTTGGTTTGTAGACAGGTTTTGTCTCTGCTGCAATATTATCCTTGAGTGTCCATGGGAATGAATGACAGCCAGTCACCTATAAGCGTGAATTAAGCATAACCCCCAATTTCTCTACCAGATGGGCTTTTTTTGCAACAGTATTCTTTTTTTGGTGCATATGGCAGCCATTTTGTGCTGGCGCCCACGGCACTTTTATCAATATATGAATACCAGCACCCCATTTTGTTATGAAAAATGCACTGCTACCAGCAATCCCTTTTTGTGGAGGGAACTATGAAACTTGGGTTCAAACAGTAATGAGATTGACGAAGGTATGAACACCAGAGCCCACCTAAATAGTGTGCAGTATCTCCAGCTCCCAGGCTTTCTGAAAGTAAGTAGGGAAACAACCAGTGCACAATTTAAGAGGATGGGAGCAGTAAGAACTGATATTTATTTAATAGGGAGAGGAAGCAAGAGAAACAATTTAGGTAGGTATACAAATTAAAGTCTCTAAGCAGCGGAACTGGAGTATATGGAGTCCAATAATGGAGCATATACAAAAGTGAGCATTCAGAGACTGTAAGATCTGCCTATGTCTACCTAGTCCTCGAAAGCAGGGATGGGCCTCGAGCCGTTACACACACTTGGCTTGGAGCTGCTGCTGAAGAAGTGCTGAGGCCTTTGGCAGAGATCTTTTTGATCACCTGCATTTGTGGGATGCAAATGATTGAACCTAGGACAGTCAGTACGCAAAGTAGGAGCTCTACCATAGAACTATGGCCCATGTAAAGTGATGCACTCAAGGATACTACTGGAGTGGGGGCGGGGAACCTGTTCTGTTGACCACAGCGCATCGATTCAACTGTGTCCAAAATTGTTTACTACATCCCATAGAATTCAATGGCAGGACTGAACGGCCCTTGTCTGGGTGGCTCTACCCCTTAAATCTCTGGCACTGGATTTTGTTTCTCGGTGTGAAACTAGAAAATTATTTTTTAAATTACTTTAAAAAGCTAAATTGTTTATTCCATGATAAATACTTTCTTCGGGAAAATCTTCAGCCACAATGATGATTGAAGCCAAACCAGACTTGATTTTCAAGTCTTGGGCACAAGACTTTTCCTTCACATATTACCAGCGTGGGCAGGGGGCAATCTGGACAAGGATCCTGCCATGAGTTCAGGAGAATTTAATCCATTGACCTCTACTGGGGCCCTGATCTGAAGATGGTGTGAGCTAATCTGTACCATGACCATAGCAAAGGGTTAAAGCTCCTTAATGTCATATTCTCAATCTGGAATGGGGGTGCACACTAGCAATTGCTAGAAGAAAAGGCTTGCACTCAAGGACCAACTACATGTCAAATGTGACATGTAGTCTGGCCCCTAGGCAGGAGCAACCCTTCCTATATGGCTGGGAATAGAAGTCAGCCTGACTGAATTCCACTAACCACCACGCAGTGGACAAGACCCAAAAGGTCAATTGCCACATAATGGAATAAATGTTCCTTACAACAAATTCATTTAAATTACAGCCCAGTTGTGTAAATGTAAAAATAATTTAGCTAAAATACTACTTCAAAATGAGAAGATCCAGAGGAAGAACAGACAAGTGCAGAATTTCAATAAACTTAGGTAAAAACTTGCATGTAAAGAGTTGGTTTAGACATAACACCAAAACATGGCTTGGCATTACGTGCATGAGTCTGGCTGGTCCCTCAGGCTCACAAACTCCACCTCCCATCTCCAGTGCCTTCTGCACAGCAATTTATAACCTTCTTTCCTAGTATGAGGTAACCCATAGTTTGCCACTTCATCCCAAACCAGCAAATTATTTATGCTTATCCAGCAGAATAAACCAAAGTCCACATGCCTGAGGGCCCAGCCAGGCTTGTTCATATAATGCCAAATCATGGTTTGGTATTGCCTCTGAATCACCCCAATGAAACAAATACAATTCCAAACCACATCTCAGATACTGTAAACCCCGTTGGTTGAAAACTCTGCTCCATCATCTGTATAAGCAAATTTTGGTTCTTAGAACATAAAAAATATTTGAATTTCCTTTCATTAATTATAGGCTCTTTTCAGGAATATGCCTTCCAAAGTGGCTCACAAGGTATTAAAAGCATACAATGAAGCACAATTTGAAATTGAGCAAGCATTAACACAACCAGGGAAGCCTGCATACAGCTGCATATTCTGGCTGTTCATCCTCTCTCCATTATAGAAACAGCCACTGCAGCCAGGTGATAAACTACACACTTCTTTGAAAGCATCCGTACGTCAATACCACCACTACTCTGCATCCCTTTTTTATTTGCAAAAGACACCAGTCTGGAGAGAAAGGACTGTTTCAGCTACTGTGTTTGTCCAACTGCAGAACCATAAAACATTGCTTCATCTTCCAACTCATTCTGTGCGTCCTCCCATGCATTTGGGGGGTGTGCGTGTGATTTTTTTCCACTCATTTGTACAACTCATCCTTTTTTTTGGTACTATTATACTAAGAGTCATCCCCTTATGACATGATACAAGTCTCTGCACACCCATTAAGTCTGCATTCCTTTTTGCAGGTGCCAGCTATTTCCACATAAACAGCATATAAACCTCAAACCTGTAATGCACAAGGCAAGAGATACAAACCCTCTTTTCAATGTTTTACACTAACACACAGTGTCATCCCTGCTTCCCCACCACCACCACGCTCACCATCTTGAGGCACGTCTCTTCACCACATAGTAGAGTGGAGGTGGAGTGAAACAGAACAGAGTGAATGAATAAGTGAATAATGGTAGTGTAACTTACCCAACGCTTGGGGGTGGGAAGAGCAGCAATATCCAGAGACTGTTGCTTCAATCTTCCTTCAATGCAAAGAGGCTTTTCTTGGGACCTTCTCTCTTTCTCCCCACCCCACCCCAGGGAGGTAATCAAGTCCTCTCAGTGCCTTTTAGCTCTTCAAGCTTGGTTTGGTCACAGAGCCTCCATAAGAAAGAAGCTGTCATGTGAACTGTATTATCCTGGTACCCCAATGAGTGATGCCTAACTACTGCTCTGAAGAGTAAAGAAATGTGGGGGGACAGATTTTATATTCCTCCTCCCTCTAATGAAGGTTGATAAAAAATAATCTTAGGTTCTGAGGATTCAAAGTACAGTAAACTCCTCTTGTGTTTCTGCTCCCTCAGAACTGGGCCCCTTAAAAAGCTGCACCTGGCACCAGCAATATCTAGGAAAAAAGAATGAAAAGATCCAGGTTAGTTTACTACACTTAAAGCTTAACACAGTGGTGTACAACAGAAGACAAACTACATGGTTAAATTCTCAAATTACTAAAGCCCTGTGTAACCTAAGGCAACTTCAAAGGGGGAAAGAAACTGGCCTAACAGAGCTTTACATTTTTGATACAGTTAAAAAGACAAAATCTGTGCCTCGGCGTTAGTAAAAACTGGCATTCAACACCCACGTCTTAAACGGAACTACTGTCATACAGAAACGAAGTGAAGCCAAATTAATGTGTAAAACTGTTAAGCTCCTAAGAAAAGCAAAGGTCATTGTTTCAGGCACAGAGTTTGCTTATACAGAATAAGCATAACAATTACTACAAAACGCACGTTAACATACAAGTCTGCAATGATATTGTATTGTATTTCTATCCAAGCTACCGTTCGTTCGTTCTTTAAAAAACAGATATATTTTTTTAAAGGTCCAACAGAAAGGGCTTTAAGATGACACAAGCCAAAAATAAACTATACTCCCCACACGGTAGCTTTTGCACGTCGACACAAACGCCGGAGCATCCTGCGTTCAGACAAAGAATTATAAAATAAAATATGCACGTGCGTTCCCCATCTTGAACACAGAAAATGAGTCAGAAGCCAATATCACGTCGGCAGCACGGCTTTTACACGAATGACTAACCTGGTTGCTTCTTTCCGACTCCTGTTCCTCCTCCTGTGAACAGCACTTTGGATTTAGGATTGGGGGGTCGGGGGGAGAGAGAAAGAGATGCGTCGGTCTTCCGACCCCTCCCTGGATTATTAGGGAAAGAGGGTTAATAAAAATAAAGTATGGGGGGGGGACCTCAAACGGGGGGGTGGGGTGGGAGAGGGGGGAAGGGGAGAAGTTACAGCAAAACGAAGAGAGCTAAACCACCGCTTTGCGAATCCGAAGAACAAAGATTGGGGGTGGGGGTGTTTTTTCCCCCTCCCCTCCCCGCCCTCCTTAGTACCCTGCCCGATTATTTCCGGTGATCATGATCAATAATTGGGAGAAATTGCGAAGTAGGGCTGAAAACAAAGGGGGGGGGCGTAGACGGGTGGACGGAATCTGCCCCGCCCTCCTCGCGCGCGCTTTGAGGTTTTGGGGGGGGGGAGCTTTCCGCGAGTCCACAACCCAAACCGTGAAAGTTGGGGAGGGGGGAAGGAGGGAGGGGCGACTTGCCCTCGTTTAGAAGCGAGCAATTAATGCCTCCCTCCCCCCTGGCAGGCAGGCAACCCACCCACCCAGCTCCCGCCCGCTCGCCCCCAGAGGCTGTTCTGCAGAGCGAGCCTCCTCAGAAACCGCCTCACGGCCGAGCTCTGCCTTCCCGACTGACCGACCGACGAGCCGGATGAGGAAAAGAGCAGCGGGCGGGCGGGGGGGGGAGCGGGTAGACCTAAAGAAAAGGAAGGGAAAGGGTTAAAAGGGAGGGGGACGGGAGAAAAAGCGGGGAGGGGGGAACCGAAAGACGCGGCCGTCAGCGCGCGCGCCCGCGGCGTGAGGGGAACGAGGGAAGGCGTCGAGTCTGTACGCGGTGAGAGGGTGGGTGGGGGGAGCGGGAAGGGGCGCCGCCGCCGCCGCCCCTTTCCCTCGCGCGCCCGTTGTCTCGAAGCCCCCTCCCCTTCCTCGCAGCCAATCAGGCTCGAGGAGCGGGAAAGGCGCGCGGAGAGAGCGCGAGCGCCCCGCCCCTCCTCGCCGCCGAGCGCGCGCCCCAACTGGGCTGCCGCCCTCTGAGGTGGCTCGGATCGTTAAAAACTTGGGGTGGGGGCGGCTGCGTGTTGTGAGGGAGAGACAAGGGGAAGTGAGCTGGAAGCAGCTGGGGGGAAGTGCCGCCGCCGTTCCTCCTCTCTTGGCTCCGACGCGGCGTAATGGTTCCCGGCGAAGCTGAGGAGATGATATTTAACCCCACGCACCCCAAGAATCCGTAGCCAGTTCTACATACCACCACCCCCCGCCAAAAATAATTTTTTATTCGTCGTATTCGCCCGCTTTGCAGGCCTCTGGAGTGAAAGGAAAACGCGCAAAGCGAGGGCTCTGAGGGAAAAAGGAGTGGAATAACGCTGAAAAGAAGGAGAGAGATGATCTGGATTTCAATAACTGTCAGGTTCCTAAAAAGGGACACTCACCGCCCTCCACCATCAAACTGCAGGTGGCAAACTACACCCTCAGCCAGGAAAATTACCCCACCCCGTGCCTGGCGCAAAACCAAGAATCAGCACGTGGTTTTTACATGGCAGCCCCCCCCCCCCGAAAAAACTGCTAAATTGCACTTTGCATCAAGGTTCATCAGCTGAACGGTGAAAATTGCAGAGCCATCCTGGTGCAAAAGCAAGGGGTTCTGCGGACACGTACATGAACTGGCATGGTTTTCCCCCTGTATAGGCTTCCCCAAAAGGCATCACGAAATTGGGGGGGGGGAATGCAGATCCAGGGCTTCACAGCACCACTATGAAGCAGAAATGTCAATCCACTCCATGTATCCACATGGATTCTACCTAAACTCATCAGATCACATCCCTGCCCACAAAAATCTATGAGCTGTGTGTTTCCTGCACCACCACAGCACAAAAACATGGACTCAGGACACTGAACCTCATAAATTCTCTTGATTTTTAAACTGAAGTTTCACAAAACGTCATCAAATCACTTACCAATTATTTTAACGCATGCCAGAGTGCCTTGTGTGGTTTATGCTACGCTAGTGGTGAATCCCTAGGAGACAGGCAAGACGAACTCTTCTAAATGAACACACTACACACAGCAACCTTATGAAGCAAGCCAGTGTTATTTCCATATTACAGATGAGTGCAGAAACCACCTGTTGTTTGGGGCTGCTGTCTGATATTGCTGCTGCCCCCCAGCTTGCCGCACATTGCCTCACATGAGTTCTCTTAACCCTATGGAGCAACTTCCAGGAATTCACAGTCACACATCCACCTTCCCACTTAAACTCATTTTATGTAAGTAATTTTCACTATCAGGAAACTATGTACTTATAAAAATTCAGTGTTTAATAAATACATTTTTGAAAAGGAACTATCAGTAGCTTAAAGTGAGCTCCAGATCATTCCTTTGTTAGAGTAAGGCCTGCTTCTACTCAACAGCTGATGGACACTGGAAGCTACTTCTCTCTCCCAGCATTGCTCTTTGAACCTCCAAAAACCCAAAGTTCAAAGAACAGCGCAGGGCTGTTTGAAAGCCCTTTAAAAAACTGCCCTGCATTGTACAGTACTTTGAAGTTGCGACAAGGGCCTCAAAATATAGCACCACCTGACATCACTATGGCACCAGGTGACTGACAGGTAGGTGCTCTCGCCCTGCCCTGTCAGATTTGTCCCACCATGGGTGAGGAGATTAAGATCTGCCCCACTAGTCAGAAAAAGATTGCTACTCCTGACATATGCAATTCAATACTTTTACAAAAATGTTAAACAACAGAGATAAGTCTTGGATGGTGGAGGAATGCAGTTCTTACCTGATGAGAATGCAGGTCGGGGGCAGAGGACATTCCGGATTCAGTTAGGTCCTGCCTCTGGGACTGTGAAAACAGGGCTAAAAAGTCACTTCCTGTAAGGTGAGAAATGCTCACCATATACTCAATTACATAGCAAATTAAAGAAAAAGCACCTGCAATAGAAAGAGCTAGAAAGAAGAATTACCACCATAGAATGGGAAGAAATGAAACCAACAGATCATATTAATTGGAACATAGAGAGCAAGATAACTCCCACTCTCCAAAAAATCAAACAAAATCTGGAAAATATAAGATTCATAGTAACTGGAGTAAATGCAGAGATGGGCAGGATGTCTTACCCATGAGAATAAATGTTCATCAGGGTAAAATAATACTTTCTCCCCACATGGGCAGGAAGACACTTCTGACTGGTATTTTTAAAAAGTAGTACAGTGGTACCTTGGTTTTCGAATGTAATCTGTTCTGGAAGACAGTTCGAGTTCTGAAACATTCAGGAACTCAAAACGAAAGTCTCAGAAAGGAAAACACAATATCGAAGCCGTGTGCCATGTTTGACTTCCAAGGCGTGTTTGAAAACCGAAGCATTTACTTCTGGGTTTACAGCATTCGAGTTCCAAAATGTTCATCAACGGAGACGTTAAAAAACTGAGGTACCACTGTACATCCCTGGAAGGGAGAACTTGGTATCCAAATGCCCCCACGTATTCTGAGCCCTAGGATATACAGGTTGTTAAGGATCCTGCTTTAGGAAACTGCCTTAAATAGTGGCATATGTTTCAGTCCTGTAGTGGCCTGTCTACAGAGACCCAAGAAGCTGTTTTGAACATTTCATCCAGGGGGGTTCTTTCCTGAAATGTGGCGCTTGTTCTTTGGGAGATAAGAGCTAAAGAATGGCAAGATCAATCCCCTGCTCCATGATAGGTCAAATTAATGTTAACCTGAAGGGTAAGAACACAGGATAATTCTTGTCATTTTGGGAATACATAGTTCAAGCTCTACAGAAAAGGCCCAAATCTCAAAAACCCAGTGTGCTGAGGTTTATGGTCAGTAGCAAGTTTGTTTTGAGGGTGAGTAAATTAAGGGAAGCAGTTTCAAGGTGGTTAAATAAGCTCCAAGGAGGAACTTTGAAAGCCACATTTAGACTCCAAGAAGGCATACAGCGAACTGGAGGTGGAGATATCAGATAGGAAGTTTGCAGGTATTAGAAGAAATGGGATGTCCTCCAGAACTTGCAGTTATGCTGGAAAGAGCAGAAATCCATCTTTTCAAGAAGTTTATATTAAGGCCTGGAAGCTCCAAGGGCTGCTGTGTTTGATTTGTCACAGCATTTTAAAAGGCCCTTCTATTCTGTTAAGTTTATTTTGAAATCATGTATAAGGGGGTAGATACCAAAGTATTATTGGTACCCAGGTGGGAGATTTGCATGAGACTAAAAGAGTGGAAATTACTCTGGGATGGCAGCTCAGGGCTAGAAGAGTCTGCCTTTGAACCTCCAGGCAGTTGTAGGTGAGGATGTAGGAGGAGGCATGTCATGCAGCAATCCAGAATTTCCAGAAGAGATCATGGATTGAGAGTCTGAAACCTGTAGCAAATGGGGGGCAATAAAGATGATATGTGTCTTCTGATCCCCAATTCTCTTGATTGTTCTGGAAATAAGAACCAGACCTTCTTCCTGAAAAGTCTTCCAGAAGCCCTCTCCTCAGATTCTGGGCTACCAGGGAAGTAATAAGTTTCTGCTCAAGGAAGCAAACAGATCACCTCTTTGAGGAGTTGTGGAAAACTCATTCCTGCTTTTCTGTTGACATAAGACTTAGTACATATGCTGTCCAGGTGAACAAGGGTATCTCTGGAACTGTGTCATGAAGGAAAGGCTTTCAATGGAAGTTGACTCACCCAAAGTTCAAAGAGGTTTATGCTGCAAGAGGCCTCCTTCTGTCACCATGTCCCTTAAACATTGCTCAGCTTGCATTGCTCAGCTGGACTGATTGACAACAGTTATTACCACAGTCTCTAGCAGGGCCGGATTTAGGTTTGATGCAGCCCTAAGCTACTGAAGGTAATGGGGCCCTTTTTATGTGATATTTCAGGGAGCAGGCTAGCAGGCAGGGCCCATTACTTACATCATAGGAGCCTACACAACACAAAACACTGTTGCTGTATGTAGGTTTTATTTTATTTGTTTTTTGTCTTATATTTTGGAAATGTACATCCAGGGTTTTTTTCCTCCTTTAAATTTTTTTGGGGGCCCCAAGAGAGTGGGGCCCTAAGCTAGAGCTTGTTTAGCTTATATGTAAATTTGGCACTGGTCTCTAGGCTGAAGGAACAGTGCAGGAACTCCTGTCTCGATGACTTGCTTGAAGTGCTAGCTCTTGTGAACCTCTTAGGGAAGGATTTAAGAAAGATAGGGTCTCATCGTGGAAGGGTAACAGAAAGGTTTTTGAAGAGACTAACCATGATGGAAATCATCTTGCCTAGCAGTCTGGTGAGGGATTGAAGATGAACTGGGTAACTTATTCTGAAGGGGTCAAAATCCTCTCTTCTGAGAGAGAAACACTGTTCAGACATGGATTGAGGGGATTGTATTGAGGGTATCCTGGATGCTGGATCTATTGGACAGGTTTTGTTTACTAGGATGCTGAGACACCTCAGCTGAGGTAAGGTGGATGTTCCAATTCCTTGACCTGAAGGAAGGGACACTAATAAAAATAATCTATGTAAAATGGATGAGCAGTCAGGCTTCTCAGACTCTTCAGAGGCTGGAGAAGATACTGAAGGAAAGGGCTCCAAACTGGAACTGGTTGTTCCTTCAAGTGAATCCTAGAAAGTGCAATGACAAGGGTGAATGTGAATGTGGAGGCAATAGAATCATACAATTGTAGAGCTGGGTCAGGGACACAAGTGTCATCTAGCCCAACCTCCTACAATGCAGGAACCACAACTAAAGAATCCCTCACAGATGGACATCCAGCTTCTGTTTAAAAACCTCCAATGAAGGAAAGTCCATCGCCTTCTGAAGTAGCCTGTTCCGATGTCAAACAGTTCTTACCATCAGAAAGTTCTTCCTAATGTTTAGTCGGAATCTCCTTTCTTGTAATGTGAAGCCATTGGCTCATATCCTAGCCTCTGGAGCGGCAGAAAACAAGCAAAGCTCCATCATTACTGTGACAGCCCGTCAAATATTTGAAGATGGGTATCATACCACCTCTCAATCTTTTCTTCTCCGGGCTGAACATACCCAGTTCCCTCCGTTCCCTCATAAGGCTTTGTTTCCAGACCCTTCATCATCTTGATTGCCCTCTGCTGCACACATTTCAGCTTATGTTCTTCCATGCTGCAGACAGGGGATGGAATGATTCAATCCAACAAAATATGAAAGTATCCAAGGAAAGAGCATTTATGAAGCATTTGTAACATCCTCCTTAATGAACTGATGGTCCTCCAGGTGTCTGTAAAGGCCTGAGGTTTGCCACTAAAAGGAAGGAGTTAAGGCTGGCATCCCTGTAGTCATAAGGAAGAGAGGACTTGTTACCAAAGGGTTAAGAATATATGGAGCTGCCTTTTGACTTGGAAGAATGCCATTTGGGCCTGTTGTTGTCACATCTATTCTGGGAAGAAAAGAGGGATGAAAGGAATGTTTCAAAGTGGAGGGTTTCTGGTCCCTTTTTTTAGGAGGCACACATAGACATCCTCTCTCTTGTTTGAGTGGGTTTCTGTTTGCAAAGCATCTAGGAAAGCATCTGTTAAAAAGACTGCTGGTGAGGCTAATCTCATTTGCTGATATGAGGGCAGCCCTGGCAAGTTATGAAGAAGCCGAGAAGGCTCAAAGGCTAGGGCTAAAGCCTCAACTCTCCTATGCAAGGTATACTCTGCAATCTGGGGGTTCACACAACCCCTCAATGTATTTAGAGAAGATGGGGAGGGGGCATGGGGCCATATGGAAAAGCCATGCCCCCACACCACCCTCACATTCTTCTGACCACACATTCAAAGTTACATCAAAACTTCTACTCATGTACCAGTGTACACAAGTAGAACTTCTGATGTAATTTGAACATGCAGATATTAGGAGAGCATGGCAACAGGGAGGGTCCCACAATCCCTTTAATACATTCTTTCAACATGTCAAGGGGTTCGTGTCAGCCCCACATTATCTCATCCAAATTAATGGGTGAAATAGCTTTAGGAGTTAAGGGAGCCACTAAACCATCTCTTCACATAACACTTGTTAAAATATCCTTGGGTAAAATAATTTCTTGAACAAGGAAGGGATGGTTTACCCCACCCAAAGGGTTCAGCCCATTCTTTATTTTCTTATGGCAAATTCACACACCAGGAAAGGAACCAAGGAACCTGAGACAAACAGAGTAGGAAAAGGTAGGTCCATTCCAACTGGTTTGGTGGGTGCTGGAAGAGTTTCTGAAACATTTAACTGAAAGGTGCTCAGAGCATACCAGACCAAAAAGAATCTGATTTGCCCCTGTGTACTATTCTTCTTCAAAAGTATTATTAGAACCCTTACCATCAATGGAGGAAGCCCTAGCAAAAGAACCATTGGAGAGGAGAGCAGCTCCCAAGATTTGCAGGGATGGGACCTAGAGCTTAATGGAAGAACCATTCTCTCTTAAGGGGCAATCAACACAGAACACAGCAATAGGAAAAAGCACTTTGCCCCCAGCATTGCCTTTAGAAAGATAGGGAAGGCAGAAAAATGTAACCTGACTTCTGGACATACCCCTAGAATGGATTCTGCGCCTAAAATAAGAAGGGGAAGAACTTTCTCTAGCCTGAAACCTTTCTCTGAACTAGGAAGAGTAGTGGTGGCACCTGTAGCTATTGGACCTTCCCTTCAGCTATGGGAACTGGAGCAGGAAGAAAAATGTCTATATCTGATGCAATTTGCAGAACTCTGGTTGAAACAACTCCAGGCATTACCACTTTCAGTTTAGGCAGGCAGTCCACAGTGTCCATATGCCATTCAAAAGGAAGAAAAGGGCTTATTGTGACCCTCCATAATGGCAGGCATACCCTCCATGGCTGAATGAGCCATGAGCATGTATGGGGATGAGGCAGACACATTTTCCTGAAAAAAGCACCTATGAACCATGTCAGAAGGAGGGAAAAAAAATATTTTATTGGTTCCCTTCTGAGAGAAAGCATGAGAAAGAAAAAAGAGGGAAATTTCCACAGCAGGACTTAGGCTGCACTCTCAAAATCTTTTCCCCCAACCCAGAGCAAGGTGAGTTAGGTTCCGAGGAAAAAATAAGGTTCAGGATGGTTCATTTATTAAAGCAATTTATACACCACTTTTAAACAAGAAGTCACCAAGGTGGTGAGCAACAACATAACTGAAGACAATCCACTAAAGCATGTTAAGAGTATTAAAAAAATAATCTGCTGTATCTAAAGAATAATTAAATCTGGTATACCATGTGGAAAAAAGTATAAAGATTGGATTAACACATCAAAGGTCCAGGAAGGCCTGAGTGAACAGATATGTTCTTACTAGTTAATGAAATATCAGTACTGTTAATGCCTGCTGGATATCTAGGAGATCATTCTACAAGGTGGGTACTACCACAGAGAAAACCCATTTCCAAGTGATCATTTGAGAAGTATCCGCAGGACATGGCGTGACCAAAGGGGGCTGGAAGTGTTCTTTCAGGTAGCCTGGTTCCAAGCTGCATAGAGCCTTACAAGTCATCAGCAGTACCTTAAACCTGGCTCAGTAGGAAATTGGTAGCCAGTGCAATTACTTCTTTCAGTGTGGGCCATCCAGCTGCCCATGTGGAGAGAATAGACAAAAAAAGTAACTGCTATCATATATACCGCTTGTGGGGAATTCCTAAATCACTCAAGCTGTTGGGACTTCTGTTCCCCATAAATGTTTCCTAAGTTTTTTGAGGATGGATGATGACTGAGGAATGACCTGCATCTTGTCAAAATTCTCAAATAGGAGGATATCTCAGAAGCATAGGACATTTGATAGCAGCTGCTTTCCAGAATGTAGGTACATAGGGTTCAGAGACAGATTTTCACCTGTGGATCTAACCTTTAAGGATACTGTACTGAGCTTCTCCAGATGATGGATTGCAACTGGTGCTGATGGGAGTTGCCACCAAAAAGCTCCACAGGCTCAGGTTGGAGAATCAAACAAAGACCATAGCCAGGATATAGAAGCAAAACAGCAGCCAAGAGGCTTGATCTTTATTGTTGCAACAATTACTTCCAAACTACAACATAGAAGATGCAGGCAGAGTTGGAATCCAACTTCCTCTAGACTAGGGTCATACCCCTGCATTAGCAGTTGTGAGGTACTTCTGCTTGTGTTTGACATGTTAATGTTCCTCCCCACCCTTTTCTTTGTTTAGTAATTTAATATGCTTCATTTTTCTTTACATCTCAGGCATGAGGGTGATGAAGCATTTGCCCAAATATACAAATTGAGTCCTGGGGTGGTATTCAACAAAGTTTTATTCAGAGTAGAATGAACGGAAATGAATTAGTATGGCTAAGGTAGGTCTATTAATTTCAAAGGGTCTACTCTAAGTAAAACTTAGTTGGATACAACTCTAGGTTTCTTGAATGGTGGCTTTACACAAAGATGGTACTATTTAGACTTTGAACTCACTCTTTGAGTCGAATATAAGAAATTTGTACTTGTAAGTTCTGGTCATTTGATTTCTTGAGAAGTGTTTGTGTCAACTACTCAATTGGTTCTTTGAATCGTTCAGTACTATTTCATACTGAACTGTGATTCAAGGATTGACAAATAAATTTCAAACGCATAATGCAAAGTCTCTTGTTTGAATAAATGTCTTTAGTCATGTGAGAATATGGATGGGCCTACAGGCAGCTGACATTCTTGGCTGACTTTCAGGGGGTGGAGAAAAGCAATTTCATCACTGTTCCACATTATCCAAAAATGTTGGAATGCAGATACAGACATCATCCTAGGGTCACTAGGCACGGCGTGTATTGATTCTGAAGCCTTCTTTTAACTGTTAAAAAAGCGAACAGTTGTCTCTATCCATCTTTTAGGCAAATGCACGCTTTCTAAATGTATATTGCAGATACATGTATTCTATCCCTTTCCCTTTGAACTCAAGTAAAAACTTCCCTGTCAGACATATTTCCTACTGCTGTATTCATTAATGGTGTATTAAACCAACAGATTTAAATAATGTGTCTTTTCTCCTGGTGTGAAGTATTTTATACTGCTCTCTGTTTTACAATTTAAGACAATTATGTTATTTTAATATATTTTATAATGACTATGTGCCATCTCGGGGAAGCTTTTTTTGAATAGAGGCATAGGTATTTTCAAAATCATCAAAATAAATAAATAACATAGTTGTGTCATCCCCCTTTAAAAACATGCCCTGACTTTCATCAACATCTGAAAGACAGTCACTTTTCTTGAAAGCTCAGCCCTTTATTTCACAGCTTGCACAGCCCTGCTGGCTGGGGCTGATGGGAATTGTAGTCAAAAACATCTGGGGGGCACCAAGCTGGTCTAAGTAGCTGCATTTGATTAAGCCCAATTGCCAGTAATCACGGTATCTACCAATTTGTGGCAGATGCTATGAGTGAGAGACAGGGAGGATTGTTTGTGACTCCTGATGAAGTAGGGAAGGGATGAGTGCTAGAACACTGAGTATTATATGTTATCCTTCTAGCTAGAATATTGTATGTTGTTTATCAGCAAGTCATTTCCCCCCATGATAGCTAGTGTGATGACTGTACCCGTGGATGCATGAGGATAGTTTGTGTGAGAGTATAAGGGATGCATGAACACTGGTGTGATTCTTCCAGCGGGAAGGTTGGTGAGCATGTGAGTGATTGGGACTGACCAGGATATGTTTGGGTGACATTGCTGGAAGGGAGCATTATAGTGGTAGGCCTACTTCTGTGATTGCTGGGGCAAGTGTACCCAGCTGCCTGCCCCCCTTTGCACAGGCCTGTGGGTAGGTAACGTTGGATAATTGTTCCACTGTCCCCTGGCAGTTATATTGTAGGGTGCCATAGAATAGAGTCTTTCCCCCAAGGCTTTAACATCTAAATGAAGCTGTTGGGGACAATATAGTATTGACATATGGCAAGGCAGGAGAGATACGAGAAACAATTGCAGCAGCAAACTGGCATATAGGATTTGATGAGAGCCTGTTTCTTCCCTGTCTCGCCCATATCTCATCTCCATTTTGACTGTTATACCAGAGCAACATACCCCAGCACAGCATATCTGTGCAGTCATATTAGTGGCTCTCACATGGTGGTGGCATGTCTCACATGCTGCCAGTGTAGGGAGTCAGCCACCATATCCAATAGCCCCCCAGCCCATGTAGCTGAAGTATAGGGTTGGGCCCTTAATATTATGTTCCTTTGTCCAAAGAAAAGCATGCATGTAGTATTGCCAAGTGTGATTAATAGCTGTACAATTATAGTGTACAATAGATCAATGGTTTCTGAGATCAGAACATACCTTTAAAAAGTGCAAGGAGGCAATGCATATCTGTGGAAATTATCTGGAATTTTGCTGGGGGACTACTGTATGATCACACAATCTGCCTACATTTTCATTTGATTGTAAATAAAATAAAATGAGCTTTGGAGAGAAAATGGGAAAAAGTGAGGTGCAACTGTGGCAGAGATGCGATGGGAAAGAATACTGACATATTTGGGTCTGCAAATACCATGTAGCATTCCTGCTATTCACAAATCCATTTGGAGCCACCCCTGCATTATCCAACCCAGTGCCTATCAGTTACATCCAAGACCTTGCAAGGGCAGCCCTGCCATGAAACATCCCTGTCAGATGGCAGACTTTAGGCACCATTAAGGCAGGAAGGCAAACTCAACTCCATGGAATAATTCCCACTCAGAGGTTCTCCTGTCCAATGCCGCTGAAGCGACTAAGAACTGCACCATTGTGCCAGCACCCTTGCACAGCTCCTGCTGATCCCAAGGGGGCAAAAACTGCAGCAGAGAGAAAACGGTACAGCATTCGGCTTCCTAAACCGACGACGATCCTGGTATCCTGCCTGCCTTAGCAGCAAGCCCTGATCATTTATTCAAGGGCCTTTGGAGAGCTAGTCCTCCCAGTATCGATTTCCAGAGGACCTGGCGCAAGGGGGAAGTACGCACACTAGCCCTGAACGGATGCCAGATCAGAAAACGAGACGGGGGGAGCGCGCCGCAGCTCCGTTCTTTGCAGCGGCTTCATGCACGTGGCACACGGAGTCTGTTGCCTGCTTACTAAGGAGATGTCCTGCAGCAGCACATTCGCCTCTAACGAGGCTGCAGCTTCCCTGCCCATTTCCGTGTGTCTGTGTTTGTGGATGGCTCTGCCTGCTTGCGGATTTCAGCCAAGCGCGTCCCCTGCCTTTCTGGGGCTGGAAGACGAGCGGAGCGCCTTCTTCCAAGACTGCACCCAAGCCCAGCCTGGGAAACCTGGGCGTTGGCTGGCAAGATGCTTCCCTTGCGCCAGGCCGCCGAGGAGTCCAAGAACGCAGCAAGACCTCTTCCCTGGGGCGGTCATTGGGAAGAGGAGGGAGGAGGAGCGCTCTGCGTCCCAGGGAGGTGGGTGGGGGACGTGGCGCGCGCGTTCGCGGGGCCTGGAGCCGCTTGCGCGGCGCCGCCTCCTCCCCTTTCCTGCCTTCCTCGCGCGCCAGCTGGAGGAGCGCAGGCAGCGACTTTTGCAGCTTTGCGGCGCCGCCTTGCCATCTTCTGGTGCAAGCCGGCTAGAACCGGCCTCAGCAGAAGCAGAAAGCAGCAGCAGCAAAGGGGCGGCGGCGGCGGCGGCCGCGACTCCACCTCCTCAGAAGGACAGGAACGCGCCTGCACGCTTCTCCTTCCCCGGGGCTGTCCCTTCCTATCCAAAGGATGCTGCTGCTGCTGCCGCCGCTGTTGCCTGCGGGATTGAACCAAGGGGAAGTGGAGAAAGGGGTGCAGCTCGTCCAAAAGCGATTACGTTTATTCCCTTAACACCGCAGCCCTACACGTCTAAGTAAATCTCAGCGGAGCTCGCGCTCCCAGATTAAGTTGGCGCACATTAATTGATTACAATTTTAATTGTCACATTTATAATCTAGCAAGGAGCTCAAGGTGGCAGGCAGGGTTCTCCATCTCCTCATTTTATCCCCACAAAACCCATGTGAGGTAGGTTAGGCTGGCTGAGACAGTGACTGAGCCAAGCTCACCCAGAGAGCTTCATGGCTGGCTGGGGAGGATTTGAATCCTGTTTTTTCCCAGGTCCTACTCTGACATTCACTCGTGTGAACCACCAAGATCCGGCACGCAGCAGAATCTCCATAAGGAGGCTGGGAGGACTGGAGCAGTGTTGCCACCCCATCTCTTTTACTGACCCTTCCATTATGCCTTCTGAGGCTGCCGCCTTTAAGTTGGTGTGCAAAGCTTTGCCTGAGGATGGAGGTGGAGCGATGGGAGGGAATATTCATAGTAAAGGGACCCCTGACCATTAGGTCCAGTTGTGACCGACTCTGGGGTTGCGGCGCTCATCTCGCTTTATTGGCCGAGGGAGCCGGCGTACAGCTTCTGGGTCATGTGGCCAGCATGACTAAGCCGCTTCTGGCGACCCAGAGCAGCGCACGGAAATGCCGTTTACCTTCCCGCCGGAGCGGTACCTATTTATCTACTTGCACTTTGACATGCTTTCGAACTGCTAGGTTGGCAGGAGCAGGGACCGAGCAACGGGAGCTCACTCCGTCGCAGGGATTTGAACCGCCAACCTTCTGATCGGCAAGCCCTAGGCTCTGTGGTTTAACCCACAGTGCCCCCGTGTCCCGCCATATTCATAGAAACCTAGAATTGAAGAGCCATAGAACTGGAAGGGACCACAAGGGTCATCTAGTCCTCACCTATCACTTTATAAGGCAGTGTTAATAGTTCTCTGCTCTGTTATGTGGTGGTTACTGCCTGGCCACGATTGAAATGATTGTGTATGTTACTCTCACTGCAAAATGGGGCTATTGATGGCTTCCTTCATACAATTGTTAGATGAATGAGATCCAGGCTGGAAAGCACTTTGTAGAACCAAGGAATGCTAACAGAGCAAAATATTCATTCATTCATTCATTCATTCATTAAAAATGGGTGTATTTCAGCCTGTCTCCCCAAACAAAACACGGAGGTACACTTTTGTTCTGAAGTCATTTGATCAACATTTAAGATTAGATGGTATCCACTAATGGAGAACAAATGGAAACAATCCAAAAATGGCATCTACAAATATCAGAAGGTGCTCCCCTGAAGTTTGTCCATAGCTTTTAAGGGCTGATTGGATTAGGAGAAGTGAAGTCTGACCAAAAGTCTCATTGGGACCGAGTCTGAAATGTAAAACCTCATCTGCTCACATCCTGAGGAGAAGACCCAGGGAAGAGAGAAAAATAGGGAAGGGTGGGAAAGCCATTGGTGTTGTTTCTGTTTATGCGTGCCATATCAAACAGGAGGCAGAATATCATGGGAAAATAAAGCTTAAGCCTTTTACCCTGTACCAGTCTGAGGCCAAAACTGCACTTCTTTGTTTGGAACTGTGTGCGTCTTACAAGAAAATGTATTTTCCAGGTGTAGTAGTAACAAGGTGGAAGGAGTGCATTGGTAATTATCCCATCTTCCTCTTTTTGGTCTTGACTGTTCTCCTTCCCACTTTTGTTCTCCTTTGTGGCTCTGGACTCCACGTGTCAGACATAATTGCTGCAGGTATTCCTTGCAGCAGAAACCAAGTGTATGCAGTATACCTGCATTTTTAAACATCTATGTACACATGCCAAGATCTTGAGATTGGAATGGGGCTCCCAAGCCAGGGGCAAAACTAAGCGTTCTATCACCCAGCTCAAAGACCCAGTTTGGCACCCCCCCATTCATATTTGCATACACACCCACACAGGTTAGGAGCCTCAATGATGCCCCTCTGGAGGTGTCACAGGGCAAAAAAACCTGGCTAGCCCCTCCCCTTGCATAGCTATGGCTCAGCCCAAGCATTAGTGTCTTTTTAAAAATGCAGTTTTGTTATCTACTATAGCATGAAATGTTAACTATGCTGTATATGCTGTCTGTGTAAAAGACCTGTGAAACTGTGTGTCTGCAGAAATTATGTTTGTTGCATGAAGTGTAGAGCCGTTGTGCTGTTCTTTTTCTTTCTACCTCTATCTATCTGTGGCTAATTCACTCTACTCTTCCTGCATTCCATCCTTTCTTAAATCTCACTCCTGCCAGATTGCCAGACATCCTTCAGCAAATAGCAGAGCTGGCCAGATCTGAATTTTCATTTGAGTGTCCCGTGTTGGCATGAAAAATGTGTGCCTTTCAAGAATGCTTCACCATTTGCCCTGCAATCTGTATGCCTTTATTAACCAATTTTAAAAGCCTCTATTTATATCCTTGTTCTTACAACACCCTGTGTGCCTGTGTTTTGAAACAGTAAAAGTGGTGAAGTGATTGGTCTCATTGTGGGAAAGTTATCCTTTCCCTCAATTTTTCCTCCAGCTTCATCCTTTAACCATATAGTTCTGTACTGGCTGTAAATATAACCACATATGTTCAAAAGCAATGTGGGGGAAGGTCTCTCTCGATAACCCATTTCCTCTGTGGGGTAGCCTTACATAAATGGTGAATGTTGTGCTTACTGAGGATATGAACCGATAATTGCTCTCTCCCCACCTTCTTTCTATTTCAGACACTGCAATTGCTGGAAGCAGAGGAGGAGGAGGAGGAGGGGGAGGAGGGGGAGGAGGAGATGCTTTGAAGGGAGAAGTAGGTCAGTGTGTAGATGGCAGCTGCCTCTGATACATTGTGATGCTAGGAGGAAGGATGCAGATGGGGAAAGAAGGGAATGGCGGGAAGGGAACCTAAGCCAAGCTTGCAAGGGAGGCTTCAGTAGCAGCAGGGGAGGAGGAGATAGTGAGGGAGTCGCTGGTAGCAGTTGCAGGGTGGGGAACTCTTCCTGAAAGCTGATTGCACAAACAGCAAACACCCCCTTTCCCCTCCTCCACTTTCTTTCCTCCCATCCGCATTGCTTGCTTCCTCCTTTTGGGAAGTACCCTATCTGAGAATGAGAAAAAAGGCTGCCACAGTCAGTTACAAGTCCTCGTTACTATTGCCTGCCTGAATCAGAACTGATCACAATGAAAGACTGCTTAGAATGCACTTGGTTTTCCTGCACTAAATGTGAGAATGGAGAAACAGCATAGGTGAAACAAACGAGGGACTGGAGGAGGCAATGGGGGAGAGAGAGAGAGAAGATTCCAAATGATGATGGAATAGGAAGAAGCTTGGAAGGAAAGGAAAGGAAATGACAGCTTTTAAAAGAGGCAAAAAGGAATCAAGATGAGGGGGAAGCTGTAGGGGATGGTGAGAAGAATAAATGGAATTCAGAGCAGAAATAGAGGGAGAGAGGGAAGATAAAATGAAGCATGGGACATAGAATTGAAGAGAGTCCTTTGTGTAAACAATCTATTTTTTTCAGGGTGAAATAACTTAATATTCCAAAATGCACCATGCTTTTCACTTTGCTTTGATGCACATGTTATGAGCCACCTAATTCCAAAAGTTTCACTGCATGTCTTGGAACTAGCCGGTTAGGGATGGTATCTTCTCGTTCTGGCTCGGATAACCCCCTTACTCACACAGTGTTCCCAGTACCGTTAGACCTTGCCACTGCACCATTCCTGGAGCATTTAAAGCTGCACCCCACTCAGCCAGCATTGCCAGTTCTGACCTGAAGGTCATATTGTCACATTTCCTTATTGCACACATCTCAACTCTTTGCACATTTTCGCATCCCCAGCACAGGCTGTTTTGCATTAGCTGGTGCAAAGAAGCGTGCAGTTGTGGAGCATGGATCATACCACAAAGGAAACACAGTAGTTCTGCATTCCAAGCCGTATCCTATGTTCTGATGTGCCTCTCTGGCAAAAGTGCTCTTTCTGCTGTTCTTTTCTTCCTGTGTGCTTCTGTTCGCTGCACCTTTGCTTTAGATACAGCAGTCAGTGGCAAGAGCCTGTCTTTTGGCTCCCTGTCTCAAAGCCCAGTTCCATCTACCCAGCCAAAGATAGAATGGCGCCGTCTGCACACATGCGCCCATGCACGCACGCACACACACACACACACACACACATTCATCCCTCTCCTTCCCACCCTGATGCTGACAGCCTTTTCTTCTGCTCCTCCCCTCTCCAGCCTTTTCTTTCTGCAGTGCTCCGAGCCTTTACTGCAGTGTAATCCATCACTCACAAGGTCTGGAGGGGTGGGGTGGCTAGAGAGCATAACTATTCACTGACTACAGGGAGAAGAAAGACTTTCAGAATGCAGAGCCTTCAGAAGCAGAATTCGCCAGCCAACAGGCTTTTTGAGATATTTAATTTATTTAGTTTCTTTGTTTTCAGGCATGGGAGGGTGGGGTGGGCTGGGGGAGAGAAACATCGCTGCCAACATTCCAGCGAAGGTGACTGAAAAGAAACCAAGGAGACGGGGAAAGCGAGAGACAGCAGCAAGGAGCACAGAGGAGAGCTGTGAGAAAGATGAACAGAGGCAGACAAAAAGAAGAAGAGGGATGTCAAGAAGGGAAAGAGAGCAGCCATGGTGGAAGCGGGAAAAACCAAAATGGAGAGCAGCAGACGCAGACAGGAAAATGTGGGCAACACTTGGAAAGTGTATTGAGCCTAAAGAAAGGGAAGACGCAGGAAACTTTTCAGCAGAGAGAACTGCTTAAAGATGAAGGAAAGGGGATCAGGGAAGGGAGATACGAGCACACAGTTTTAACTTTAAAACGTTTGAGTAAACATTTGCATACAAGCAGCACATTTTGAGCTGCAAATTGCCCCAATTTTGAGCCCAGTCCTGGGAGAGGTTCAGGACATTTCAAAGGTCGTTGCAATGATGAATAAGGATAGCTCAACATATTAGTTGTGTGGTGAGTTCCCGCCCCCCACCAGGGTAAATAAAGACACAAGACACCATAATTTAAGGTTAATTGGGCGAATTAGGCCACAAC